TCACGGTGCGTACAACAATAACACGATTTCCCTAACCAATGCTAAAACCTAAAAACAATAAACTGTTCACATCCTAACAGTAGGCGTTACTTTTTTTTCATCATCATCATCATCATTATTGTTACTACTATTATTATTATACTTTTGGTTTTTTTTGGTTTATACTCTTACGACTTCGTTGTCAGCCGGTCGCAACACTCCTCTGGTAGCTACGAGTTTAATAAAGAGATAAGGACATTTTTTTTTTCATTGTGAGGGGGTGTTAATAGCGGCCGTTGGGAAAAATCAAAGAAGGAAGTCGCACGCGGCCATAACGCCGTCGCCGGGTCGGTGCCACGCGCCTACGACCACGACGACACGTGTTTAATATACCATAATATTTCACTTGTCTTCTGCACACACACACACACACACACACTTAGTTGGTTGAACGAGATAAGTCCGTTCGTCGTGGGAACGGGAGCGATACGCTGTATAAAAAGACACTCGAGAGTTTTTTATGCGATACAAAAAAAACTAATATTAGTAACGGATCCGGCAGAGATAGTTACGATAATACCTACTTATAATCATAATCATAATATGGTGTATGGTATAGCATAGTATGGACGCAATTAAATGTGTACTTGCAACTTTTTAGGGGTTCCATTGGTTTACATTCTCACTTCAGCGTGGCAATCATTGTAAACACAGTACATGATAAAATATCTAATAAAAAAAAAAATACCACACATTGTTAAACCAATACCTTCTTTGCATTTTGAAAATAATTTCAAAACCGCAAGTTTTTAACGGAGAGCTTTTTGGAGAGCCTAGCCTGCTCAAGCTCTACAGTTAACATTTAAGTAAACCGAGCACGCGATCTGAAAAAGAGACCATCGCTCGTTTGTATGTAAAACTAAATAGGTATATTGGTTTACTATGATTTGTATTGCTTTTGATATTAGTTATTGCTCTTAGTCAATTATAACAACGCTATAATACCAACTATGTGACAGGTGAAAGGATTTAGCCCTAGAATAATTTGTGAAAGTACCTATGTAGGTATGTAATAAATATTCGCGTCGGGTGTAACGGTATACCACACGTCCTATCTATAGATAATATTATATTTCGTCGTCGAATACACTATTGCATTAAAAAAAATACGCCCTATTCGCCGTGTGTTTTGCATGCTGAGGTTTCCCCCCTTACTTTTTCCTAATCAAAAAATTACCCAGCAGCATTATTGATACATGTTTTGTAAAAAAAAAAAACTCGTAAAAATATCACTTCGCTCGTGCAACACAAAACACATGTCCCTTCATCAAATCAAACTATGCCAGATAAAATGTTTATTTACAATACATACATAAACAGCGTTCGGTTGTACAACGGAAACGATTACATTCTTTACGGTTTACACAATATATGTATATGTGGTGCATGTATAGGGTTGTATAGAAAAATAATATTTATCATTATTATTTGTAAGACATGCTTATTAATAATATTTTCTAGCATAAAGGATATTTATTTTTACATAGTTGTCAGTTAAAACAATGTTATGGTAAAATAACATGTAAAAGCCCTGATTCCCCGTTACAGCTTATTAGTTTTTTAATTACTAATTGAGTATTATCATTAATAAGCAGATAAAAAAAAATCTTAAATTTAATAGAATTTATTTGTTTGCTTGTTGATGTTTTTTTTTTCTAATTCAGATTCACAAACCGATTTTGTCCCTTATTCTCCGTACCGTTTCCTTCTGCGGGTAACCTGCTGTAAACTTCATGCCTGTTTTACGCAGAATTCAAATACCGTGTCCCTGGAGGTTTGGTGACCAGTTTAAACTGTAGACAAGCCCATCAGTGCTGTTAACATTTTGCGTTGTACGAACCCACATTCCACAATTACCCTCTATTATAGATGTCGTGCCGACACTGTGAAATTGCCTTTACGCAGTAAATCTCTGGTTGAACGATGTTCACCTTTAGACCCCATAACAGTTTTACCGTTTTTTTGTTAAAGTTTTGATGATCATTTTATGTTATTATTATCCGAAACGCTATAAAGAGCCACAGTTCTTACTCTACTCTACACCTATAGATTCAGTGCAATTTTCTCACCCTTAATTGATGGCCCGTTAAAATTACAAATATTAATTAACGAGTAATTATGTTTTTTTTTTTTTAATTTTTATTACTATTATTATTCGATTGCAATTCGATAATAGTCTACACGGTTATATCCACCCGGAAAGAGGGGCCACGGAAACGAACTACACAATAGACCAATTGGCCAATGATCTCGCTACCGTTTCTGTTCACCTTTGTGAGCACTATGATCAGTAATGTCTCCCGTAAGCGTCATCTGTGCGTGTATGTAGCCAGAGTATGCACAGACCGACATACGCATAATCTGCAGTGTAGTGTGGTTGTGTACCGCATGTGGAAATTCGTGCTTGGCCGAGCGTGAACGCGGAAGCGTCCGTTCGTCAAAAGGGTTTTTTTTTTTTTTTTTAATTTAAGTACATGGGTGTAGGTAGGTACACACGATATCCCACGGTCATCGTTTAACCGGCGATCCCGGGTAATACGATTAATAAAACAATAATAATAATAATAATATACGTTAACGGGATTCGGTCAACGCACCCAAAGTGATAAATAAAAAATAAAAAAGATATAAAACGACAAGCGCAACGCTTCTCTAGCATAATATGTACTTGAAGCCACTAGACGTGGCAAAGGGGCAAGCGCCATGCGCGTTTGTTTGTGTGCTGGCTACAGTATTTATTGTGTGGCAGTATTGGTAGATTCGACAACAATCGACGGATATGCAAACTAAAAAAAACGAGTATCGGGAATTACAAGTACTGTGTGAGAATAAAAAAAAAAAAAACTAGCTCAATTACGTATTGGAATTATTATTATCAATTTAATATTGTAATTTGAAATTGGATAACTTCACCTCCCGGCCTAAGTGTTGTAACTTAAAAAGCAATTATTCAAAACTGGTTACTGACTAGTAAAACGTTTAGCAAATTATACTTGAGTTAAATGGATCTACTATTTGTATTATTATCCGTGATTCAGTTTTGTCTCTCTATTTTTGTGAGATTCCTGTATACTCTAAAAGTAGCGGACGTTTAGGTATGTTGATTTTGTTCTTAAATTATGACTGTTTTTCAAATACCCGCGTTAAAAAAAATGATTTGTTTTTCCTAGTCGAGAAATAGACACTCGTGGGGTTTATGTTTTGATAATATAAACGTGTTTTCGTAACGTTTGGGTGTTTAAAAATGTTTTGTTTGTCAAATAAACACAGCGTCTCGTTTCATTTAACCGCTTCTTTAGACACTGTATTTTATTTTTATAGAGCACTAAAGAAAAGGAAACAATTCGGGGTTTAAAGATACGGACAAAAAACGTTTTTTATAGGTTGTAGTAAAACAAGTACTAGAACAACATAGTGGCTATCACATTATCGTTAACCAACACATCCAGCGACTTATTCTAATGTATTAAACTTTGTTTTAATTTTTTGTAATTCTAACAAACTATTTTTTTTTTTTAATAATCAAGTATAGAGAAAATTGAACAAATTCTCTGTTTTCTTCGTATAATAGACGATTTATTTTTCCGTTCACGTCGCGTTTATACAATCGATGTAATGCTTATTATAGCTATCGTGTATAATAATAACATTTAACAGTATAATATACTCGACGTGCAAATCGTGTTGGCATTAGGATTATCAAATTGTGAGTCATAGTCACTGATTTCCCATAAACGTTACAAAAAGCTGGAGTTTGTTGAGTTGAACAGATATTATAATTCGATTTGATTTCTATAAACGCAATATTTACATACAATCTGAAAAACAAACGTCATAGCGCAATTAAATATTCTAGTGGACTTGGAAACATTAACTCGTGACAGACGGCTGATATAAATATCGGATGCAACCGAAATACCGGTTAACTTGTTCCGTTCAAGGATAATAAAAAGTACCGTACAAAAATAATATTACAACTTGTCATCAGCCAATATTAAAAAAATATTTAAATTACTCGATTGTAAAATTGTGGAAAGAAAATATGTTTATGTGATTTTTGGGTCGTTTAAAATGTTTCGAGGTTTATAGCTTTATTTATTAAAACTGATTACCTACTAGTTAATTACAAAATAATATGTAACCGCGCTTTGTGTAATTCATTATATATAAGCGTAAGAATAAAAACAATTCAATACAAATTTAGGAGATGTAGGCGTGCGTTAATCCTCATAGAGCAATTATATAGTATCATACTGAATAATAATTGGTAATAGAAACTCATAAGCCTAACGGATGAAATGGGCTATTTTTTACATGTTATTTCACCACAGCACATATTACAAATGTTGCCCGCCCTAGCCCTACACCTAATACCTGACATTTCGTTAGTCATATCATCTCATAATGCAGTTTAAAGTATAAAATAATCATTTATAAAAATATGATCAGCTGAAAATAATGACTAGTCACCAACACGCTTTAAAAAATTATTCATTTAATTACAGAAAGTCTTACTTTTAATATGTGCACAAATACAAAATTAAATATATTATAATATTTATCTTAATTTGAATAAAAAATAAAAAATTGTAAAATCACAAGCCAATTTCTCATCAGTTATCCTTCACATCTATTACATAATATTATGATATCAATTAACTTAATCATTTTCACTGGTTCAGATGTTTAATTGTATGTTTCGTAATTGATACATACATCAACTTGGCTTTAAGTATTAGATAAGTAATTATATTCTTAAAAAAAAAATTGAATTTTAAAATCTAACTAATCTTTACCTAATTAATCTTTAATAGCGTAGCAGTTATTACTGATTGTTGATAATAATAATCTTCGTTTTCTCCTTATTAGTTATTAAACATAAAATACATATATATCATAATTGTCATATTTAATATTGTCTTAACTGAAATAGAAGTATTAATTCGATTTCTTTTTTGCAGAGTGGACGGTCTCCATCTAAAATGGATCGATTGCGACGGAGTTTTCGAGATAGCTTCAGACGTCGAAAGGATCTAGGAAATCACACGGGATCGCCAGGCCATCATTCTAACCCTAAACCACACTTGTGGGCCATGGACGAAGCGGAAGTCCGGGCCGGAATATGTTCCTTTCATGTTAAGGTACAAATCGTCTATGATTATATGTTGTACTTAGAATACACCAAAACAATGTTTGGTTTTCTTAACGTCATTCTACGATTAGGAGGTGAAAAGTTGTATGATTAAATTTGATCGTACGCCTGTAGTTAATATTACTGTTTTTCATGTTAATCATCATCATACACAGCTTAGAGTCCTTCTAGACCAAACGCTGCCATCACAATACTCCTCCATCTCTCCTTTATATTTTATCTAACTGTACTCTCTTCTGCACCTTTACAAGATCTTTCATCATGAAATATTTCCACCTAGTTCTAGGTCTGCCTAAGGGTCTTTTACCCCTTATCTCTGCTACTAATATCTACTTAATGATTTTCCCATCAGCTCTACATACGAGTACATACCTAGCCATTCAAGTCTATTACTGTGTACACTTTGCTTTATCTTTGGTCAATAATGTGAATAACCCTTGTTGTTAATTAGCAAATAAATAAAATTATAAAACAATATTTATTAACTTCGTTTATTTAATTGGATAAGACTCTATTGATCAATATACAATTAAATGATACAGTTAATATTTAATAACACAATAAAAATAAAAATAGGGGATTCGAAAGAGCCATTTATTAAGGGGCAAAGAATAGGCAATATTTAACAAAAGTTGATCTAGTAGTTTTATAAAATATATGCAGACTAATTTTAAGGTGAACAAATATTGATGTTACTAGTTAAAAAACTTAAATAAAGAAGTAATTTAATTAATTTTTACAGTATTTGGGCTGCGTAGAAGTATTTGAATCAAGAGGCATGGAAGTTTGTGAAGAAGCTTTAAAAACTCTTAGGGTAATTATATTAGTTTTTTTTTATATAAACTGTGAAAAACAATAACATGTTATATTACTTTAGGCATCACGTCGCAGACCAGTACGAGCAATATTCTACATATCCGGAGACGGACTGCGTGTTGTAGAAGAAGAAACGAAGGTATAATATAAATTAAACAATAAGCATTAGGCATCAGCCCGTTATGTAATAATAATAACATTAACAACAACAATTTTCAATCAAATAACAAATTCTTAATAGCTTTTTGTTTTCACTCTTAGGGTTTAATAGTAGATCAAACAATTGAAAAAGTTTCGTTTTGCGCTCCGGACCGAAGTCATGAAAAGGGCTTTTCCTATATATGTCGAGACGGGCTCACTCGTCGATGGATGTGCCATGGTTTTGTTGCACTTAAAGAATCGGTAAGGATGTTCGACATGGACAAAGTTTTTTGATTGTATAATGTCTGTTTACAATGTTGTTTATAGGGTGACCGATTAAGTCATGCAGTGGGGTGTGCTTTCCAAGAATGTCTGATTAGAAAAAACAAACGTGAAGAAGAGTGCTCAGTAACCATGACCTATGATCAAAAAACGTCTGTTTTCACAAGGACCGGTAGTTTTAGAGCACAATCTTTAACTGAACAACAGACGGAGCCCAACATACCAGTTAATGCACCTCCTCAACCTCCCCCCTTTCTTCATTCTAATAGCAAAGGTATTTTTATATTATTTTATCATTAATTATAATTAATGATTTATTAATTGTAGTAGGTAAATATGTGTTATAGCATCGCGACTTACTTAGTGTTATTTTATTTATTGTTTTAGAATTACCAGTTTCAACAGTGAAACCACTACAACAAAATATCACGACGCCTAAAATTAGCACTAAAGCAATTGAAAGACCTCATGCGACACTATCGATGTTACAACGCCAAGGATCTTTCCGTGGATTCTCTCAACTTAACCAAGCCTCGCCTTTTAAAAGGCAGCTGTCACTCAGAATATCTGAATTACCGTCAAACCTAGAAAGGACGAGGTCAATGAGCTTGCAGCCAACGGGCAATCTACAGACACCCTCTAATAAATTTATGGAACTTTCCAGTCAAGGTAATAATTCTAATCATATTAGAGTAAATATGGTTCTTGTATTACAAAAATGTAATTTTTTAGTAAGCCCAATTCCGGAAGTATCACCTCATAGTGAAAAGTCAATGTCAACGACAGATCAAGTCACTGCCATGTGCCAACAAATGTCGTTAGAGTTGGCTTTTCTTACAAACAGCACAGACAATGATGATTTTCCAGAGAAATTTAAGTCAAACGATTTTGGTAATTAAATTTGATATTTGGAAATCAAAATTTTATTAGTTTAAAAAATTGATGCAATTTTTTTTGTTTAGAAAATACTCCAAAACAAGGTCCAATTACTGGGAGTGAAGCGTTTCTGGCAAGTATTTCAAAAAAGTCATCTTTCCCTCACACTCAAAGTAACCCGTCTACACCAAAACCAGAGTGTCGAATCAGCCCTCAACAAGACGAAGGCTTTGATTCTGGCTCCAGTCTGTGGAACCTAAACAACAAAGCAGTTACTCCACCGACTCCACCTGCTACTCCTCCTTCTTCGTTACCGAGACCAGAACAGTGGTTAGGTAAAGTAGCTGCTGTAACTTTGCAATCAACAGAACCACAAGTGACACCCAAAAGACATCCCCACTTAGCAGCACATAGCCGTGCGTATTCTCTGGACACTGCTGAAGACGTTTACCGCTCTAAATATAACAGTATGTCTGCTAATCCTTTTGATCCCAACTACATTGCCCCAAAACAAAACACTAACCCGTTTTTAAGTAGTCCAATAGCAGCGGGTCAAAACAAAACTGTGAAAACGTTTGAAGTTCAAATGTGATACAATTATGTTGTATTTCTGACGATGAGTTAATTTATATTTTAAAAGACTACCTATATTGGACGTAATGGAATAATTGTTTATTGAAAATATCTTTATACTTTGCATAGTTTTTGGTTAAAAATATGTACTTCATTTTAATTGAATCTAAAAGCGTGCAATGATCTTCAAAACATTTACTACAATACTTAATATTTAATTTAATTTTAAAAAATATAAAAAAACGCAGAAAAACTTAAGTTCTTCTCGGTAGTTAGATAAATTTAATAATTTACAAACTTTTAAAGTATATCTATTTAAAAGTTTACTCAACTCAAGAGTATTGACAACTATTCTTCTTCTTAAACAAAAAATTTATTAATGTCAACCACCATCTATTAAAACTTTAAGTTGCGTACTTAATAAGGCGAAAATTTCACTTTTGCCTTGTTCTAGCAATAGTTTAAAAAATAGTTGGCCAATTAAAATATTAAATAGTTTTATAAAAACAAATGCAACGTCTTCAAATCAATATTTTGAAGAACATGGCATGTTTTGATATTTTTAATGTACATCTATATGAAGTATTACGGTACATACCTAAATAGTGATTTATACGTTATCGTAACTCATACATATCAATATTTTTTTAATGTTTAAATATTAAGATTCATGCAATGTTTAATACTATCAATGGTATGCTTACAGTTAAGGGTACTCACGAATTTTGATATAACGTAGTCAATGATTTATCTATAAATTGTTGTTCTCGGCCTTATTGTAGAACACATTAATTTAATCACTAGAACACTTAGTACAATACAATTATTTTCACATTAAATAACTATAAAGGGAGAAAATGTTTTAGAACATATTATATTTACATACATATTATAGCAATGTAAAGATTATAACAAATTAGTGTTTCTTCGAAAATTGTATAATTGATTTTGTTATTGTGTTCTTGAGAACTAAAGATACCATTAACTATTTCACCGACAATGATGAACCAAAATTGTATGTGTAACATGATACATAAAAAAATCAAAAATTATGTACTTATTCTTCTCTGCTCCTGTTAGATTGAAAAAAATATTATCTCTTGATGATCGTTTTCCTAGCACTAATTATAGAGATAAATAAATGTTGTACATTTATACTATACCACTTAAAAATTGATTCCATTTTTCTTTACACGTATTATTAAATATTTTCTTCTATCCTTTCGCTTACGGTATTACAGTACTTATACATATGTATATATGTATTTACACACACATTAACGTCTGACCGTCTTTCGTAGACATTTGAGTTTAGCCCATTCCAAAAATTGTATAACACGGTTGTTAATACAATCATATAGCTGCATATACTGATAAGGATTGCGTGCGTGTTCTGTGATATTTGTGTATTCAATAGTCTGTCTTTATTATTATATATACATATACATATATATATTTTTTTTCTATTGGTACACAACAATGTTTATTATTATTATTATTATTAAATGTATTATACCTGTATGTATTAACAGTAAATTTGCACTCGCTGCTGTTTGGAACTACATGTAGTTCCGCAAAGGTATTATTAATTTGTATTTAAATACATATAACTAAATAAAATAAATATATATATAATTATAGGTTTTTAGTAATTAGTAGTTTCGACGGTTATTATCATTTTAATTTAGTTGTTAAATAGTATACTTACATAATATAATAATTTGTTAGAATAGTTTGTATCATAATTATATTTTCTTAAACATTATATTTGATACCTTATACATACCCTCATATGATCGATTGTAATATGTTTGTAAAAAGTATTATTTATGTAGATTCAGAACAATTAACGTTGATTGTGTGCCAATTTGTACCTATTTTAGTAATGTTGGTGTGCGATTATATTGTTTTTAAACTCCAATTTCACTAGCGGGGCGGGGGCTCTTTACTATGATGGCACATGAATAAATATTTATAGTTTGGGGGATATTAGTATTATATTGTTGTTGTTGTTGTTGACGATGATTATGATAATAGTTGGCAGCCATTGAGTGTTTCATATAAATGCCTAACAGACAGTATTGTTCTTTTTTTATTATTATTATAAAAATGGCTAAGTGCAATTCATTTTTACAAGTATTGTATTTCCACCCACATTAAAAAACTTAACTATTCAATATTAAAAAAAAAAATCTACGCACAAAGCTAGCAGCTATAGTTATATTTTGTTTTGTACTTATTGTGATTTTTATCAGCTTGCAAAAAAAGTACTTCACAATGATTGAGCTTTATTATATTTTATATAATAACTATTAATATCACTTAACTATTTTGCAGTTGATAATTAAGAAATAGTATCTAGGTAGCTGTATTTCTTACTACCATACTGTATTTAATTTAATCATTAAATGTACTTAAACAATAACGTTTTTTTTTGCGTGGCATATTGTGCCTAAACAAATTATTATAAAACTAGACAATATTTTAGATATTTAAGAGCCTTTGTACTTAATAAATGTTGCCGCATTATATATTATATATGTTATATATTATGAATATAAAAATTATTTATTGTTTTTATGTCGAGTGTATTAAAGGTAGTAAAAATTGCCAATTATTATGTTTATATTTTATTTCTTCTTTCTTCTTTTATGTTGTAACTGATGGTGTGTTGTAATAGATACCTTTAGAGAACTTGGGATTTGTGTCTGTGATCAAAAGAATACATTAAAACAATTATTATTATTTTGCTTTTTGCAAAATATGATAAATATATACAGTGGCGCACAGAGTTCTAACATAATGTATCCCGTTAAAAAGAAGTTCTTTTATATTTTCATATATCCTCATACATACTACGTATGTTTCAGTCAAATTACTAATACTACCTACCTTTTTACAAAACTTCCCTTCTTTAAAGGGAACGAAAAATACTTTATTAAGGGGCAAAGGTTAGGCAATATATATAATGCAAAAATTTATCTAGTAGCCAATTATGCCTACTAATTATAAGGTGAAAAAATATTTTTCAAGTTATTTTACTCCGAGTTATGAAAAAGTTTTAATAAAAATGTACTCTATTGGACGAATTAAAATTTGTTTTTATGTGCAGCTTACTATTTTGTCAGTGGGAGTTATAAGACTAAATTTGTAACTAACTGTTAGAAAATTACTTAGAATTATTAGAAAAAATTAATAATATAAATGCTTATAATTAAAAGAAGTAACAAAAAAAAATTTTTTAATCGGTTCAGTAGACACTGACTTTTTGTTTTAGCCTGTATTTGAATAAATTTGGCGTTTTTAGTTCCTCTAAAAGAAAAAAACCAGTACAGTGGGGTCGGGGCATAGTGGGGACGGAGCATAGTGGGGACGGGGAGGTCACATGTTTATAGGAATTTTTAAATCTGAAAGTGATAAAATCACTTTCGAAAAAACGCTTCGATGCAAATCGGTAGTTAGTATTTTCAAGGCAGTACAATCTAAACCAAGCACAGTGTAAGCTAGCAAAGTTAGAAAGTATTAAATTGAATCGGCCATTTCAAAAACGACTTAGGTCACCGATTTTTCAAAACTGTCTTTTTATCAAATGTAATAATTATATACTTAGCTACGTATTCTGTGTGAAAACTCAATTTGTCAGACTCATATTTAATACAAATGTTGAGTACAAGAAATTTGAATCACTGCAAAATATTTTTATGAAGTTTCTTGTGGCTAGTGTAATATTTCAAATTTGTGACTTGTGTCGTTTTAAAAATATATTGTAATTTCTTATTAAACCCTATGAGATATGAGATATTGAGTGGCTCGTTATAAAAAAATCACCCTGTATTTTAATAATAATTAAAAGTCATGAATGATAATTCTTTATTTTATGACTGGATCAAATCTCGTGAACATTTTACTTTATGATACTGCTCCTATACTATTATTAAAAAAACACAATTTTTAAAATCTCCATAAAAGGTTTTCAACCCACATAAATACAAAGAACACAGCTAATAATGATGAATTTTGCTTTTGTGATTTTTTTTTTTTTAACTCCTTACTATTAAAAATACTATATAATTATATAGTAGCTATAGTTGCTCTTAAATGTGAGTTTCGGACCCTTAATAAACACATAACTGCGAAATAAAAATAACATTATTAAGATACATTTTTTATACGCATATTAATTGCATATTTTGGTCAACAAATATCTGATTTACTATCTGTCGAATGGCGAGTTAATGGAAAACAGAACCTGATCAATAAACGAAGAAGAGTAGTTCTTGTTAATCACCAGGATTTTATTGATGCAATAGGTGAATATTATATAAGCATATTACTTATTAATTTATGTCAGGCTGCACAAAATTTTGATAATCTTCTATATAAATGACATTAAATTTACATCATGATTCTTCATCATCTTCTCGCCTCCCCTTCTCTTCTCGAAGTTACTTTTTTTTTTTATTATCTTTTTTTTTTAGGCGGTATCCCACGACACGTATTAGGTGCTTTATTTCTCTACGATACAATGCACAAATAAGTCCGTATTTTCGTCCGTTCCGCCGGGTTTCCGGATTACATTTACGTGGCCGTACTCTTAGCTGGTTGAGGGGCGGTCCCAGAATCCGTGGCCGTACTCTTAGCCGGTTGAGGGGTGGTCCTAGAATGCATTGCCGTACTCATGGCTGTTTGAGGGGCGGTTCCAGAATCCGTGGCCGTACTCTTAGCCGGTTGAGGGGCGGTCCTAGAATGCATTGCCGTACTCATGGCCGGATGAGGGGCGGTTCCAGAATCCGTTGCCGTACTCTTAGCCGGTTGAGAAGTCCCGGAATTCGTGGCCGTACTCTTAGCCGGTTGAGGGGCGGTCCCAGAATCCGTTGCCGTAGTCTTATCCGGTTGAGGGGCGGTTCCAGAATCCGTTGCCGTAGTCTTATCCGGTTGAGAAGTCCCGGAATACGTGGCCGTACTCTTAGCCGGTTGAGGGGCGGTCCCAGAATCCGTTGCCGTACTCTTAGCCGGTTGAGGGGCGGTCCTAGAATGCATTGCCGTACTCATGGCCGGTTGAGGGGCGGTCCCAGAATCCTTTGCCGTACTCATGGCCGGTTGAGGGGCGGTACCAGAACCCGTTGCCGTAGTCTTAGCCGGTTGAGAAGTCCCGGCATGCGTGGCCGTACTCTTAGCCGGTTGAGGGGCAGGTGCGGAGGTCGATGTCACTGCCGACTGTTTTGGAAAAAAAAACATTATTATACTTACATTTTTATGTCTTATTTCTGGCACATAACCGATAAGAGATTAGAGATAAATGATGAGGGATGGGGTAGGGGTGGGGGTGTGAATGGATTTGGGGTTAGGGGTAGGGGTTGGAATGGGAGTGGGGGTAGTATATTACTTTGGCAAATTAATCGAAAAAAACTGTCACAAAAACACATAGGTATTACATATTATATGTTAACAGCTTGCGTACTTTTCCGCAACACCACGTGATACATTTTTAATAACCAAACATATTCGTCTGCTTATCGTAAGGGAAGCATTTTATTTTATGATAATGGCCTAACAAATTATATTTTAAAACAAATTATTGACCACATAATAACTCTTTGGAACATATATTTAACTTATCAATTACTTCTGGAATTTTCCCACACGTGCATAAGGAAACTACTATAATCCCAGTTTATAAACCGGAGAATAAAAGTATCTGTACTAATTATCGTCCGATATCTCGGACTTATACTTTATCCAAAGTATTGGAAAAATGTATAAAAATAAGATTGTATGTGTTTCTGGAAAAATCGTCTATTTTTTTTGAAAGACAAATTGGTTTAAGAAATAATAAATGTGCTTTTAAAGCGTTACAAAGTCGAATAAGTTCTATTTACAAAAAACTTGATGAGGGTGACGTTTTAGTACTTGGAATTTTTTAGATGTAAAAAAGGCCTTTGACTCAGTAGACCATAATTTGTTACTAAAAAAATTAGACACATATGGCACTCGTGGAGTAGCGAATAATCTTAACAAAACTTTTCTAACAAATTGCACACAGCGAGTTAAATTAAATAATACTCATAGCAATTTTTGTAGTCATATCAAATCTGTTGATTCTGTAAAATACCTTGGTGTGAATATTGATGGATATTTAAAATGGGATATTCACATTGGATCTACTATTAAAAAAGTTAGAAGCATGTTCTATATTTTCAAAACTCTAAACAATATTTTATTGACCAACACCACGAGAATGATTTATTGTGCAATTGCTCAGTCAGTTTTCTCTTTTGGAATTGCTGCTTGGAGAGGAGCTTATGATGCGCATCTAAAAAACTTATAACAACGATAAATTCCTTACTCAGGATTGCTTTCAAAAAACCCTACTATACACATACAAATATTATATTCAATACCTACAATTTACTTAATCTAAAACAACTCCATGCAAATTAAATTTTACGTAATTTGTATTACTCCAACCATAAAGATTTTAATTTTAATCTAACCATTTGACGTGTATTATATTAAAATTGTTAAAAATGTTTTTACAATTTTTAAATGTAATAGTGAATTTGGTAAAAGAAATCCGTATTATATGGGTTTGAAACTCTGTAATTCTTTGTGTATTGATATAAATAGTTTCCATAGTTTTAACCCTTCACTGCACAATGTTCCATAATATGGAACGATTGTATTTATTGTTTATGTCTGCTCATGCTATACATCTTTGTATACATCAATGTTCCATAATGTTCCAAATTCTTAAATTATCGTTTTCCATGAAACCAAAACTCAAAACAAATTTATTTTTATTTTCTTAAGTAGTATTAAGTACATTTATAGCATATGGTTAAAAAAAAAAAATTATGCAGTGAAGGGTTAAGTTATATAAAAAATATGTCATCTATAAATTACGAGTGTCAACATTTTGAAAATGTATGCTTACACGCTAACTTACTTACTAACTATTACAATCTACTTCTTTTTGTTTTTTATTTGTTCTTATAATATTGGTATATTATACTGTTATTTTTCATTTGTAAATTATCTAAATATTGAAAACAGAAAAATGTATAAATTTAAGACATGAGATATGAACTCTTGTCTCCTCCACAAGCATCAGGCTTTTGGAGACAAACTTTTTCCTTTATTACTCATGTATTGTAAACTATGTATGTTCTGTTTGGAAATAATAAATAAATCATCATCAAATCAAATCAAATCTTAATTGCTAAAAAAAAAATAAAAAAGATAAATAACTGAAATTAACATATATAAAATTATAAATTATTAAATATACATATAAATAGAAAAAAGTGCCTGCAACACACGTATCTAGCTCTAAAGGTGAGCTTCCAGGCTACTTAGCCAATCTTGGGCCTCACTGTTAGGGGGCATACCTCTGCAACGTGTTTGATGTTTTGTACCTGTCCACACTCGCAGAGTGGTGTATCTACAATTTTCCAATTATTGTAAACGAAATTACAATTTCCCTGTTCTGTTCTGATCCGGTTTTGAGCGGTCCACAACACGAGTTCAAATCCTGGGCCTTTTTGATTCGGATCATTGACGATGAGGCCATTAACCACGTTTTCATCTCTCCAAATTTTCTTCCACAAATCCTCCGGATTATCTGTTGTGCTGTCGATAGACCAAATAGTGCGAAAGTCATTTGCCCACACTACCAGCTTGTTCCGGCTAGCTTACTGATTATATTGCTTCTTGTTTTTATTTTGTTTTTTACTCCTTCTAAATGTTATTTGAAGGTCAAAGTCCTGTCTAACTTTAATTCCAGGTATTTCGGAGAGCCTTCTCATTGTATATTAACTCCCTGAGCCTCTAAGTTCAGTTTTCGTTAGGTCGAGGAAACCCGCCTCTGATTTTATTTTCTTCTGAAATCCGTTTTCTACATGCGTGACAAAACTTGCTCACAACAACTTTTTCCTGATCTGAAACCTGCTTGTTCCTTCGGTAGATTCTCTTCGGTTTGTGTTTTGAACTCTTGTTAACAGTACTCTTTCAAACAATTTATATACCACTGATAATAATGACATCGGTTTATAATTCTTTGGGTCATTAGTAACAATCTATATAATATATAAAATTCTCGTGTCACAGTGTTTGTAACAAAACTTCTCCGAAACGGCTTGACCGATTCTTATGAATTTTTGTGTGTATATTCAGTAGATCTGACAATAGGACGTTAACTATTTTTCATACCCCTAAGTGATAAGGGTGGTCCACCCCAATTTATTTTTATTTAATATGATTATCGATAGTATCAATAGTTATGAAAAATTACACCGTAGATCTATGTACGGTGCCATTTTTCATACCACAGGGATACAGCTGATTGTTTGTCTAATACATGACCATGTCTAATACATATATACCCGGGAAACGCCGGGTCGGGACAGCTTGCATAATTTGCCACCCTCCATTAATTTCGAATTTTTAAGCGGCATTCGTTTTGAGAAAATCGCAACTTTCAGAAACAGAGACAACTTTTTAATAGATCAAAATTGTATAAAGCCGGTGTCAGATGCTGTTTAATTTGTACTTACCGAATACCATCGGTGGTAATACCACCCGCCTATTGCGCCGGCTCCAAACACCGCCGCTCCTCCAGCCACTATCTTCCAGTTCACATATTTTAACATTGTACTGAAAAATTATAGAATTATACTGACGTCAAATATTAGATAAAAATCAAAATCACACAAAATGATTAATACATAATCAATATTTACCTTAACGACAATTTGATGCCACAGTAACATCATACAAGTTTTTTTCAGTCAGAAGTAAAAATTAAAGAGGATATCTTATGAAACTAAAAAAGAACCGTATACATTTAACTAGTTTTTCAAATTAAATACAAACCCATGTACGTCCAATTACGAAAATGAAAAAAGTTTATAGCACACATTAAATCCTTACAGACAAGATAGCTTACCATATGGAAAGAAAACGACGAAGCTACGCAGGGTCGTATTTAGGAGGGGACAACAGGGGGCTGTTGCCCCGGGCGCTGATTATTAGAGGGCGGCTAAATTTTATTATATTGCATTAAATTTGTATTATATTATAATAAGGCGTTTTTTTTGTTGCCCCAGGGTGACAAATTCCTAAATACGGCCCTGAACCTACGACTGTACTTGAATATTGGTTAAACACTATAGATGTAAAAATAAGTGAAAATTATGATTCAAAGGCTGGTTTCACAAAGACAAAATACCAACGACACAATATAACAACTAGAAAATTACCTAGAATCCTACCAACAGTATCAAGATTTGTCAAAAACATATCAAGACTCTCAAAAACTAACTTTGGGCTTAATTATCCACGCATACTGGTTAGGCATTAACCAAACATCATTAAAAGAAAATCACAAATTGGTACTTTTTATAACTATAGAGTAAATTGTCTGTTTTTAGATTACTTGCGCAACAAATAGATTTTAGAGATCCGTATGAAAAAAATCGATGCTATACAAAAATCGTTTGATAACAATAAATCAATTTTATTGGAAATGCGCTTAATTTCGTTGAAAGATCTAAGCAAAATATTCCACAGAAGGCTGTGGAAACCACGACAAGAGATCATGTAAATCTCAACGGTATAATAAATTCCAAGTAAGTTGAAACGTTACTGAACAGTGTACATTGCAAATTAAATGCATAATATTGTTGTACAAAATTTGTGTACATATTTAAACAGTTTTACAAATAGTGTGTTGTAAAAAAATAGACTAAAGAGCATATTCAATTTTATCACTTTTTTTATAATAATTCCTCTAGACCTGTGACCTCTCCGTCCCCTCGTTGCTTTGATTCCATTATACCTATACTCTACTGTACTAGTCCTCTTGTATAAAATCACTTTCAAATAAACGCTTTGATGCTTATTTGTAAATACAGAACGTCAATTTAATACTTTCTAACTTTGCTGGTTTATACTGTGCTTGGTTTGGACTGTACTGGCTTGAAAATACTAACTATCGATTTGCATCGAAGCGTTTTTTCGAAAGTGATTTTATCACTTTCAGATTTAAAAATTCCTGTAAACCTGTGACCTCCCCGTCTCTACTATGCCCCGACCCCACTGTACTGTTTTTTTTGGGTCGGTGATTACGAATTTCATATCAGTTCTCAATTTAAATCATCATCCGGAAAGAACTTAAGTAAAAAAAAAAAAAGTTGAATTTGTGTAAACTTAAAGTCAAAAGTGGTAATTGGGCACAAAACTTAATAGTATCATTCTGCATAGATATACATAAAAGTGTTTTAATGATTTGATAAATTTTTTTTAAAGATTTTAGGTGTTTTTGTTAAAATATACGCAATCTGCGAAAACGCAGTTTCCCGGCAATTAAAAAAAAACTGTAGTGCCGAATTTTTCACCCGTTTAATATGTTATGGATACATATAAGTTCCAACTACTGGCAAATATTCAACCCAAAAGTTTTAAAATTACGGCTAAAAACCCCAAAAAACAAAAAAACTTGTACCCCCCCTAGGGGGGCGGGAAATGGGTATAGTTTAAATTTGACACAACTGTCGTGTGCAGGCATACCAAATAATTATTTCTTATACGTTTCAACTCGATCCGACTCTTTTTCTCGAAATTATAACCAATAAAAGTTCTAACTTAAAAACTCGTACGGTTTTTTTTTTGTTTTTTCAAATTTCGTCTGTGAAGACTTAAACTTTTTCAACTTTTACCCCCCCCCCCTCAAAGTACAAACTAGATAAAATTTGTGATTAATAGAATTGCTATTCGAAGGAATTGGTCTAGTATTAAAAAAGTTACAGTGTATACAGCGAAAAAAAAAGCCCACATCAGAGTAAAACCAATACCTTCTCGCTTTGCATCGAAGCTAAAATATGGCCTGATTAATTAGTATGTTAAATACAAGGGAGCAAAAATCTAAGGACTTGATTACTTTGGTGAAATTAAATTAAATTTTATTTAGAGTATCATCATTTTTCATTAGTTTTCAATCATATAAAACCATTGCTGTTAAGTCTTAATTAATATTTTTAATTATTACTCTTTTTTTTTTAAGTATTTTGAACCTCCCTTATTTTTATAAAAAGATGATAGCTTTTTTATTTTTATTTATTCAAAAGTATAATTTTAACAAAGTTCTTGTTTTTTTTTTTAGTTTTAAAAAGCAATATTGTTGGGCGGTCGCATTGATGAGTATAAGGATTTGTATTTTTTTTTATCTATTGTACTAAAATTAAAAATTACTATGTGCCAACAACGACGTGACATTTGATATCCCATTTATTTTTAAAGACTCGACAAATAATATAATAATTACACAAGGTAATGTATTACTACTAAAATTCCTTTGGAAAAATTGTGTTTCATTCATCTTAAACTATTTTTGCGTACCTTTTTTATGTATAACTTAATTGTTTTATAAAAACTAACAATCCCCTCTTACGACATATCTGGAAATCTTCTATTATATTTATTATTAACAAGATAAATAATTACATTTTTTTCCTATAGACAATATATGTTTATTAAAAAGTAAACGTAATTTTTTTTAGGTACTTTAATATATTGGATGTCGCGGTTGTCGTGCCATAATAGGTATTATTGATTCAAGCGATTTATTTATGACCCATTTTAAAAAATAAGTGGTCAAAAGAAAACGGCGGGTTCGCATTCGAAATATAGTTGGCGTTAATAATTATCGAGTTGTTATTATGAATTTGCCCGTCAGCGCAATGGTTAAGTAATCGCTTTCCATGCGAAGGTACACATAGTACATGCGGCATACCTACGGTTGAGAAACATTTACCTACCATAGCACACGAATCACGATGGTAAGTGGCCAGTTTGCATTATACTTAAGTGGGAGAAACCGGTTTTAGCGGATTTCACTCGAGAGTTTCAGCGTCCAGCACGCACAGACCACAGTTGGGATACGTTGTACCTAAGTGTTTGTACGTTTCTTAGTGTCTGTGTCCGAGGTCATCTAAGATCATCACGTGTATTCTATTCTGTTAAGTTGATGAATGTTCGAAATTACGTTTGTTGAAGTTTAAATTCGTCATTTCCGGTTTGTTTTTCAGATCATTTCTTTTGGTAATTACATTATGCTATTATTATCTTAAAAATATGTTTGGTTTTAAACTACACAACGATAACAATTAGAAAATAGATGCGTTCATTTTCATTATGTAAAGTGTTTATTTTCCACGACTCGATCATTTCGTTCAAAAGTAATAATAATGTAATTTAGGAGGTACGAATTTTATGGATGGAACGTATCAAATTGTATACTTGGTTTTATTCGCTTAAATATGATCAATTTCATTTAATTATACAAAATGAAAATCTATTTTCTCGTTAATACCTATTGTTAGAAAACAAATTCGATAATTTGTTTTAGCTCGCAAAAAAATAAATTATTTGAGGGCGTTATACCCGCTACTTATTAAGTAATTCGGTGAAGGCAATGTTTTGTACAATTTTAATTCAAAATGTTTGATCTATAATGTATAATTAGAACTGTTTGTTGACTGTTTTTGTCCGACTACCACAGCATCATCGACAGCGATTTAAAATATTTTTTTTGTCTAAACATTGTGGAAGATGACATTTTGGAGGACAATTCATGTCTTTTTTTCATTAAGTTAAGCATTGAACTTTATATTTAAAGTTGAGAAAAGTAAATTAAAACAGTAGGACATGCAATTTTCTAGGGCATATTTAAAAATAAAAGTTACCTTTGTTTTTGCTCTAAAACCATCATGGAACATGTAAAACGCATTCTGTGTAGACATGTTTTTACGATTTTAGCTAAGGGGTAGATATAACGTCCTACTGTCCATTTATTGGATTTAAATTTCATGTTTGATGTGAAAACTATTTGTCTCCCTTGTTTACAATTCTGGATTACCCCCTCATTTATACTTGCTCATTCAAAAAATACCAAAATTAAAACCTTGCCTAACATATACATACTTACCTACATGTCACTTCATTATAATATTATAATGAAATATACAAACATTAATCATTATGAATATTATGTCGAATAACTAAATACATTAACGAAAATATTGGGCTCAGAAAAATGTAACCGTCTAAATTTTCACTAGCTCAAATGGCCTACAAAAACATAATTTCAAAATTTGGTATTGAGAAATTTACCACGAACTTAAATATTTTTGCTATAATAAGTTTTTTTCTATTGTAAAAGATAGGTATTTAAGAGAAACTACCATATAAATATCGTAGACCTCATAATATTGTATTCAAATATTTAATGTCTTGACTATGCCTAACAATAATAATAATAGCTAAGAATTGACGAGGTCACATTGCGAGCACCAGGTCTTTAGCGGGTTGCCTTTGGGGTAACTTGGGGTCGGAGGTATTTTGTTACAAAACATGTACTTAGCTGTTAATGGTTGTAGCACGGGATATCTATTAGAGAACTTAAATTCTAACTAAATGGAACCGTTCTCGACCCTCTATTTTCTTATTTGTGACAGCCAGGTAATGCGGTCAGAATAGGTCATAGGGACAAGAGAATATAAAAATGTTTTATAATACCTTTGATGCGAAGCCTTCAAAGTAATGGTGTTAGCTACAAAATGTTTTTATTTTTTTTTTTTTTACGTCTAGCTTACAAAAAGGTTTTGTGTCCGTAGGGCGTAGACTGAAAATAATTGATGTTTTGATATTGGGTCAAGTGGAGTAAAAATAAGGCTGGCCTAAAAACAAAAAATAACACCGTATAATCCTAAAATTGTAATAAATACATACATATATTTTATAAAATACAAGCTGAATTATCCGGCGTTGCCCGGAAAAATAATTGCGATTGTTCAACTCTTTTTGGGTGTAACTCGCTGTGGAAGCAATGTCTTTTTAAGTGTAAATCACCCAATCAGCGTTTATCTAACATATAAAAACTCTTGAAAAATATCTATATCTATCTTCGATTTTTTTCTTCGAGCCCTTACAGGTCTGTTGTGTTTCTTAAAATGTAACAACACTAAATTAAAAATAATAGTGATTGACTACAGAGCTATAGAGCCACACGTCACGCGACATAGAGCCGTTTATATAAACACTTATTTTTATAAGCACTTATGTTAAACTTAAAACTACAATTTACAGTGCGTTATGATTTTATGATTTAAAAATAAATCTCTAGTTTTAAGTTTATCGAGGATAAATAAAACAAACCAGAAACTATCAACACTATTGTAATAGCAATGTTATTGCTTTTATAGTTATTTTACCGCTAAAGTTAAACATTTTTGATTCAATAGACAATTATCCGAGCGTTTTTTTAGAGTGGTGCTTTAACTTACACAATCAATTGTCGTAACAACTAATAATATACTTACATCCCAGAATGACCGCCCTGACTTCCTTATGTTTTGTCCCCCATTGTGGTGCTGCCACTTTAGTTTTTATTAACCATGGAAATCTTCCAATAAAACTTTTTTGTATCTTTTGAATTTAGGGACAGACGGATAAATGCAGACTACCATCGTCGTCCGTAAGAAGAGGACTCATCGAGATAGCGGACAAGCGTCAAATAATAATTATTTTCCCGACCATCCACAAGACTGTTGGCCTAGTGACGAAGAAGACATAAGATCAGGAAATTGTTCCTTCCACGTCGATGTACGGCATATTAGCGTTAAATTAATTTTGTGATACTTAAATGTTATTGTTATTTTCCTCTTGACAGTATTTGGGACGCGTTGAGCTAGATGCCTCCGAGACGAGGAATCCGAAAGCTTGTCGTGATTCTTTTGAAAAACTACACGAGGAATACACCAGAGGAGAATTGCACCCCCCCTCAGCTGTTTTATGGATAACCGGATACGAACTGAGGGTTGTCGAGAAGGAATCTAAGGTAAAATAAAAAGACTTTTCTCAGATCACGATATAGTATACTTAATGGGCAACCTAACGGTGCTTGAGCGCTCCCTCCGACCATGGCAACTTTTTTTTTTTCTAATTACATTATTTACATATGATAAATTACCTAACATATTATAAATGTCCTTTTATATATAATACAATTTAAAAAAAAAAAAATTAATTTTAACAAAAACTATAATAAAAAAAAAATAACCAATTTTATTTGAACAATGAAATCCAAATTATAATTTAAAATAAACTGTCACTATTGAACTCAAATATCTGTTTATGTAAATATACACATTGAAACCATACAAATTTAAAAATAGGAATTGGAAGTTTTAAGACTACTCTACACTACGTATGCCAAATATATATTAAGTTATTAATACAATTTTTTTTAGGACTTGATATTGGCCCAAATCATTGAAAACGTATATTTTTGCTCGTCGACAGTCGAACGTTCAAAGCAGTTTTTTTACACATCAAAAGATGTACATTGCGATAGGTGGTGGTGTCATTTATTTATCGCCAAAAACGATTGTTCGGTAGGTGTTGTTTAAGACATTACAGGTGTATAAAAAATATTCTTCTTTTTGATGTGTGCTAATCATTTACACGATTTTCAGGGTGATCGTTTGTGTCGTGCGGTAGGAATCGCGTTCAGAGAATGTCTCAGAAGGAAAATTTTGCGTCAAGGGCGATCTGCCGTTAGCCACATGAACAGATGTATAGGTTAAATGTGTTATTGTTGTTTATACGATTTCAAATATAAATAAAAAGTTGACTTTGGAAAAAAAAATGTTTGTTGTGTACATGATAACAATTTGTATTCTTCTTAACAAAGTTTTTCTTGTTATAGAAAACCCTGAAAGCGGTTTAAAGAGAGCCGAGAGGCAATATTGAGCTTTTCTCACTCGCACCGCAAAATATAAATTGAAAACAGTAGGTACTTAATGATGTTCAATAGGACGTTACAGTTACGTTTTAAACATATTTCAGATGAATACAACTATATATATATATATATATATATAATCAATCTGGAAATGGCCGTTAAAATACATAACAGCCGAATTCCAGTTTTTGATGTTTTCGCAAACCCCTTAATATATTAAAATACCCAACAAAAACCTAACAGTGAAAAAAAGGCCTAGTTCCAGACCCCCTCCCAAAAAAGTCAGCCTATCAGAGTAGTGATATCTATCTACATTGTAGCCAAGTCTGATATTTCTTCAGTTCATAACCTCACTTCACTCCTACTTTATGAGCAACACTGCTCATTTATTTGTATTGCTTAACACTTGGCCAGTTTCTGAACGAAACATGAATGAGGCATAAAACAGACATGGCCGCAACGTAGTTACCACTACTTTGATAGACTGACTTTATTGGAAGGAGGTCTGGAACTTGACCCTTTTTCACTGTTAGGTTTTTGTTGGAGATATCATTCCTTTTTGCCGGCTTCAGCATCGTGGCCGCCTCGAAGATTTTGCTCTAATACAATTTTGTTAGAAGAACGGCACTTGCTATTATTTTTTATACTTAGAACGAACGTAGATAGACTGAATTAAATAGTGTTATTATAATATTCTGTATTTGATGACCGATAAATGCAATAAAATACAACAAAATTACGAAAAGATTATGATTGATAAGTATTTACTGTCAATTACAAACAAATTGCCATATTGTAACACGGAAAGAGAACGTTTGTTTCGACGGCGTGGGAATCTGTGATTAAATTAATAAAAATCCGTGCTAATCTAATCAAGCAATATTCATGCGCGTCACATCATACATTTAGAACTACACGCCCTAAAGCGGCATTCATTTTAAGAAAATTGCAACTTTCAGAATTTTCCCTATAGTTACACCTACCTTTGTGTCATATTTCACGTTTCTACCTGAATACGGGAAGTGTTTTATAATTTTGATGATGTCAGTAACAAAAATGAAAACTTTGAAATTCTCCCCTTTTGAAAAGGCTTACTATTAAGGCCTCAATTCCTTACAGTAACCTAAGCTACTCGAGCTTAATCTACACTTAAAATTTCAAAAGCTTATCATAAGAGGAACCAGAGATATGTGGGTTAGAAAAACTGGATGAATCGGTTCGTGTAAAAATACACTGGCATTGGTGAAAATTGGCCTGGAGCATCTTACCTACATAGTATTGAATTATTAACTGAAAATATATATATATAACCTTATAAAATAAATGTGAACAAAATAATCGATTATTATACGATAAAAATAATAATTTATTTGAATGTAGGTTTCAGTTTTTTTTTAAATAATACATTTAGTTATTTTAACAGGAGCATGTGTACACTGTAACTCATAAACTTAAAATAAATAATAAACTGAATTGACATGTAACAATAATCAATATTTATACTACATTTATATAATATCATTTTAACATAAGTTCAATTGTGAATCCATGGATTTTTTTTAAAAAGCTTTAAACCCAAGAACCACAGTGTAATCAATAAAAAATTTGCCATGATTTTTATGAGAACGTTTATATGTGTTGGATTAATTAAAGACCAGCCTCTTAGAATTGCATTTGAAAGTACTGTCCCTAATAAGCTCATGGGTAGGTTTCTAGAAATGTTTTGCATAACTTCGGATTGAGCTTCAACTGGCCAGATAAGTCCTAAAAATACACAATTTAAAGTATGTTTTAGTATTAAAAGTACGATGAACAATTATTAAATTTAATAATAATAAAAAATTATGTAGTACCGCCCACAAACATCTGCACTGATCCCATTGCAAGTGTCATCTGCATAACTTCATTGCTGTTATTCGCTAAGGCAGCAACGAACACACCTATGTTATAATACAACAATAGTATAATAAAACAATGACAGGGAATAAAGTAGGTCGGTATACATTAATCATTTTCAATATAATCATATTCAATTTATACGCTTATGGTTATGTGTGTCTTTCTTGTATACTTCAGTGAAATGTTCTACCATAAAAAAAAACGCTTTTTCTACACTTACAGGAAATACGCTTAATGAATTAAAACTAAGCATGTGTACAAATTTCTTACAAATTATTATAACTTAAAATCACTACTATTTCGCATTTGTCTAAGTAGTATAAGCAAAATACGGCGGGGTTGAGGGTTGTAGCCTGTAGGAATCTTAGTGTGTACACGATAAAAACTGAATTTATACATCGTTGTCTTATTTAAACTTGCATTATAAAAATAAAAAATAAAATTTAGCTACTATAAGTTTTAAGAGTTAAATGATTATAAACATTCAGTAGTTATAAAATAGTTTTGCATAATTTAATTATTACCAAAAAAGAATCCAAGCCAACCTCCTAGGGTTTGGACAACAAATATTTCAAAATAGACGTCAGTTACCAACGGATATTGTAGAATGTAGAACGCGAGAAATGCCAACATAGCAGTCTGAACAATACCTGCCAATGTATGCAGCATTAAATATGCAGTGATAACTTCAAACATTGTAACGCCTGAGATAAATCATAATAAATAACGAAATTAAATAGTGGAATTATGTTTATACTTAAATTAATTATTTTAAAAATATTAATTAAATATTTGTCACCTGCTGTCATAGTTCTACTAAGCAGGCCATCCAGTTTTTCCTCGAGCATAAAACTTGCAGAACACACGCTTGTATAGTAAAATATACATCTAAAGATAATTCCATAGGCATGTTAGTATAGGTATAGGTAAATATAGTATAGGTTCTTTGTATAGGTAAATACATATTAGTAGTTAAAAAATTGAAATTGTACAGTTAAATGTATTTGTGAATAATTGTATACGGTATAAAGTATATTTGCCGTTTAAATGATTTAATATGAATTGTGTATTTGGTAAAAAAAAAAAGAAATATATTGCTGTGGACATTGACTGCACAATATCTTATGAGCAACTATTACTCACACAAAATTATTCCGCAATATTTTCTTCAAAATCTTTTTACAAATTGATACGTCATTTAACAATTTTAAAATTAAATCTTTTTGAAAAAATCTAAATTTTTTTTAAATCTAACCAGTTACTATGCATGATAGTATGTATTAAAACAAATGATAATAATTATTATTAAAAAAAAAAAATTACTAATTAATGAAATTTTAAATAATGGAATATTCATGTTGTATTTTTAATTCGTTACTCACATAACTAAAATCACTCCTAAGGCGGTATGCTTTTGAGAAGTAACGTTTGCTCCATACACGAACTTTGGTTCCTGTAATTATTTATGTAAATATGTATAACTTTTGAAATTAGGGGAAATATAATACATAGGTACTTGTAATTTAACTAATAGTTTGACGAACAATAATTGTGAGCATAATTATTCTAAACCATAACAAATTTTGCAAAAATATAACCTTTTCTTTGCGATAAATTGACTATATTTTCTCAACAAAATATATGCGCGTAGCGTCTTCTTAACGCTTTATACCACTGCGCCATACAATGGACAATATATTATCTTCATAAATTACTAGTGATGTTTTGAAAATAAAATCTAGCAAACAACTGCTGAGTGCTGGTAGACAATAAGGAGAGTAAAGTCTTCAAAACATAAAATAGTGTACCGAGGACCGGAGTATCCTACATAAGTATATACATTTGAATTTAACTTTGTTTTTGTTTAAAAGTCCAGTGTTCAAGTATTATTATAATACTATTAAGTATTTAAACAAAATAATTTTACAAGTTGAAAGTGATCCGTCTCTTAAATAGGATCAGATAATTGGTTAATAAAAAAAAAAACGTTGTAGCACAAACTCAATAGGTGCCTAATGAAAAAATACTGCTATACATCACTTACCCAGGGTGTCATAAATTTCGTACCGAACGAGCATCGAGCTATTTCATTTTTTATTGCGTTTATTGATGCATTAGTAATATGACCCTCAATTTGAGATTTTATTAACATATCTGTAACATTTGTATTGAAATGTATGTTAATATTGTATGTTAAAATTACATGCAACCGTCTAAATGCAAAAAAAAACTTCAAGTCTTATTTTTTAAATGTTTTCTAAGTCGTATCAGCTGGTACTTATATTATGCAATTTGTTTAACAGGTAACATACTTTTTTTCTAACACACTTTTACTTAACAAACTTTTTTTTTGCGAAGGACACCGGCTAACTAATATTACAACTCAATACATTAAAAACAATCAATATTTTAACTATATAGGTAAGGTAGGGTGGCAAAAAAGTAAGTAATTTTGAATTAAATGATTGTCCTATTCCCCTTTTAAGTTTTCTTTGTGGTATACAAAGCCTTTTGTAAACATTTAAGACAATTTTTAATTATTTACCCCAATAAACATATTTGTAAATTATAGTAAATATTTTACTCACTTGCTTTATCAATATACGAAAATAACTGAGAATTAACTGATATTTTATTATCACCATTGATAAATTGTTGAATCCCTTGTGTAAAATTTTTGGGAAAACTTATAAATGCATATATCTGTGCCTTATTGACAGCTTTTAGAGCAGTTTCTGTATCATTGAACTGTATCTAAATTTATAAATTATAATATTTAACACAATAGAAACGTTTTTTTTTTTACCTTTAAGTTCTTTCAGTGTAGCTTTAAATTTTACTCACAAAATCGTAATCGTGCGAATACAGGTAGTTAATCACCCTGCAACTCAATGTACTATTATAGTTGTCGTCAAAAATGCATCCACTGCTATTCATAGTTTTACAGCTAGACATATCGGTTTCCTTATTTTGCACTCCTAAAGTAATGTATTTAAAATTATTACCAACAGTTAAGTTCAGCAACAAACACAAAGACACCGGCAACGCAAACATAAAAAAGAAAAATCTAAAACAATTGAAATAAAAACATATTTTTTAATCATTATCCTAAATATCTACAAAGATCTGTAGAAAACAACCGTTACGTACATAAAATCTCTACTAATTGTAAGACAGTGTTTCTTGAATAACGTCAAGATTCTATGTTTGGAAATAGCAACATCTTTATTTTGAATTACATCGAATAATGTTGTACTTCTTCTTTCGGGACATAAGCTCGGTGATGGTTCTTCAATCACCTAATCACAGAATGATAAAACAAACAAAAACTTGTCATGACAAACATATTTAGTAGTAATTTTTTTTTACCAATGGTTTAGAAGATTCTGTTATAATTTGTAAAAACGCATCTTCCAACGAATCAGTATTATAATGAGACAGTATATTCTGAGGAGAACTTTCTTTTATTATCTTTCCTTGTCTCATAAAAGCTATCTGGAAACACATTAAGGTACAAAATATAAACAAATTAATATCATGTAATTATTATGATATTATATTTAATATTAATACTAGCAAAAGCTTAAGTATATAGTTATATTTTTAACAAAACGATTTTTTAATAACTAAAGATGAAACTTTGGTTTTATAAAAAACCAATCCGTGCTTTTATTTTTAAATATCTAAATAAAAATAATTTTTTTTAACTTAATATTTTTTTTTATTCGGTTTAGACTTTAAAAACTTTTTTAGGAAATATTTCAAATTGAGATACATAGACATGGTATGTTAAGATCTTATTTTTTATTTCTTTGAATTTTTGTGGTCCCACGCCTAACGAAAACTTTCTATGTTATTGTTACATGTAAACCTTGATTTTATGGTTTCCAGAGTTTCAGCATAGTTCTAGCCAGTTAAATGTTTTTTCAGGCCAAATCGGATCAGGCTGGATAGAACTGGGCTAAAACATTTGTTATAACTGTCCAGATTATTCAGATAATTCGGATATCCATTTATCTAGTTCTAATACACTTAAGTCTCGGTTCCTATTAAAATATAGATACGCTACTTTTTGGTAAACCGTTGAATAAGATGTGTTTAATGTTTTTTTATGTCAAAATACGTACAATGTTTGCTTTATTGGCTTCTTGGATGTAGTGAGTGGTAATTATTACAGTTTTATTTTCTCTTTTTACCAAACTTGCCAGATAATCCCAAATGCTAAATAACAAAAATAAGTAATTTTTCAATAGATTATAAAAATGTACACATTGTTTTGATAATTATATAATTTTTTACTTGGAACATAAAATAGGATCGAGACCTACTGTCGGTTCATCTAATATTAAGATTTTTGGATTGTGTAATAAACTAACTGCAAGGGACACTCTTCTACATTGTCCTCCACTGAAATAAAAATTGCTTTTTCATTGCTAATGTCTAATGAGTATAATTTGATATTATAACACTGTACAACGAAAGTTTTTTTTTTTTTTTGGAACGAGGACTAATACATTATTTCTAGCACAACTAGTTATTTTTTAAATTGCCCCTAAAGTTGTAAAACAATTACAGTTTTGTTTGATATTTTTAAAGCGTTCTGTCCATTTATATAATTGTTACACAAATAAATAAAAGAAAATTCAGTTTTTTGTTTTGTAAATTATTTAAAACTCTGGAACTGATTTAAAAATAACTAGACGTGCTAAAGAAAATCCAAGTTCAACCGTTTGACCCGACGATAAACGATAGATGTATTTTAATTTTTGTTCCAAGATCACATTGTACAGAGTGATTAAACATCGTAATTATTTTAACTTTCTTTCTACTATTTTATTTACCTTAGATCTTTGATAAGTGAATTAAAAAAATGAATGTCCAAACTCTCACCAAGTTCAGCCGTTTTTTGTAGTATCTTTTCTTCGGGCATATTATATAATGAACCATAATACATAAGTGTTTCGCGTACCGTGAGATATTTACTTAAGCAAATTCCCTGAAACATATGACAATTAAAAAATATCGATATTAATTATTATAAGATATGATTAAAATATGTATTGTAAAATAAATTGTATTTTTTTACCTGAGGCATATAGCCAATATCCATTTTAGATTCTATTTGTACATTTACAACACCTGAATTCAAAGTTTCTGTACCAATTATTAGATTTAATAATGTAGTTTTGCCACAACCACTTGGACCCAGGAGACCATAACTATTTAAAATTGAAAATTGTATTAAATTTTAAAAATTACACACATATGTATTATTTTGAGTTTTGTTTGTAGTTACTTATAAATTTAAAATTATTTTGAATTATTTTATATAACAACTATAAGTATAACTTTTTTTAACAATAATTGGCATTTTGATAATTTAAATAAGAAAGTGTTTTTTGAATCGCTAAAACGAAAAAAAAACTCATTTTATTTAATTTCAAAAATATACCATCTAAAATACATACATAGCTCCCGTTGGTACATCCATGTAAAGACCATTAAGTACATTTGAACCTTTGCCATAAGATTTAACCGCATTGATTATTCTTATCGCTGAATCATTTGATGAATATGTTTCCATTTTACTTAAATTTGCTTATGTTATTCCTCGTAGGCGAACCTCAGCTGTATCGTAGATAGACTACATACGGTTACACATAACAAATAAATGTAATATATTATTCTAAAGCAAGGTCAAAATCAAATTTCATTATAAAAACAAAAGAATTATAAATATAAATATTCATGACGAATAGGTAGTGTATTAATTTTCCGTAAATTAAAAAACTTAATTAAATATAAAATCTATTTTTTCTTTTTAATGCAATATAATATTACTGTAGGAATATCCATTGAAGTTAATTTGCACGTTATATTTAATGTACTAAATTCAATGTGATTTTTGTAGATTTTGGTAAATATTTCCGTTTACTGATAACTGATGACTGTCAGCAGGTAGGCCGAAACATTTATATTAAAAAACTGACGGCTTTAATATTTTGTAAAATATTTTAGATATTTTGAGACAACTAAAAACGGAAGCAACTCATAACAAGCTATTAAAGTTATTTCTTTGATGCTTAGTATGTATGTAGTGAAATTGTTTACAAAAAAATAGATTAGATATTTAAAACACAAATCAAACCAGTGAACAATTTTTTCCTACAAAAATTGTTTAAGAGTTCAATTTTGTTTTAAGGCCTTAAAGGCACTCTACATCTGCGTATTTTTGCCTTTTAGTTGAAAACAACTTATTCCAATTTTAACCGTACTCGCTGAAATTCGTAATCTTATCAGGAGACAAAAGAAAAGTTAAAAAATAAGAATAATTAATGTTAAATTGGGACTTAAGTTCAGTTCTAGTAAGACGTAGTAGATAATAAACGTAGGTATCTGTGTACTCCTACACTATTTAAAACCAAAGTGTCTTGGAATTATTTAAACATCACCAAATTTTCACAGGAACTAGAGGAAAACATTAACCGTGCTTGGGCGTTTTTTAATTTTTGAAAACTCAATCCACTAATTTTTAATAATTTATTAAAAAATACTAAAAACTATAAACTTTAGCATTAAAAAAAAAATCAATCTATAAAGAATTTCCACTCTTAAGCACATACAATATTTTCCTTTATTTTTCTATGAAAATTTGCTGTTTCTAGTATTATGACAGTCCCTACAGTATAGATTCGAGCAAACTGTTTTACATCACAAATTAAAGGTGGGTAGTGTCTTCTGAGGCGGTGAAAAACATAAATTGTATCTAGAAAAATTAGTTTGGAACATTTCATTTAAAAAAAAAACATGAAAACTTCTATTCTGCGCGATTTTCTTTTGTTTATCTTGTAAGCCTTTAGATATTGTGATCTAAATTTTGCACTTTTTCTCGTACATTTTGTTTAAATGTAACATTTGTATGTTATAAGTTATAACTAATCATATTATAATGTAGTAAATTTTAATTTATAAGTACAATAATGTTGATTTTTTATTTTGTGTGTAGTTTATTTATTTTAATTGAGTCATGAAAAGTATTATAGTTATAATATTAAAAGGTTTCTATATTTTTTTTAAACATATAGAATAGTTTTGTTTTCGTTAGTATAAAAAAAGAAATAAAGAGTTTTATAAAAAACCAGCCCTTGCCCTCCTCCTTGCATCATTTTAGTTAGAGTTTCCACTCAGACCACTCTTAGTAATATTCTAAACCAGGGATTGAACTTTTCCGATTTTCCTAGTCAAAATATACATTGTTATTCAAATTTAATTATTGTAAAATTGATAAACAAATATTAAAACTTCTAATTTTTGTAATAGGAATGCTATAAAAAATTCGAATGTTTTTCCAAAATTAAATCGAAATATTTTACGAACGTAGGTTAAAGGTAAAAACATATGATTTTGCGCATACTACATACTAGGGCCTGTATGCGTTACTACTTATTATGGTTAAAAAAATGTTTAATATAAATAAATTTAGAAAGCTCTCTGTTTTGCTAATCCTTAATAATATAAAGTTTACAATTGTTAGGGCAATATTAAGTTTTATTGAAAAATTGTCAATAAAATACGCCTTAAAAATGCTAGTGTAGAGGCGCCTTAAGTCGAAAACGTCAATGAAATATAATAATAGTACTTAAAAGAAGTACGATTTACTCGACCTTCTTATTCAACCGCATTTGACCTCAAGAAAAAATATTTGAATAAGTTAAAAAAAGCCTTCATAAAACAAGACAATACTACAATAATAATTTATAAATTAGATATTTTAATTAGGTTTATTGTGCAATTCAAACCTAATATGTTTTTACTCTCCGGACTCCGTGTATTGTATTATATTCCTTTTATACATATATTATAATATATAACGATAAAAAAATAGGTTTCAAGGCAAAAACTCAAAATACTTTTTACGACAATAGCCAAAATAACAAAAAAAAAATATTCAAACAAATTTAAGAACATTTTTTTCATTGTAACAGACATGCAGTGCAATTTTTAAAAAAAATCGGCGGGGGTCGCGTCGGTTCAAACGTTCGTATGGATATCAGCGTTTTGATCTATGTATGAGCCGGTGAGAATGAAAGTGACTTAAAATTTCGTTAGTTAATACAAAATTAGGGGCCTGTAAAAGCCAAGAAGAATACAAAATTATAGAAATACAAAACGCAAACCTTCTATTACACAAAACAACTTGGGACTTACGCCACTTTCATTTTCGCCGGCTTATATATACGCTTCAGTCTATACCTAATGGTGGTCATAATATTTAAAGGTGACACATTCAATTACAGATACCTATTTATTTTACTTAGAATAGTAACGACAAACTATAGACACAATTATTATAGTACAATAAAACGGCCCCGTTATCTAAAACAAAAGTGGCCTTTTGGGCGTTGGTTCAGCAACTGCCTCCAGCTCAGTCCGCGGTACGGCCGCGGTGGACTTTGTGATACCTGTCTTATTATTCGACGGCGCGCTTATCAGCGTGTATTAAATTTTGTATTATAATTTATAGCGTCGTAGTGTTACCGGCGATAAGCAGACGGGGCATGCTATGTATTCTGTGATATTAACACCAAACATTACAATATAAACACTAGGTATAGATTATAACATTATATTTGATAACACGATTCGTTTGACCGTTGCCACTTGTCGGTGAACGACATAGCACACTGTAGCGTGACAGCGGCGGTGAAGTTACCTTGTTCGGGCGACTGTGTAATAATATTACTGTCGTTGGTGAGTACGACCACTGTAAACGGTACCTAGCCATGGACAGCCGTGATCAGCGGGAAAGCGGTAAGTCAGCATCGAAAATCGACGGCAAGCAACCAGTGACGGTACGGGTCGATCGCGTGCTCGGTCGCGGCACGTTCAGTACAGTTTACCGGGCGCAGGTGGCACGGCGCGCGGATAACGGCCAAAGTCATTCGGAGTACGTGGCGCTCAAGGTGTTAAGGCTGAGACGAAGCGACCGCAACGATGAGAAAGCCAAATGTAACCAAGAGACGGCAAAATTCGGAGGCCGAGTCGACGCCGAGCACCGAGACTGCGTCAACGAGATCGTCAACCTCAAGGTATAGTGAAAATACTATGTTATCTTAGATTCGCCAAAGTGCACAATCCGAAGTTTGTAAACGTGTCACGTCAATAGTTCTTAAGTTCTAAACGCACTGCGCTGTATAAATACTGTATACTGACATACTTGCCGAAACTCGCAAAACTACTAGGCCGTAGTTTGTTAAATGATATTATTGTAATCATTCGACTTTGGCAAATAAAATGTAGTTTGTAGTAACTAGTAGAGCCGCGGCACGGTACAGTTGGCCACGGACGTATTGTAACCCGTGAAATGGGCTTTCCCGAATCCGCCAACAGTAAAATGTGTTAATAGCTTTAAAAAATAATCAGCTTTAGACAGCGCGCTGACCTAGTAGACCGGAACCCTCCCGGTCCAAGTCTGGTTTTTAAGGGTACCGAATTAGAGCTCAATCACATTAATAAACGTGTAAACATGTTTCTCTATAAAGGGTTTTATTTTCGGGGTGTGTTCGCTATTGTACCGACATTACCCGAAGTCGACCGTTACAAAATGCTTAAATACGATTGTTAATGTTGTTTTTTTACCGTAATTTATTTGCGTCAGAGCCTAGCCAGCTGCCCTACGAACTATACCTTTCCGTCGGCCATGATCACAAGAAAATTAATTTCAACCAAAACGACTATTTGTTGAAGTTCGAAACTTTTCACCGTTTTGAAAAGTCTCACGTAAAAATAACTATTTAGTAATATTTAGTAATTTAGTATTATTTATGTAATTTTCAAAAAACATTTGAATTTTTACTAAAAACGAGCACAGAGAATAGGGGACCGCATAACAGTCGTTCCGAGACATTCAGTGTTCCATTCGTGGACGTTAATATAGCTAATATAAATCATTAATTTTATTTTAAAAAAAAACTGTAGAACTCTTTTAAACAACTGCCATTTTTCCTTAGCACGTTGTTTATTGCCAAATTTTATAGGCTGTTTAATTTTTTTTTAACGCTTTCCACGTTTCACACAGGCATTCCACGTGCTATTTCGGTGTCGAATGTCGCTTTTTTGTTCAGTACACGCGGGTACAGTTATATATTTTGTTTGTGCAGAAACTTGACCATCCAAACATAGTAAGACTACTGTGGTGGGACTACGTGCCAGCCGAAGACGACGGGGCGGCCCTGTTGAAGATCGCCACCGAGTTGGCCACGGGCGGTGATCTCAGACGCATGGTGAGGGAACACTACGCGGCCGGTGCTCTTATCGCCGAGGCCACCGTGTGGTCGTGCACTGTCCAGTTATGCGCCGCTTTGAAACACATGCACGACGCAGGCATAATGCACCGAGGTAACTTTTTAATAATTATTATCCTATTTTTTTTTTTTTATATATTGTCGTTTACCGACGGCCTCAGAATCGTGTTTCTTATTTACTTTTCTTTACTCGCCAAAAGACATCAAGCCGGCCAATATATTCGTGTACAACGTATACGATTGTTGTGATGATGATGACGATGGAGATATCGATTGTCACGGCGAGCAAGACAATAGGTCGTTGCACCTCCGTTGGGCCCGGGCGACACTTAAGCTGGGCGATTTTGGTTTCAGCAAAGGATTCCGGTCGTGCAACGGTGCCGTCGACGGCCCAAACGGATTCGGCCTGCGTTCCGTCTTGGGCTCTCCGCTTTACATGAGCCCCGAACGGCTGCTGCTGGTGGACGGATGCAGTGGCGAAATCGACCACGAACACCTTGGCACTTACTACGCCGACAGTGACATATGGTCGGCCGCGTGTTGCGTGTACGAGGTGAGTGCTCCCCGTGAAAATCCACTCTGTTTTATTACTATTTCTGTTAATGTTTTAATCGAATTATTCCACCAATTTTGTCCACATGAACCATCCCGGTGACCGAGGTGTGGGGGGCAAAGAGTACATCGAAAGATCAAAATAATTTGATCCAACAAAATGTGTGATTGTTTTTGTAGTAAAAATATACCAGTACATAGTGGATAGAACATACTGAAAGTGATTAAATCGCTTAAAATACAAGTGTTTAGCCCAATAAAGTGTCTTTCGTGTATGATTTCTGATCTATAGACTTTTATATAAATAAATCGGTTTAAAAATAACCGTGGGTCCAGATAGAAAAATAAAATCACATAATTGTAAAAACAACAGCTCCGCATTGAAGCTAAAATCAAACGATTGAGAACGATTTTTTGTTCGAAGCTGACAAATTGTGTAACAATTTAAGAACATGATTACAAAAAGAAAAATAAGTTTTTAAACAAAACATATATTACATAATATTTACATTAAAATTTGTAAAAAATATTTGTTATTTAATGAAAACTTAAAGCAGGTAGACATCGTCTCATTATTATTGTCTCCCATGACGTTTCGTCGCTAACATGGAAAACTTGCAAATTTGTACTTCTAAACGCGGAAACAATTAATTTTATTAAATAGCAGAGGCGGATTTATACGATGGTCGAAAACAATTTTGCAGGCGATTACAATTGTACTTTCGTTATTTTATCGATACGGCAACTTTACATGAAAGTTAGGAGGTAATAACGTTTGCAACCGTGTTCAATCTACTTTCTAAAATATGAAATTGAAAGAGACATTTCTTCCATGTTTTCTTCATCTTTTAATTTGCAACAGTCATGGTCTCATAATATTGGAGGTTGTTAATCGGAATTGGGTGAAGTAAAACGACCGTTTCACGTAATAATAGGAGTGGGTAAAAAAAAAAACAGAGAAATAATGATATCATAGTCTAATAGGCATTGAAAGTTTGCCGGTTAATATTTAGATTTTGCTTTGTACAATAGTATGAGATTCGGAGCACTGAAGCACTCGGTATTATAAGTGTTGTAAATGAAACGGTTACAAAACTTTTAAAACAAACTCTACATACTACTGGGTTTATGTTTTTTTTTTTTAATTTGAAACTTTTGAACAACAGCTGGCCGCTCTACAGGCGCCGTTCCATTTAAAAGGCTCGCTCGATATGAACCTCATGATGAACCGAGTGACCAACGGGTTTTATCCGCCCATCCCATGTGACATGTACTCGCCACAGGTACACCTACTTTCATATATGACGACTTTATATTATAGTAATAAATATTTGAAGAGTGAAAGTGTCAAACGTTCCAAGTGCCAAAGTATAAAAATTTAACTTTATAATTTGATTTCTATTTCATTCATTACCGGTAACACTTTAATATATTTTTGAGTTTTAAATATGATTGTTTTTTTTTATAAATAACTATTCTTTACTTGAAAAATTTACAAAATTGTTTCCGGTAATGAATAAAATACAAATCAAATTATAAAGTACAACTTTTATACTTTGGCACTTGGAACGTTTGACACTTTCACTCTTTATTTGCACTCGCATCCATTTGTTTGACGTAGATGGCAGAGTTTATCGACGCTTGTATGGCCGTCAATCGACGGCTCCGGCCCACCGGTTCTTCAGCGCTACGCCGGGCCCGTGCTGGCCTGGTCGAATCGCTACGTCGCCGGCAGCGGCCCGCACGGTCCCGATCTCCGCGTGTTAAAGGATCGTCGCCGCGAACAGGACAGCTGGCCGTACCATCGCGATCAACTACTCTGTCGTCGCCACAAAAGGGAGGATTATTAGCTGTACCGTCGCGAACAACCACTCGGACGTCCGTGAGAACAGTTTTGCAAGATGTCCCACCGCGAACAATTTCAATACAGGTCCCCTCAATTCAACAGATCAACAAAAGTGGCCCCTGTCAAAGGCCTGCTGTTGAGCGCTTAACAGTTCCACAATGGTCACGCCGTCAAGCAACCACCGCTGTCGTCGGAGAAAATGGGAACCCCTCAACGCTGCCCGTGGTACTTAAGTAGTCTATAAAAAGTTTTGCCGCTTTCAAGATACTACTAGTGATTTACGGAAAATAACTTTTACAACATAACATTTTATAAGATATTTAATTGTTGTTTTGAAAAAACCCCTATGGTAATGGGGAAAAAAAATTAACGTCGATCATCAAAAAAAAAATACACAATGCCGCGGCAGTTTTTTAACCGATTGAGATATAATACATAGTCGTTTTTATTATATAACTTCTACTACGTTCTATTGAATTTAAAATTTTTATATGATATTTATTTAGTAACATTTTGTACACTTTTATACATTTTTTTATTATTGTTCATTTTTCTTAAATATTATAGAATAAAATATAATCAAAATATGCAAATTCTTCAAATTATTAACCTATCTTTATAGATAGAGTAATCGTGTATGTTTAGCAGTAGAATAAACTTTGTAATTCAAGAATATTTGAGGCTGTAATGCGAGGACAAAAATAAAATTAAAAAAAATAAACATTTTGGTTAATTGTATAATACATTAAGTACTAACATGAACAAAACAAGATTTTAACATTTTAATGAGCCATTTCATTTATGACCTTTTTGTTGTAGTCACTTTTTTTAAAAAGGGGTCCTATACAAAATTGTATCCACTCTATGCATTTTGTTTTGCTCATAATTTTCTTCCATATAGACGTTCTGCTTATGTTAATTAAATTGGTATGATCATTAACATGTTATAATCATTTTATTGTAATTGTCCCATAAAACCGGGGGACGCTAAACATTTCAAAATGTTTTACTATAATATGTGAAAAAAACCAATTATTGTCTTAATTCAAATTTTATTGTCATGGTTTTGAGTTATCTACAATAACACAATATAAAGATTAAAACAAACAAAATAGTATTAAAAAATAAACAAAAAACCAATTTGCTAGATTTAAATTAAATGTACAGCTTTAACAGTATAGGTATGAACATTAACGTAATTTTAATTTGTATTAAATTGTACAACAATTACTATTATAATAATACGCTAAAAGATATTTTAAAGAACAGATAAGATGTACTGTAACAGCATTTTGACATCGCGATTAAAGAAATATAACATAATGTTAATTTAATTTAATTGTGCTAATATTAAAACTTATTGTAAGTGCTTAGTAGGCCTTGTTATAAGTTTGTATAAACTATGCATTAAGGTAAAACTTATTTGTTTGCTTATTTTTTTTATTGCCTTTCTATACTTAATTTGGTTAACATGGTAATAATTACTAGGGTTTTCACTCATAATATTAGGAATGTATTTTTCCACGTCAATTGTATATATAGCCTACTTATATAATTCACAATAATGTCAATTAATAATAAAAACTACTAACATCTATTTGGTAATAATCACAATATTCATGGTTTATAAAACGATAATAATGTTATGGTATTTTTAGACGAAAAGAAAAATTACAATTATAAATTGAGTTAAATTAATATTTGATAAAAAAATTAAAAAAATTAAAATATGGAAGTTATTAAAGTCGGTAATATTATAATGTTTAGTACGTAAAAATAAATGACAATATTCTATTGATTTTTTTCCTTACAAATCTTTAGAAAATAAATAAGTAATTCTCAAAAAAAAAAAATAAAAATTAGCAGCTATAGTATCATTACAAATTAATTAAGCAAATAATTAACATAATTGTTACTAAATAGTTAAGGAAGAATATAATCATAATTAAAATAACTGATATAGGAAGACAAATCAATATTAAAGATCAATAGTTAAAATACTGGTGAGAATCGTTGTGCTATTCTGACCAACGTCAAAATTAAGCATTTAAGGGTTGGAAAATATTCCAAAAACTCGTGTAGGACCCAAATCCGAAGCCTAGCAAACCGATTATAATAATACTAACATCTTTAATAAACATAAGTGTAAACTCTTTGCCAGAGGTTTGTTCCCAAAATGTCATGAGTTCTATAATCGGAGGGAATATTAATGCTAGAGCTGAACTACTGAATGATCCAACTAGTGATATAATAGCTGACAAATTTGGAATGGCTGCTGCTAAAGCAACTGTAAAAAAAAAATGTATAATTAACTTCAGTATTAATGAACAAAAAGTAAATATTTTATTTACATGTAACAGTGACAAGAAAAACGCGGACACATAATTCTGCATTTTTTTGGCTAGCCTGAGAGTGAAAATATCCTTTAATAGCTGGCCAAATAACACCCATTGGAACATAGAACTGGAGACTGTAAGATAAAAAGATTGCAAGCGCCATTGCTAACCGTACACTTTGAGCCAATCTGAAAAGTATTATAATAATTAACAAAATGTATTTTAACCACAATGTACAAAAAATATTGTTTTTAATTTTGTACTTAGAAGTAGTATATAATAATTTGTCATCGACTAAAATTGTTATACAAAACTGTATTTACTTTTAATCATAAATGGGTATAAAATTATTATTCAATTATTTTAAGGGATTTCTAATGCTCGAAAAAACTTTGATGTACAATTTTATCAACACAGTTAAGTATCAAAGAATTAGACAAGAAAAAATGTATTGAAATTTTATCTAACGATTGTTATCGAGACATACATGTGAAATCTCAATAGAAATTATCAATTTCTTTATAAAATATCCATATACTGTTCTTAATAATTAAAAAAATAATAGCAGTCAATACAATAAATATTTATTATTCCTTATCTCTGTTTCAATATAATTGAAATATTCAGCTATACTAAAAAGCATTACTCCGCTAAATAGTAAATAGAAACAAAATAATTAAAATATAAATTGTTTTTTAGTTAGTCACATCTCAATTGTTTTATAGTAAAATTTGTATAAACTAAATAAAATCATACAAAGACTTGTTTTAAGTTTACTTACACAGTTTATTATTTATTTAGTTTAATATTATCACGTGATATTATATAAAAAAACTGTTAAAAATGAGTCGTGCGTCATCAAAAGATAACAAAAATGCAAACATCTACGTAATATTTTAATTAAACAAAATATATGAGAATATTTTAATTAATCAATGACCCGAGTTAGTAGTAATCAGGGTTTTTTCAAAAATCCCAAGCCAGTTAAGTTTTGGTGGGCCTAACAAAACCCTTATTTATAGGTAAATACCAAACATTTGTTGTGCCTAAGCCCCCCGTCACCCCGTGAGCTCTTTTGGGTTTAGATTTTCATTTTACATGCCAACTCTGCCATAAACATTACTTTAATAATTATGAAAAATATATATATCATTAAAAAAAAAAAGAATTAGTGTTGAGGTTTTTTTATATTAAATATATCATCAATGATCTAAACTTCATAAAATAAAAAAAAAAAAAGCCTTTTTGGCCCAAAAAAGTTATTTTTTGATAGCATAAACTACTTGTCTTATTAACAGAACTAAATAGAACTATATTTTTTAAAAATTTTAAATTAAGGTAATACTTACATATCTTGTGCGGGTAGATTTAAAGTAATACTTCCACATTTAACTTCGTCACCATATCTTAAATAACCAAAAAATCCAATGGAAGTATAGAGACAGGTTACTATAACCATACCTGTGTTTAACACACCTGTCCAACCTCCAAAAGCTTCTGGGTTTTTCATATTATTTTCTAATGGCAAAACCTATAGTGAAAATAAATCATTATATTATGTTTAATATTAATACTATTTGATAATAATAAAAACTATAATACCATTCCGATTCCTTCGAAAGCATACACTGCAGTACCAAAAAATAGAGGTAATTGATGCCAAGACGAGAATATTTTAACGGTTGTTGTTTTTGGGAGACCTTGGAGTAAGTAGAAAAACGTGATTCCTAATCCAACTGTTGTGAGGATCGTAGCAAGGAGAGATGCAGGAGTCAAGTATTTGAGACTTTTTACACAATTTAAAAGAATCATAGGCCCCAAGAGTAAAACTAAATAAGTATGCACTGGCATATAAAAGAAGTAGTGTGCAATAACCTGTAAAGAACAAATAACAACTCGGTTATTAATTTGTAAAATGTTATATCAAACTTGGTGTTTAACCTCCTGAAGGTTTGTGGCTACAAACAAGAAATACACGCAACAAAATCCCAATTGTGTTAATACTAAAAACGTATTAACTATTTTATTAGCAATTTTTGAATACTTCTGTAATTTAGAGGGTCCATATTCAAAAGCCATTTCTGCAGCATCAGGAAACGAAAGTGACGGAGTTTGTGTTCTAATGCATAACTCGTGGGAGCATCGTACCTAAAATTAAAAAAAAAAACAAATAAAATAAAATAGTGCTATAGCCAGGTGCAACAGAGGCACTATCCCTCCCCGGAATTTTGTTTTTATAATACATGGGGTGGGCATGAAAACTGTTCACTATTGTAAAGTATATACTATCCCTTAGGGTTTAAGAACCAGTGACCCTCCCTCAAAATAAATTTCTGGCTACAGTACTGCAATGAAATGTATGTATCCTTACCAACATGTGCATACAGTGTGTACAAATAGCTCCTAAAAGTGCAGTACAAACCAAACCCACGAGCCAACCAGAGTTCCTAAATGCATCAGGCATAGCTAAGATTCCTGTTCCAATATTGCCTTTTAATAAATGTATCATTGTATCTAAATTCCTAAAAAACAAAAGAAATTTAAATGTATACATAGCACATATTTACAGTAGGCATTACTTTTTGAAAAAAAAAATATTAAAATTAAGTAAGTCATTAATAATAATTAACAATAATTCTACTGATTTTTAAACAAATTACCATAGGTTATTAACCATCAATCATTTTTGCTATAAAAACTAATATATATAGTGGTACATATTATGCAACCTTTGAACCCGAAATATTATTCAATTGTTATCAAACCGTTAACAAACAATTTTAAATAATAAGTAGTTATGAATGATAATAAAAAGTATGAGAAATTAACAATATCACGTGAATAAAACGAGTCATTTTTAGAGATATAGAATATAAAACAATAAAGCTTAAACAATTGCCACATCTCTAAACATTAAACTGCATATCATAATAAGTGATAAAGAATTAATAACATAATAAACAATTATTAAAAACAAAATATTATGATCAATAAAAAGCAATTCCTTATTAAATTGTTTTTCGTTATTGAATTGTTTTTTAATGTATAGTAATTTAGAAATAGTTATTTATTTAGCATAAAATATTAGAAAAAAATGGTTAATAGTTATAATGAAAAATCTAACTTACGATGTTGGATTTTCTAACTGTCGATTTAACAATGGATTGTTATCTGATGTTATACCATTAAAACCTCCATCTTTTTCCGCGAACTCATTTTTTGAGTTACCAGGAAAATCCACCCCTGTAGTTGTTTTGGATGATGGAGAAAGAGAATTGTTTCTAAAAATATATAATTATATTACGCTATTGTATAAATATTTTTAGTAGTATTTTTTTTACATTATCAATAACACATATAGAATTAATTCCTAACTAAAAAATATTTTAAGTTATATTTTCTGTAATATTTATAATAATAAATGAAACATAATTTTAAATTCAAGTAATTAGTATTAAAACGTGTTTACTCCTTTTTTATTCTTGTTGTTGATAGAAAGGGTTGTATACAAGTTGAGAAAGAAAACAATATTATAAAATTATAAAATAGTATAATTATTTTATTTTTTAAATATTATAAAATCAATAAATCACTCGTACATCTAATGTTTAATAATTAGATTATACATTTATAATATTAGATTATTTTATGGTAACAACTGTTCTTTTATAAATCTAGATTTTTAAATATCCACCACTAATAACAAGTACTATTTTCTTAATTAAGATTTAACTCAAGAAAATCTTGTTTAGCACATATTGATCTTAAAAGCCCTTATTTTGATAGATCACATAAATTATCAAACAATAAACAAACCTAAAATTTGCAGCACAAGTTTAATTTTATGTAAGTGTGTTTTTAGGTTAATAAAACTTATATTAATATGTAAGAGTGTTGCATTTGAAATTTTGTAATAAACCTTAATTTAAGTTTTCTATTTATCAAGAAAGCTTTTACAAGTTCCCTTATCTAAAAATTCATATGAGTATTTTGAATAATATTATATATAAATAATAATTTATATATGTAAATTATTTTATAAGCTTTAACTTATATTATTAACTAGGTAAACACATTTGCAAGTTAACCTTTACCGTTATAAATAAAATTTGTTTTAGAAGCTTAAGTCACACTTGAATTGTACTAGGTATTTATTCGACATTTTACATTTAGGGTTAAAAAAAATTAGGAACACAGAAAATATTTAAAAAAGAATCAACTTACCCATTTTCATTATACATAATAGTCGAGCCTGTCAAAAGTGGTTTATCTTCATTTTTTCTTGGTGTTTGAACAGTCATTGTACTACATCCAGTCTAAAATATTAGAAAATACAAATCCATTAATAAATACAATAATGTATAAGTATAAATAAATACTATATATATAAATAAACAAATTACAAACTAATTAGTTATGAAATAGAAACATGTGTCAACATGTGGTAGGTGGTATAAGGTGTCAAACTTAGTAGTAAATAAATCAAACCCAATACAATTCCTACGACACTGCAAAACAAACATGTCTGCCTCACATAAGATCCACTTATTTAGGGGAGGGGGAGCTTTATAAACTAGAAGTAAATTATTTATAAATAAATAATAATTTGAGGGTATCTTTACTCCTTAAGCCCTCTAAAAAGGTATAAATCTAATTTAAAATACTTACTTACTTAAGTAATTCTGAAAGATATAATAAATAATTATATTAAAAAGATACCACCAATCATAAAAATGATAATTAGTTGTAAAAAATTTGAAAAGTACATTCACTTATAAATTACGTGTTCACAGTTTAAGCGTTGTAATGTGAATAAGGAATTCCATCAAATGTATGTTAGCTTTTATCTCTAACTTGTCAGATATAACATATATTTTTTTTATATATACCATCTCTCCTACTCATTTACATAATATGATAAAATATGACGCACAATATTATTACAAAAATAAATAAATAAAATCCTAATTTAAGTTCAGGGGCGTCTTATGCAAGAATAATGGTGGGCACCCTCAACTGATAAAACATTATTGTATACTTTTCAAGGAATCATTACAAACATGTAGAATGGAATTTATTTTTCTGTTATTTACACACATTTAATGCAATCAATACCTAGTACATACAAATACCATTGATTCAATTAATTGTTTGAATAATTATTTACCTCTTTTAGTAAAAAAAAAGCATTTAATGTTTATTTGATAGTTTTATCAATATTTGTGTAGGTGTGTAGATAAGATAATTATTAACTAAATCCAATACTCACTCAATACTATTGTACAAAAAATAAAATGAGTACACACAATATGTTTTATTACAAAATTGAAATTTCAAAAAGTCCTTACAATTTTGAAACCTTCATTGATAGCTTATTTACGAATTTAGTTATAATATTATATTATGTACTATTAAGAAAACCTATTACTCCTGATTAGATATAGGTAAACAAAATGTTTTTACCTATTTTAATTTTCTAAAACTAGGTAGGTTACTGACTACCAAAAACATAAATGAATTATACATTTTAAAGACCCCCCAATAGTATTGATTTCATCAGTAAATAATGTAATTTCCATTATTAGCCGAGCAATATTATAATCTTTAATTGAACTTACATTTATAACCGGTTCTCCGATTGTCTGGATTTTTGACTGACCATTGCTAATAGCGAATTCACCATTTATTTTGGCCTGTAATTTATAAATAAATTAAACAGTAATACAACATATTGTACTAACGAATATACTTACAGCCATGTTTGCAGTTCGTGCAAAATTTTCAAATGACAACAATTGAACAATCTAAAACCTTTTAATGATCAATGCTTGTTAAAATAAAAATCGTGTTTAGAAATCTTGCCTCTGACGACATTTTAATGGCGGGTTTAAAAAAGTTAACAATTAACGATGTGACAAAGGATTTATTCAGCTCAGCTTAGTATCTATAACCAAAACAATAACAATGTTACTACTTACTAGACCAGGACCATTTTTCCTCTCCAGTATTCAGTGTCGGTCCTCCACCGTACAGTTTTGAGTCATTGTCCTTATCATCTGTGATTGAACAGCTGTTTACAACCACTGCTAGATCCTTACGATAAAACAGCCTCCGTTTGCCGCCTGCGCTTTCCACAATCGTACTTATACTTTATACACAATAAATGTATTTTCCAAGTTGTAACGTTTGTGGGTTTAGTTAACAATCATATAGTTTACAATGACAGAACGGTACTCAACGCGGACACGTACTCAAATCACTTTATGACCTAGTAATATATTAGTCTGTACTTGTGAATTGTGACTATCTACATGATTCATCTCATCATAATGCCCACTTTCCAAGATCCGTTTCGGCCAATATAGAATTTGCGACGACATTCACGTTGATTAATAGTCTTTTCGTGATAAAAACAAAATATAAAGGTTCAACAATAGCTATTACTATGTATCATAATGTACCTAATCTTAGCCCTATAGAAAGTACTAATATTCTAATAGAACTTATGACATGTGTACAACAATTCTACATCAAATAATATCATTGAAACATTTCATGTATATAAATAATATAATACAATTGGTATTATACAAATATTGTATACATTTATAATATTAAATGTAGTTTTAGCATCAGTGCGTACCGCGCAGCTGAAAAGGTATTCTTCATACAATGAAGTGTTTTATTTTCTATTTCAGTGGCTAGACCACTCGACACTCATGTTGTAAACAGCTGGACCGTTTTCTTCATGTAGCAAATCTTTTTTTTTTTTTTTTCCACATGCACCCATAGAACACTGGGGGGGGACGCGCCCTGTGAGGAATTACTTCCCCCCAGTCTCCGATGCCATTTATTGGGTATACTAAACAATAAATACAATCATAAACTTAAAAACTAACACACCCACTTCGGGTGGTGGCCTAATAACAATATTCACATTAGGCCACAACGAAATTTAGTTACAAGTTTATTAGTCTATACAGGTTTATGTACAGTCGGTGGAATGTTTCCGGACCAGTGACTCGCGCACACGCCACCCTTGCACGCCGGGGCTCTCAATTGGCCGGCCGCTGTCTAGCCCTCTCTGCTTCCTCCTTCTCTTTGAGGACCAACTCGGCAAAGCGGGCGACCGCGTTCCACGCATCAGAACTTGCAATCATGTTGGCGACCAGTGTCTCCGGGACAACTTCGCCGACGACGTCCTGGAGGTCCCGCCTTTGGGACTCCCAGGCCGAACACTCCACTAGTGTGTGATAGGCACTGTCCACCATGCCTTCACAGTGTGAGCATGCTGGACTGGGTGCTTTGCCGATCCTGTGGATGAATTCGTTGAAGCACCCATGCCCAGACAGCAACTGGGTTAGGCGGTAGCCCATCATCCCGTGCTTCCGTCCAACCCATTTCCGGAGGTCAGTGACGAGAGTTCTCGTCCACTCACCTCCTGTTGCTGTTCGAAGTCTGTCCTCCCACTTGCCGAGGGTAGCAGTCCTTCATGTAGCAAATCTAGAGAACACAAATCTTCCTCAAACGGTACTTTAATAAGACAAAAAAAAAATAATATTCACTCTAAAATTGCCAAAAAACACCCAAAAATTTGTACATTTGAATTTAAAATTAGGATACCCTATAGCTTTTTTTAAAAAAAGTCGAATTACTTCAAAAGTCATAACTGGTGTATCCTATATATGAAGTACTACTAATATGCAGTGAACACTGAAAACCCAAGAAAATATAATTAACCCTTTCCTCTAAAAGAAGTAGAAACTGTAAATTTATTTCGAATTTGTAGGTGTAGTTTTAGGACTTGACTTAAAAATTAGACTGCATGTAGATCTAATATGGCCTAATAAATACAAACATTTTTCAACAAAATTTTGTTTTATGAACCAACAATTTTAACTAAAAAGAGTGCTATTCCAATAGGCGTAACTCGATCTCTGGCCTAGGCTACAGTCCCAGCTGTTTTTTACACTCAAATAATATGGACAATTATTGTGCATAAGGGGCTTTGCACCCCCCCTCCCTTTGTGCAACCTAGTATCAGACAATAACAATTTAAACATAATGTTAGATTGATTTATTAAATCTTTCATTTTTAAACCTTTAAATTAAAAAAAGATTAACCTATTATAAAACTAATATGGATCAATAGTCAAAACAATGAATAATGAAACACAAAAAATAATTGTATTATAGTTTAAACTATCGATCATTCTGTTTTAAACAAAACTGACTGTTACCTGTTTAATTGTGTTGTAATAATTGGTAATCGACAACCGTAAATCACTAATAATGGTTTTACAGAAAACCACAATACTTAACAATAAAAACAAAACAATTTTTGCACTTTTAATTTATTATATTAATTTGTACAGCCTTCGAACATTTGGGGGTTAAAATGGAGACTGAGGGGGAGGCTAAATCCCTATGCCTGTAGTTACGAGGTTATTTTAATAAAGTTTTACTATTAATTTTCAAACTCAAATATAATTTTTAAATAATTTGTTAGCTCCAGTTTTCCTTAAGGTACTTAGATATTAAATAATAATAATTAAGTATTGTGCGTGATAATATAAAAACATTAAATAATTTTAAACTTAAAATAAGTGATAACTATAGAACTTAAATTTGTTGTTACATTCGCCTATAAATTATTAATGATCATTAGTCATTGCGATTTTGGAGCAGCAATAGAACACCTTGTACCTCCGACGAAAAACATACTTTACCTACTGAATTGGACAGGTAGATAATATTGCAATTATATTAAATTATAATATACCATATTACCTACAAGGTCTATTGATCTTTGACTTATTATACATAAATGGTTATATAACTACAGTATTCCAATAATTTACTCAGAAAATAATGGCAAATTTATTGTTTTTTTTTTAAAACAATTTTTTGTTTATTATAATTACAGGATAGGTTAGTTTAGTCTTTAAGGCAAGCTATTTTTAATTTTTTCTTCTAGGAGTTGGGGGACGTTAGCCCCATCCAACGAAAAGTTTCAAAGGGAATCGAGTCGATCCTCAAATCCGGTAGGCGTTGGCAGTTGTTTTATTAGTTAAAGATTTACTAATTAAAAGCTTTAATGATTAAGAAAATGATATTGTTATTCAATACAATATTGATATTGCATAATTTATAATAATCAATAATAACGATAATAATAAAAATAATAAATTAACTAATAATACTGTAGCAGCGTACACTCGCGTTACCGACAAATGTATGGTGCGGCGGTGGGCGACTATTGTTTTACACGCGGAAGTATGCAAATTTCAAGAAGCTGTAACTTTGGAACTAGAAGACTTCAGTTTCGTAATTAAAGTAAAAAATACAACAAGATGGTAAAAAAAAAATCGCAAAAAAAAGGTGCCTGGTAAAGTGCATTTGTTCCTAATTATTAATAGGTAATTTTTACTAAACTTTTTCATGTTTTCACTTCCAGACAGGATTAGAGGGCAGTAATGTGTTATTTTTATTTGCACGTATGAATAAAAGCACACCTCGCTTAGAGTTTTGAACACAAATAACTCCCAAGACCCGATTTAGCGACGGGTTTAAACACTAACCAGCCAATTTTGGGTGGCTAATCACAATTAAATTCGGGCCTAATAGTAATTAAAAAACGAAAGAATGCTAATAAAAAGAATGTTTACCGATCAATCGAAATACTTACATCAAAAGCGTGATCTCGTGAATCAAGTTCAATTAACCGACTATAATTGATCAACAAAAGTTAAATGAGATCTGTAGTAAGAACCTTTGTTTCAATATAAGTTAGAACTTAAAACTGACCAATTTTTAAGGAACCACTCAAACTTAAGGACCCAGTCAAACTTCATCATTCAAGTCAATATAAGTCAATAGATCAAATTAAATCGATCAACTAAACTCGATTCAACGCGCTTTAATTTGTTCTCAATTAAAAAAAGTTCATTGAAAATATTTATGTTACTTTTTAAGTTTTAAAAATCGACAAAGCTCTGGAAATTACTAAAAAAAGAGAAATATTTGGAATTTGTTTTCAATATAGAAAATTAACACAATCAAAATAGTTCTAAAAGAAAATCTACAAAATTTTAATTATTTTCTAGGAAATGAACGGGTCCACTACATTGATTATCCTTTTTTGAGTGAAATTCTTTGTATTTTTATATTTTGATGGTGTAAGTGATTGGTCCTCATAATTATTAAATAATTTAGGCAGCTTCATTCTATTTTATGTAACGTTGTGCAAAATAAAAGATTACTATTGCCCAGGAATTTTGAAAATGGACGCCTTTTACTAAACACGTGTTTTTTAGGTTACATACTATTCATTATTATTTATACATATATTTATAACCTAATATATGAATGGTCCAAGTAGTTAAGTTATAATTGAACTAGATAGTTCGAAAACTTTTAATGAGCTAACTAATTAATTTTGTTGTTAAAACATTTAGATCAATGTGATAGCCTTCAGAGTTTATGACTTTAAATAGATAACATATAGTGTGCTATCATATTTTATTTAAAATAATTTATACAGGTAGAACAAATAAAATGTATACCTGTTATTATGTTATCATGATCCCGATCATGATTTAATAGTTATAAAAAAACGTTTTAATGATATCTTTATTACAACGGCATTTCTAGATAGACTAAAACGCTAAAACACTAAAACAAATGTTGCAGTGTATTGTTGACTAAAAAGAATAGATAATTATATAAGTCTCTTTAAAGAATATAAAAATTAAATTACCTTTTATTAAGAAATCTATTATGGGCTGAATAAAAAGTCGAAACCGTGATAATAATTATTAAAGTTGCTATTTTTAACGTTTTTATATTGTTACTTATAACATTAATTAAAAAAAACATCTATTGAGTAAAACATACTATCGACATGAGTAATATTTTCTATAGTTACCCTTAAAGTCATACGCATCTTTTGATATTTGAGAAATAAATAAACCATAACGTAAAATTCTTTACATTGATCATCGATAGGTGCAACTTAAGAGGTCAAGTCAATTTAATAATATCATTAGGCATTATTATAATATGCACAATAGAAAAACACACAAACACCATTTTTTTTATTATAAGAACAGTAACAAATTTATTTTTATTATATATTTAGATCATAATATAGTATGATACAGAAAAGGATTATGATTTACAATTTTATTTGATAACTACTCCTGTTAAAATATTTATAAATTCTTTAGGTGTTTCATGTATGGGCTACATTTTAATTATTTAAATAAAAATTCACACAAACAATTATCTAATTCAATCTATATTTACATTATCGATAAAGACGTTACAAATCGTGTTAAACAAAATTTATCACATTCCAAATAAAATGTTGTCATTACCTACATATTGTTGTCACTTCATATTGTTTTCTCTAAAATGCTAAGGTATTAGAAGATAACCTTTCAACCACGAACTTTTAATATTTTTGATAAAACACCGCACAGGAAATAAAGGTACAGATCTTTTTTCAAATTATAAAAGACTAGGAGTGCTGAAGCAGTAAGCACCCACTCCCAAATGTATTGTATTCCCTCAAGAATCTTCCTACCTAGGGGTAGCAGCAATGGCTCTACATAGACTGCTGAAGCTGTTTCCGACGTTTATTTCTACATTCACATAATATAATACTATAATACAATGGCTATCAGCATACAACTAAAATTCTATATCGAATTATAAGCACACTCTAGAATTTAAGGTTCATTCTTAATAACGTGTTAACACTAAGAACTAATTCGAAAATATTACAGTATCAAAGAAAAACAATTGTACTAATGGGTTTGATAGGTTTTTACGCAAATGCACGATGACCTATGTGTGAAGTCAATTCTGGCAATTAGGCATTACGCATGACGGCAGACGAGCAGATATTCTATACTTTTTAATTTTTAAATTATAATTTAAAAAGTATTATAATATTATGTTAATCTACTTCAGTTAGAGTACCGTAAATTGTAATAATTAGAGAGACTAGATAGACTAGACTTTACCTAGTATTTCTAGTCAAAACTATAGTATATAATAATGATACCTATATTAGTCTTGTGACTGTCTTGAGCAAGGTGGATTGATCAATCCACCTCGGTCTTAGGGTTTTATATTTAGCCTACTATCTAGTGGATAATTATCGAACTAACAATTGCAATTTCGTTGCTAGCTTCATAATTCATGTTTATTTTGATAAGCTTAGCCCGTTAAACGGCTTCTTACTTCAGACTGATCGTCAATCGTAGTTTTGCTATTGTTATTGCCAGTTGCTGATTCCAACCATCCTATAATTTATAATATCTATTTGTTTAAATTTTCAACGTTTTCGCGTATAAGATTTTTATCCATTTCGATCCGTTGAAGTAGATCACTAATATATCGTCATGGTTGTGTTTTCGGGATCAGGTGATTCCAAACAAGCAACAAATGCCTACAAAGATAAAAGCAAACCGGCCGAAGTCCGGAAAAGTAACATCGCCGCTGCTAAAGGTTCGAGATTTATTAAAACTAGTAATTAAAGTTCTAAGGTTGTGGTGATTCGATTAGACGATACTACTTATGTTGTATTGTGCCTATACTTAAAAACTCGGAACTTGTTTCTTTTTTTATTTTAAAATTATTCAGAATAAGTCAATATTTTCATGATTCAATAATTATTATACCTACATACAATTTTTACATCTTAAACGCTTTTCCAAAGTCTAGTCAGTAATAATAAACTAACAGTTTTATTATACTCTTTGACTAACAACGCCTTGAATACAATTCAATTTTAAAATTGTACTTTATTTAATGTATTGAATGCACAGATGGTCCACCAATCGTCAACTTGTTAACTACCTAATTTACTGATACAATTTTTTTTTATGAAAATGTAATTTATTCTTAGTCTATAAAATAAATAGATGGAGATTTATATGTGGTTGTGTATTTTTTCGAGATCAATTTACCTTAATTTTACATAACTAGATTATAATATGTTTTACAGCCTTAAATAAATCAAATCATTTACATTTTTCAGCTGTCGCTGATGCTATCCGAACAAGTTTGGGTCCAAAGGGAATGGATAAAATGGTAAGGGTTGAATAATTTTCTTTAAAAATAACGAGTTTGATGTTTTTTAAATGTTTGTATTTTATTTTTAGATTCAATCAGCTAATGGTGAGGTTGCAATTACTAATGATGGTGCTACAATTTTGAAACAAATGAATGTTATACATCCTGCAGCTAAAATGGTATGTAATGAAATTAATCATTAGGTATATAATAAAAATTGAATTTTTTGTGTAATCATTTTTTTCAGTTGGTTGAATTGTCAAATGCCCAAGACGTAGAAGCTGGTGATGGTACTACAAGTGTAGTGGTTGTAGCTGGTGCTCTTTTGGAAGCCTCAGAAAAACTTCTTCAAAAAGGTATTCATCCTACTGCTATATCAGATGGCTTTCAAAAAGCAGCTACAAAAGCAATTGAAATAATCAAAGATATGGCTACACCAATACAGCTAACCGATCGTGAAAGCTTGGTTAAGAGTGCTTCTACAGCATTAAATTCTAAGGTTGTATCTCAACAATCATCATTGTTAGCTCCTTTAGCTGTTGATGCTGTTCTTAAAGTTGTGGATCCTGCTAAAGACACAAATGTTGATCTTAAGGTATGAACCATTATTTTATCTTGATATTAAATTAGTTATTAGTCATTGAATAAAACCAAATAAATAACAAAATGTTAAATTTTGTATAGGATATTAAGGTTATTAAAAAGCTTGGTGGAACAGTTGAAGACACAAAACTTGTTGATGGTTTAGTTTTCACGCAGAAATCTTCAAATGTTAATGGCCCCAAGAAAATAGAAAAAGCTAAAATAGGACTCATTCAATTCTGTATATCACCTCCTAAAACAGATGTAAGTATTTGTTTATTAAAGTTATTATTATGAAAAATGGAAATTCAATTTTCGTTTTGTCCCCACAAAATATCAAAATGTTTACCAATAACTAGTACAGCTACCATTAAGTTTGGGTAAACCTTGTTAATTATCCAATTATTGGTTGCTTAGCCATATTTTGATGTACATTTTGTACTTAAAATACATAATAACTGTTTTACACTATTATTTATTAATTGAAAAGTAGTACTTGAATTTATTTTATAAAATTAATATTTTGCTTAGAACTTTTTTTCAAAAAAAAATACTTTTACAGGAAAAATACAAAAAGTAGTTTTCTTTTTACCACGCAATACAATATTTTTATTAAAATATTTGCTTTGACGTGATAGCTAAGAAGGTATTGGTTTGTGCAACATCAATAATTGCTATTATATTTTTTTGATCAATAAATAAAGAGAAAGACTTAGATAAAATTGCTGTACCCAAATTTAGTTATGATACATTTGAGTTATAGTAGGTACCAACTATATAATATTATGTGTAGGATCTCCACAAGTATAGATTCAGTAACTTGTAATAAGGACTTATGTTTTTTTTCATTTTAGTAGCGATCTGAAAAAATTAAAGCTAAATCGTTCAAAAGTTAGATTAGATAGGTTTTTGTTCAGGTTGTTTTTGAACCCATCACTTGTTGTCAAGTAGAATCAAGTTAAACTGGATGGATTATAATATTAATAATAATGTCTATCTTCAGTAATCAACAATTGTTTAATTAGATAGTAAAATTGTTGGTATTCAAGTCTAAATTTTGAAATAATGACATATTTTATTTAAGAATTTATGATGAACTAATATTAATTTAAAATCTATGATGAATTAAACTTAGGACACCTGTACGACACCGATACTTGGTGGTTGAGTTGATCAAAGTTTTTGAAACTACTTATATAATTTATATAATAAAACCCTCTAAGGAAATTAAAAAAACAACTATATATCATTTCTAAGATAAACATTTTATAGTGATGACAACAAGCCTTAGGACACCTAATTACGACTTAAGTGTCGAATGATTTGACTTGTGTTTCTGAATATTTTACACTTATATTAGTTAAGAGTCAAAGATGAATTAAACTTAGGACACCTGTACGATACCGATACTTGGTGGTTGAGTTGATCAAAGTTTCTGAAAAAAATAAATAAATTACTCTTTCCAAAATTGGTTTTCTTGTGAGAAAACCAATTTTGATGATGATTTAATAGCTAGATAGGGACATATGATTTTAAATTGATTAAAATAATTGTTATATTTATCTGATGTGATTTGAATTTATAGAATGTTATATCTTTATATACTTGAATGTAGATATTGCCTATTCTTAAGTATATACTATTTTACAATGATGACAATAAGCCTTAGGACACCTAATTACGACTTAAGTGTCGAATGATTTGACTTGTGTTTCTGAATATTTTGCACTTATATTAGTTAAGAATCAATGATGAATTAAACTTAGGACACCTGTACGACACCGATACTTGGTGGTTGAGTTGATCAAAGTTTCTGAAACTACTTATATAATTTATATAATAAAACCCTCTAAGGAAATTAAAAAAACAACTATATATCATTTTTAAGATAAACATTTTATAGTGATGACAATAAGCCTTAGGACACCTAATTACGACTTAAGTGTCGAATGATTTGACTTGTGTTTCTGAATATTTTGCACTTATATTAGTTAAGAGTCAATGATGAATTAAACTTAGGACACCTGTACGACACCGATACTTGGTGGTTGAGTTGATCAAAGTTTCTGAAATAATAAATTACTTTTTCCAAAATTGGTTTTATCACACATGATGATTTAATAGCTAGATAGGGACATATGATTTTGAATTGATTAAAACAATTGTTATATTGATCTGATGTGATTTGAATTTATAGAATGTTATATCTTTATATACTTGAATGTAGATATTGCCTATTCTTAAGTATATACTATTTTACGATGATGACAATAAGCCTTAGGACACCTAATTACGACTTAAGTGTCGAATGATTTGACTTGTGTTTCTGAATTTTTTGCACTTATATTAGTTAAGAGTCAATGATGAATTAAACTTAGGACACCTGTACGACACCGATACTTGGTGGTTGAGTTGATCAAAGTTTCTGAAACTACTTATATAATTTATATAATAAAACCCTCTAAGGAAATTAAAAAAACAACTATATATCATTTTTAAGATAAACATTTTATAGTGATGACAATAAGCCTTAGGACACCTAATTACGACTTAAGTGTCGAATGATTTGACTTGTGTTTCTGAATATTTTGCACTTATATTAGTTAAGAATCAATGATGAATTAAACTTAGGACACCTGTACGACACCGATACTTGGTGGTTGAGTTGATCAAAGTTTCTGAAATAATAAATTACTTTTTCCAAAATTGGTTTTATCACACATGATGATTTAATAGCTAGATAGGGACATATGATTTTGAATTGATTAAAACAATTGTTATATTGATCTGATGTGATTTGAATTTATAGAATGTTATATCTTTATATACTTGAATGTAGATATTGCCTATTCTTAAGTATATACTATTTTACGATGATGACAATAAGCCTTAGGACACCTAATTACGACTTAAGTGTCGAATGATTTGACTTGTGTTTCTGAATATTTTGCACTTATATTAGTTAAGAGTCAATGATGAATTAAACTTAGGACACCTGTACGACACCGATACTTGGTGGTTGAGTTGATCAAAGTTTCTGAAACTACTTATATAATTTATATAATAAAACCCTCTAAGGAAATTTAAAAAACAACTATATATCATTTCTTAAGATAAACATTTTATAGTGATGACAATAAGCCTTAGGACACCTAATTACGACTTAAGTGTCGAATGATTTGACTTGTGTTTCTGAATTTTTTGCACTTATATTAGTTAAGAGTCAATGATGAATTAAACTTAGGACACCTGTACGACACCGATACTTGGTGGTTGAGTTGATCAAAGTTTCTGAAACTACTTATATAATTTATATAATAAAACCCTCTAAGGAAATTAAAAAAACAACTATATATCATTTTTAAGATAAACATTTTATAGTGATGACAATAAGCCTTAGGACACCTAATTACGACTTAAGTGTCGAATGATTTGACTTGTGTTTCTGAATATTTTGCACTTATATTAGTTAAGAATCAATGATGAATTAAACTTAGGACACCTGTACGACACCGATACTTGGTGGTTGAGTTGATCAAAGTTTCTGAAATAATAAATTACTTTTTCCAAAATTGGTTTTATCACACATGATGATTTAATAGCTAGATAGGGACATATGATTTTGAATTGATTAAAACAATTGTTATATTTATCTGATGTGATTTGAATTTATAGAATGTTATATCTTTATATACTTGAATGTAGATATTGCCTATTCTTAAGTATATACTATTTTACAATGATGACAATAAGCCTTAGGACACCTAATTACGACTTAAGTGTCGAATGATTTGACTTGTGTTTCTGAATATTTTGCACTTATATTAGTTAAGAGTCAATGATGAATTAAACTTAGGACACCTGTACGACACCGATACTTGGTGGTTGAGTTGATCAAAGTTTCTGAAATCATAAATTACTTTTTTCAAAATTGGTTTTATCACACATGATGATTTAATAGCTAGATAGGGACATATGATTTTGAATTGATTAAAACAATTGTTATATTGATCTGATGTGATTTGAATTTATAGAATGTTATATCTTTATATACTTGAATGTAGATATTGCCTATTCTTAAGTATATACTATTTTACGATGATGACAATAAGCCTTAGGACACCTAATTACGACTTAAGTGTCGAATGATTTGACTTGTGTTTTTGAATTTTTTGCACTTATATTAGTTAAGAGTCAATGATGAATTAAACTTAGGACACCTGTACGACACCGATACTTGGTGGTTGAGTTGATCAAAGTTTCTGAAACTACTTATATAATTTATATAATAAAACCCTCTAAGGAAATTAAAAAAACAACTATATATCATTTTTAAGATAAACATTTTATAGTGATGACAATAAGCCTTAGGACACCTAATTACGACTTAAGTGTCGAATGATTTGACTTGTGTTTCTGAATATTTTGCACTTATATTAGTTAAGAATCAATGATGAATTAAACTTAGGACACCTGTACGACACCGATACTTGGTGGTTGAGTTGATCAAAGTTTCTGAAATAATAAATTACTTTTTCCAAAATTGGTTTTATCACACATGATGATTTAATAGCTAGATAGGGACATATGATTTTGAATTGATTAAAACAATTGTTATATTGATCTGATGTGATTTGAATTTATAGAATGTTATATCTTTATATACTTGAATGTAGATATTGCCTATTCTTAAGTATATACTATTTTACGATGATGACAATAAGCCTTAGGACACCTAATTACGACTTAAGTGTCGAATGATTTGACTTGTGTTTCTGAATTTTTTGCACTTATATTAGTTAAGAGTCAATGATGAATTAAACTTAGGACACCTGTACGACACCGATACTTGGTGGTTGAGTTGATCAAAGTTTTTGAAACTACTTATATAATTTATATAATAAAACCCTCTAAGGAAATTAAAAAAACAACTATATATCATTTCTAAGATAAACATTTTATAGTGATGACAACAAGCCTTAGGACACCTAATTACGACTTAAGTGTCGAATGATTTGACTTGTGTTTCTGAATATTTTACACTTATATTAGTTAAGAGTCAAAGATGAATTAAACTTAGGACACCTGTACGATACCGATACTTGGTGGTTGAGTTGATCAAAGTTTCTGAAAAAAATAAATAAATTACTCTTTCCAAAATTGGTTTTATCACACTTGATGATTTAATAGCTAGATAGGGACATATGATTTTGAATTGATTAAAATAATTGTTATATTGATCTGATGTGATTATTACTAAAAATAATAGTATTTATTATTTTAGACACTTCAATGTAGTACTGCATGTAACTTAGATAGAAATATTTTACAATTATGTGAAGAAACCTTAGGACACCTAAACGCGACTTAAGTGCTCAACTATTTAACTTTTATTTCTGAATATTTAATACACTAATTAAATTTAAGAATATTAATGGTATCTTTAATAACATTGTCCTAACATACATTTCATTTTTGGTTAGTTAGTAATGTTTATAACAGTACTATAGTATCCATTATAAATAACTTTTGTCATTAGTCGTTACCTTATTTTATTTTACTGTTATTATCGTAAAATAACGCGTGATGCTTCTTCATTATGAAGAAGCATCACGAGCTCTGAGTCACTTTTTGTGACATTTGCCCCTCCTTTTGTGAGATCAGTAGTATATTAATTTCAAATTATTTAAAAAACTGATAAAATTGTACTTATAGTACATTATCAAATTTATATTTACTCAAAAATATTCTTCCATTTATTCATTGTCCACAGCATGTGGTTATGGTTAATACGATTTCAATGTCATTTTTGTTTTGTTTTTTCGTTTGAAGTCAATCTCTTATGCTTCATTGTTATTCCAACACCTTGAATACATTAAATTAATAGTCTACAGTTAACTCGGTCGATTTATTGTTAACCACAATGCCTTGTGTATACTAATTGATCAACGTTTAAAACTACATTTACAAAATTACTTAATTATCGGTTAGTGCTATGTCGGCATAATGCCTCCCAATAAGAACACACCTGTATTGTTTTAATCTTGCTCCTTTGATCTAAATAAACCCTTAAACAACTATTCAGGCGACTGAGCCGGATTGGGCTTAATTTTGATGTGTAGTATATATTAGCCAGTAAATTTGTGTTTCATCCCGTCACCTTGGCGGTCATTGTGTAAAATATAATAATATTTGGCATATCTTGAACATGACTTATGTTTCGTTTTAAGCGATTGTTATTTATTGATTTTAAGAGAATCGGACGACGCTAGACGGAACTCTATGATCCTTGAGCACAGAGTTTTAGGGGCCTTTTAAGAAAACAAAAAAAAAAACGTAAATATGTAAATTGTATTATTCGGGGCACCATCAAGCTGGGGGCTCAAGGCTCGTGCCCCACGTGCCCTTAGGGTAAAGACGTCACTGGGTTTGGACTGAATTTGTAATAGAGGAATTAATAAGCTATGCGTTTGTTGGTACGATAATTAAAAAGTTGCCTTAATAACGTTTATTAAAGCCATTCGGCCTTCGTTGATTATTCTACGATAAAACCAGGTGATTCAAAGAAAAGTAATTGCAAGTAAAAAACAATATTCTTGTTCCTTAACCGGTAACAGTTCAATATTGAATTATTATTACATATTAATATTATTATGATGCTTGCTTATCGTTCAACGTCACGTGAACGTTCTATATTTGTTGAACACTGATTTTTGCTCTTATAGTTATGTGTATTGAGAAGGTAATCTAAAACTGTAATGGCGCTTTGTATTTTCATATACGCAATGATTATTAATAACCTCTAGTTATATACTCAAACAAACCGGTGACCAATCGGCCATTCGACCGAGTCAACTTGAAAACAATACGGACATAGTAGTGTTTAATTTTATTTGTATCATTATTCGTTTTCATAATATTCAAGTATTAATGATTTTCGTATATTGTAAAACAGTATGTTGCCGTATATGACATTAATTAATAACAATTTATTATTGTTCGACACAGACTGTTTTTTTGTTTGTTTAAAAACGGGTCAAATCCATCGAGATCTTTTTTTCGCGAAATTTAATTATATGCTGTATTTGTGTGAACGTTTACTGTGTAATAAATTATTATTTATTAACATACGGCTGATAACCTTTGACCCCGATGCAAAGATCTGTAACACAACACTCAATCTTTTGTTTCGTGCTCGACTGAATATTGTTATTTTCGTATGAAACGCTCTCGTTCGGGCAGAGACTATTAAGCCCAGCGGTCGTCATCTAGCCGATTAGTAAACGTTTTATCAAGTCCAATGTTCAACGTTCGGTTAGCGAAAACTCTATACGTGTGTGTAATGTGCTACAATCAGTATTTAATGAGCTGCGACGGGAAACGGTAACGATCGTAGGCGTGCTTTATCCTTTTGTGTAAAACCACGCAAAATAATAATGTCTACCGTGGTGTAAAACCCTCGTCGAGTGTTAAAGTTTAAGTTCGTCTATATCGCCTCGTGTTTATGTAAAACCATTTTTGAAATATTGTATTTTATTTCAAATTTCGGGTCGACGAAAGTGTGTTACGCATCGCGTCCGCCATGTTGCCAGGGACTTGCGACACGGAACTTACGTTGAGCGTGACCGGCGGTTGGTCGACTGTAAAGGTTCTGGAAAAGCTCAAGTTCTGCAATAGTGGTATATTGAAAATCAGCAGCTTGGAACGGAACGAGACGCTAACTAAAGGAAAGGAACTGCATGGCGAAACTACGGCAGCGGCGTCGGCGACTCTACCACCTGGATTTGTCTTGCTGGTGATACTGATCGGCATCAGCGGTATATTTACGATAATCATGTGGTTCACCGAGTTCTACATGTTCCACATACTGCAATTCGTCACCATCACGCAGGGAAGCGCATCCTACGACATGTGGATAAATCCGCCCGTCAAGCCGTACGTGTCCATATATCCGTTTAACTACACCAATATAGACGATGTGCTCAATAACGGAGCTACACCCGTTGTTCAAGAGTTAGGTCCGTTCGTTTACCGTGAGACGGTGGAACGCATAAACGTGGAGTTCAATAAGAACGGAACGGTCACTTACCAAGAACAACGGAGCAACGAGTTCATGCCGGACATGTCGCGAGGAAATCCTAAGCACATGACCATCATGGCACCCAACCTACCGTTGATAGGGGGCCTAGCCAAGGGTGCTAACGCATACCTCCCTAGACTAACCCAGCCTTTTATGCCGTTCATTCTTGACGGGCTCCAACAGAAGCCGTTCCTCGAGCTCAAAATTGACGATTATTTTTGGGGCTATGAAGACGACTTGTACACGCTGGCCCAGAATTTTGCGTCGATAGTGCACAAGGAAGCTCGCCGGTCCAAGTTCGGTATAGTGACCGGGCGAAGAGGCCTAAGCACCGATCGGATCACAGTACACAGCGGTGTGGGCAACTTGGACGAGCTAGGCATCATCACTCGGTACAACGGACAAAATTCGTTAAACGTTTGGAAAACGGATGAATGCAACAGACTGGACGGTAGTGACGGATCGCAATTTCCACCGACCACGCTTAATCGTAATTCCAAGCTGTACGTGTTCCACAAAGACCTCTGTCGGCGATTTCCGCTTGTCTACAAGGAGGAAGTGGAAGTGGTGCCCGGCGTCACCGCGCTCCGGTTCCAGGCACCGCGCAACGTGTTCGACACGCCGCTCACGAATCCAGAAAACGCTTGTTTCTACTCGGATGATGCGTGCCCGCCGTCGGGGGTGTTTAACTCGTCACCGTGTTCCGGGGTCCCGGTTATGATGTCGTTTCCGCACTTTTACTTGGGTGATCCCGAGTTGCGCAAAGACGTGTTGGGTTTATCGCCAGACCCGGAAAAGCATGAGACATTTGTAGACGTGCACGCTAAACTAGGCGTGTCACTAGCTGGTCGATCGCGGTTCCAGATAAACGTGATTCTCGGCTCGACTTCGGATGGCATGTCGTACTTCAAGAATCTTAAACCTGGTTTGATACTTCCCGTGGCCTGGATTGAGCTGAAGGTGGACAAATTGCCTGACGACATTAAACGCAACCTGCAGCAGATGTCCATCAGTATCAGTCTGGGCGAAATTCTGCTCAAATGGATATCTCTATTAACGCTCACCCTATCCATGATATTTTTAGTTAAGAAAATAATTTTGAAAGATTGTTTTATGGCTAACGAAAAACTAGTTTTACCTTTCAATAAATGATACTCCGTTTTTTGACACTACGTCTTAACGTATTTTATTGTTGTACAGTCAAACAATTATTACTTTTTATACATATAACTTAACTAATTACCTATTTATTATTTGCATTCTTTGTAGTTTTTTATTATTATGATTATAGCTGATTGTTTTTATGAACGATTTTTTTTACGTAGTACTTAGGCACAGCTACTGTTGTGATGTTTGTGATAATTACTACGTTTTGCTATTTGTAAATTTCTTTGTTATTAATATTGTAATTTATTTAAATGTTTCCTTTTTTTTTCGTTTTGTTTCTTGTTATTATATTAGCAAATATAGTTTTAATCAAACTGCTATTAGTTATCATTTCTTGTTTGTGGTCAAAATTCAAATATATATGTATGACAAAACGCCAAATATGAACGAACGTTTGAAGCACCCCCCGCGAATTATTTTGAAAATTACACTGCATGTCTGTTACGACGAAAAGAATATTCTCAAATTTTTTTTTCGATTATTTTGGCCATGGTCGTAAAAAGTATTTTTTAATTTTTTCTTGACGCTTCTTTTTATAGTATTTTCGGCCACAAAAAAAATTATTGAAAAATAGTTTCTTATGTAAAATAATCTCGGCTTTCTGAAAAAAATATTGATTTTTTTTCGTGTAACAGAAAGTTATTATTAAAAAATAGAGTATAATTTACTATACAAGTTGGTTTTTCTAATAGTTTTTTTAGAAAGCTGAGAAAATTTGACACAAAATGTGTAAATTTAAAACTGGGTTCTCTATAAAAAAAGCTTTGGAAAACAAAAAAAAAAGAAGTTAAAGTTCTTAGAAAAATAAAAAAAACGGGTGTTTATATTAAAAAAAAAAAAATTTGTAGTACAAAAAATATTTTTAAAAGTCACCAGGGATTCTTATCATGGATATTACAGAGTAATGTTAAGAGTTAGGACTGAGAGGAGTAGTATTAAATATTGTCATGTTTATGTTGACTGTGATATTTTTTTTTTTTTGTAATTAAGAGGAAGACTTAAATTCGAGTTCTCTAATAATTATTATTCCTTCAGTAAAAACGCATAAAAAACTATGATTATTTTAAAAATAGTTATTTATAAATACTCATTACTGATTTAAAACAAGTCACTTGGCTTAAATTTTTTTTACTAATAGGTACTTATCTAAATACCTTAATATTCATCTTCTCCAAAAAGTTAAGAAAATATTCTAATTATCAAATTAATAAATAATACAATTTTTATTCTGTGTATACTAGTCTGATGGCTGTATTTGAGTATCCCGATATTGTCCTCTATTAAAAAGATTTAGTTTTAGAGGCAATAAATTAACGAAATTTAAAAATGTATAAATATTTGATCTTTTTTAATTATGTTAAATAATGTATTTTTTGTTGTATCATTTAAAGTTTTATTTATTTTTATTAATTTGTGGCCATTTTTAATTTAGATGGATTACAATGTTGTTGTGTCAGATTATACAGCAATGGATCGCGTGTTGAGAGAAGAACGTGCCTACATTTTGAACATTGTTAAACAAATAAAAAAAGCTGGTTGTAACGTTTTGTTGATTCAAAAATCCATACTACGTGATGCTCTATCAGAACTAGCTATACATTTTTTGGACAAAATCAAGTGTATGGTCATCAACAATATTGAACGAGAAGATATTGATTACGTGTGCAAAGTAGGTTAAATAATTACTTGATAACAAAGATGCTAAGATGCTAAAAAAATATTTGTTTTATTTTGTTTATTGTTTACTACAGACACTGAATTGTAGACCCATTGCTAGTCTGGATCATTTTGTTGCCGAAAATCTTGTATCGGCTGACTTGGTAGAAGATGTTATGACTGGAAATAGTCATTTTGTGCAAATCACCGGTATTCAAAACCCAGGCAGAACAGTGAGCATTATTGTACGAGGTTCCAACAAATTAGTATTAGAAGAAGCGGAACGATCCATTCATGACGCTTTGTGCGTCATCCGCTGTTTGGTCAAACATAGGTATGTACATTTATTGGTAATAATTATTTACAGCATATAAAATTTTTTGGTTTGACTTGTTTAGAGCGTTATTGGCCGGTGGCGGAGCGCCTGAAATCGAAATAAGTATAAAACTTGCAGAATTAGCCAGGCTAGCATTAGGAGTTGATGCATACTGTTACAGAGCATTCGCACAAGCTCTTGAAGTGATACCCTTAACGTTATCGGAGAACGCTGGTCTTAATCCTATTACCACAGTGACAGAGTTGCGCAACCGTCATGCTCAAGGTGAAATCACAGCGGGAATCAATGTCAGAAAGGTAGTTTTTAACTTTTTACTTTTCCAAATTAATCGTTTGTTAACTACACGTTATATGTTTTAGGGAGCTATTACCAATATCCTCGAAGAAAATGTTGTACAGCCATTGCTAGTTTCCATTAGTGCTATAACATTAGCTTCAGAAACCGTACGCAGCATTTTGAAAATCGATGACATTGTAAGGATTTGTTTTGACGTTATTTATTATTTTTTACACATTTTCTCAATATAAAAAGAAGAAAAACTTTGAAAAACCTTTTTTTACCACCTGCATATTAACCTAAAAAAGTAAATTAATTTGTAATAATTTTTTTAGGTAAATACTAGAGGATACTAAGTAAACAAAAAAAAAAAACTGTATTTTCTCAGGTGAGTTAATTTGTATAATTTCTTTTAACTATTAGTTTTAACAAAAAAATTGTATGATTTCATTTTCAGGTCCAGTGGAAAGACTGCATACTTAAATTAATACAACTAACATCCAAATGGATCAAACAAATATTTTGGCTACATAGCCTTACTAATTTGCTTAAGCAATTTTTTTTTTTTTGTTAAACATATTTTTATACTTCTTTAATAACAATCTACACACTAAATGAAATTTGTTTAACATTTTGTGTTTATATCTTGTTTACCTTTTACCATTATTACTGTAGGCACGTATAAATGATTTATTTTACATATTATTTGGAAATTATTGATGCAATAATTTCATTTTTAAAAAAGTTTTATATAAAAAGAACAATTTTTTCAATAACTTTTATAAGTTGTAATATATTAATATATAATATAAATCTTTCAATTGCAACAAATTTAAAATTAAGAAGAGGTATACTTTAAACAAGTTGATTCTAACCAACATGAAATTAGGAAGCTACAATTACCCAACAGTTAGATTAAACTTATACTATAATTAAAATATTATATTTAAACACAATTTCCAAATGTTAACACTACATACACACAAAAAGTCAAGGAAGAAACATACACGAGATCAATGTGATGTATACTATGGTAAAACAAATTAAATAACAATATTTAGTTATTAGTAAAACCAAGTAACAAAAAATAAAACTAGTGTTAAAAATATTATAACTAATCGATCGGTTTATAAACTATTCGAGCTATTTTGTATTGTCACTATAACAGTTTAAAACTAATTACAATAATACCGTAGAGAAAAACAATTAACGAATATAAAATAATTTTAGGTATGTTGTGTACTATATTAAAACTTAATATTTTTTTTTTGTATAAGATACAATATGATAAAACACCTATAACACATTATCGTGTTAGAATTTAAAAGTAATAAGTATAAAACTTAATAGGATTTAAACTTTAAATTTTAACTTAATAGGAGTAAAAGAACGCATTGTCATTTATAGTTATATTTATATACAAAAGACCTGAACAATTTTAATTAAAATAACTTTTTTTTAGTACATCAATAATTGTGAATTAAAGTCAAATTTTTTTTTTTTTGAAACATCAAATGTTTTTATTGCTATAAATTATTTGAATTTTGCAAATAACTTATTTTCTACAATTCCACTTAATTAAAAATTCAATATTATTTGACAGATGAGTTTTATACACACAATTTTGTTTTTAATAAACAATTATTCATGTAATACTCAGGTCTGTCATGCAGTTGTTAATTATCATTTCGCGTCAACTTAGTTAAATTATATCACCGACTAGGATTACAACTGCATATAAACTTGAAGGCTACAGTACTTGACGTAAATTAATGGCTGCATGTAAAAACAGTATTTATATAAAAAGTATTCGTTTATCTTACCCACTAGGTAATTTCCTAATTTAGGTTTTTCATATTTATAAATATAGTATTAAAACGATGTTAAAAAAAAATTGAATAATTCTTAATGGTGGACCTTATTTACATATTATAAGTATTTAATGAGGGACATGAACTGTTATGACTATTATGTTGTTTGTTACACTTAAATTTACCCGTTTAAAATTAAAACACTTACATCATTACCATATTAAAGTAGCTTTGAAGGCCCTAGGCTGCTTAATCTAACCTACATTGCCATCATATGATGTTTTTTTCATGGATTATAAACATTTACAAATTAATAAAATTCTTTGTAACCACTATTGGCACCCAGATAAACATTTTTTAACTTGGTCAGAGCTCTAAACGATTGTGCTATTCCGTCGTCAGTGAAGTCCACTATAGAAGATTCACTTGAAAGAGATAGATTCCTTACATTCTTAAATTTTTCTGATATTTTAATGAAATGTTCATCCAACAGGCAATCGGCTCTTAATGTTAGGCTAATTAACGGCCAATCAGTTTCAAATATTGGGTCGAAAATAGACGGTTCATGATCGTAATGGATGGGATCGGCAAGAGTTAATCTAAATGCTGACAACTTCATATCCATAGTCGAAATTGAATGCATTAATTCAGGAGATGCATCGATATTCATAAGATCAAGAGTTTTCAGATGAGGTGCACAAAACTCAAATATGGTTATTAAATCACCGATAATGCTTTGGCTGCCCCACATGGACTTGAGTGAAAGGACTTGTAATTGTTTAGGTATAACCCCTAATAGTTTACCATTATTAATGTTATCTGTTAGAAAACAATCCAGCTTCAGTTCTCTAAGAGAATCTATTCTTTTCATTTTATAAAATTCCTCTGTATGACAATATTGAAGATTATGTATTTTTAACGTTCTTAACTGTTGTGTTACATTTAACATGGCAGGCAAAATATTATCAACAAATTCTACAGTATCGAAAAATTCTAATGATACAACTTTATTGGCTAATAGTGGCCAAACCGTATTTACCCAATGTTCATTACTGATAAAATGTGCATAATTCATGGCATCATCACTATATGAAATACCTAATCCACATATTTTAAATCTAAAAATTGACCGTTTACTCTTAGTAAAAATACTTAAAACATCTAAAATTTTATGATTTTTTAAATCTTTTAAGTATATATCTTCTTTATTCAAGAACATAGGGTGAATTGAAGCTTCGTACCATTTCCAGCATACCAATGATGCATTTTTTTTATCTGCCAGATTTAAAAATTGTAATATATGAGATATGACCTAAAACAAAAAAATTACAATAATTATGACAAATTATTCATGAATTATATTTTACTGAAGTTTATACAGACAGAGTTATTTAAAATCATATTAACTGTATAGTACATATATATGGTACGACAAAAAACAAATATAATTCAAATTTTTACTTCAAAATTATGTGATTGCATCTCTCATTTGAATACAAGTCAGAATTTCATGCACTAGTGATTTTATCTATAAACAATTTTTTTAGCTACAAAAATTTAGATTAAAAACTAAATAACAATACCTACGTAGTTTTAATAGTATTTAACAGTGAAATATTTCACAAAGCCGTGAAATATTGATTTGTTTTTTCGTTACTGGCTACGCTAACTGAGAACTAAAACTTACTACAAGGTATGTCACCAATTTATAAAAAAATTAAAATTTTTTCATTTTGTGAATTTGCGATTTACTGTTTTATACACCAACAGAAAACATCATAGAGAACTTCAGTAAACAAACAAAAAATTGTGTTGTTAGAATCAGTATAAAAATATAATGAAAGCACCCGAATGTCGACAGGAATGGACACCATTTCCTAGACAATTCTATCTAAATCAATTAAATTGTGCCTCAGAATTTTCAAGTCAACGTTCCCAATTTTTATGTTCTGTAGTTTTAATGGACATAAACACTTCATTCAAGTTTACTAAAAATTATAATTTAGTAAAATCAACTTTTTGCATAATAGATAGATTTAAATTTTTGAAAACAGAACCAACAAAGTACCTTGTACAACTAACTATTAACAAATTACACTAAGAATTAAGAAATTTAAAAGTTCAGACCAAGATTTCATGTCTAAGGGATCAATTACATGCAGTATAACTATACTAAGGCGCACTAGGCAAGGCATTTTTTTGCGCCCTAAATACATGTTAATGTGGGGCAGGTGCCCTAGCTTTATAATTTGTATATAAGCAAACTATAATACAGTCTTACCTCTGTCGGTAAGTAATTTATATCATCACTTTTTATATCACCGTCCATTTTATGATTAAACTCAGTATGAATAATGAAATAATTCAACTTTATACAAATTAATATATAATTTTATTAGGGATAATCCAATTAATAGCCACGGTTATAAATTTCACCCATTACATTTCGGCTTTTGCCAAATGGTGAACAATAACAACGTATCCTGAAACGATTGAACAAAAATAAAGACAAACTACTCAGTATCCACTACAGACTGCAGAGAGCCGACTACTGCTATTATCATTATAGATACTACAAATTTAATAATATAAACAACTCTCCTCGCAGTAATCAGTACACACTAGTCACTACTCACTACATAGTGCGCGGGCGTGAATCAATAACTTTGGTCTTTGATAAGCAAAATACAATTTACCATTTCACGAAATTAGAAAACTCATTAGTCATTAATAGGATGAAAAGGTTTTAGAATGACCCAACTCTAATGTTTCATGTTCATGACAAATTAGCAACACCAATTAGTACTAACTAATTAAATTATATATATGTATATAGAAATATACATTATATTATATATATGTAAATAGTTTGGTTAGCGATCGCCAATGTTTAGTTTTATGTATTTTGTTTTTTTTTTTTGACGATTTAAAATTTAAAACAATATTTTTTATTATACACCACGTTTTTAGAGTACAGGTAGATAAAAATATAGGGATGGACATCTCTGAATTTTTGAATATAGACCGATATAAATGTACATTTCTAAGACAACCCAGAAACCTCTCTGGCCTCCCTCCACAAGAGCTACTACTAACATAAATTACAATATCCGAATTTCATCAAATTCAACTTCTAGTTCTATTCCTAAAAGCTGTATTTTAACTTAGATCTAATAAAATGTGTAGGATTAGTTATACATATGTACTGTTTTTCGACGTAATCAGCTTTTGTATCCTCTCCTTGAAGGTCTTTTTCACAAACTCCCTTACTCAATTCCAAACAGCTTCTTTGATGTCTTCGTAAGTTGGGAAACATTTTCTAGTTAGAGCATTTTTGAATTTGGAGAAAAGGTGAAAATCACTTGGTCCATACCAAGTCATGACTGCAAGGTGGATGGTTCAGATGTTGAGAAGATCAGTTGCATGTTAGAATAAAAGAAGATGAATGTTGACCAGTTAACGGAAGTTGTTTTCTTTCATATGCCTGTTTTCACATCACTCACAGCTTACTCGTGAACAAATTATTTTCACATTTTCTCCAAATTGAATACAGAAGTCTCTCAGTAACCAGAGGACTGCCGAATTAACGAAAACGCCGGATTAGTGACGGATCATTATAAAACAAATTTTAAAATCTATGTATATGTTTATTTATATGTATTTATTATACAAAATATTACAAACTTTATTAACTTTTAAACATACTTTATTGGTCAGGTTTAAAAAAAATGTCATTTTTCTTTTTTTTTTTTGCTTGAAATAACAATTTCATTGCTTTTTCTTGAAGTTCTTGATGTATTTATTCTCTTTTTGGGGCCGGATTATTATATAGCTGGATTACTGAATCTACTGTATTGGCTATTGCTATAGTTGGGGAATGTTTTACATGAGATGAAAAGATTAAAGAAGCTGTTTGGAATAGGGAAAGGGAGTTGGTGGAAGAGACATTCTAGGAAGGGGATAGAAAAGAGGATCTCTAGGTATCAGAAATATACCTAGATATATCTAACGCTTTGGAGACTAGGTCAAAAAATTATTGTATGCATTTTATACAATAATCCTATATATTTTGTAGAAAATATTAACTCGATTTTTTAAAAAATAAACGCATTATTTTCCAAACGACCCTATATTTAAATATGAAATATATAATTAACTATTTATTTTTTATTTAAGTTATTTCAAATAAAAATGTATCTATTATTTTAGGTTTTGTTAAAATAATATCCAGGTTTTATTAACACCTATTATGAATACATTAACCATTAAAATCAGTTTTGTTTTTTATTTTCACAATATGTTACTTTTTATTTAATTAAATACATACAATATTTAAACGTTCAGAGCTTATACAAATAAGCAGTATCTACAGAAGGTAAGTCCGTTAAATTTTAACAAGTGTATTATGTTTTTGGAGCACCATAGGCATCTGGCATTCTTTCAATTGTATACCTATAAAAAAAAAGGTGTAGTTTAATAATAATAAAAGTAGTAATTTGAAAAATGTTAGTACCTTCTTTGCATAATATACATTATTGGTACTCCTGGAATTTTTCTTATCCGTCTTTTTAAATCTCTGTCACACGTAGCAACTATATAACATTTATGCTGAAAATAAAATGGTTCTATAAAAAACAAAATTTACCGACAAACGTACTTTTATGTTAAAATGTAATACCTATAAACAAGGTGTTAAGAATTTATTATGCATTTATTTGGTAAAAATATTTTATTACAGTATTAAATTTATACGATAATTACTTATTAAATTGTTTAATAGAAAAAAGCACTTGACAATTTTTGAAATAATAAATTCTGATTAAGGCATTTTCAGACATTATTAATTATATTTTTGACTATCTTAATTTTAGTATAGAAATTTTTTAAGGGGAATAGAAAGCGCCAAAAAGAGTTTAATCCTATCCTATCCTTATATTATGCAAAAAAAAGTAAAATGTGATACGCAGTGGCAATTAGTAGCGTGCACTTAATGGTCAAGTTAAAACTTAAAATTACCTCAAAAATTATTTATTTAAGAAATACTTGATACCTGTGTTACTCTTTGAACTATACAATCATCAGCATATGTTCCAGTATGCATGCATTGTATTCGTTGGAAACGAGGATCTTTAACAATTTTTAATGCTATCTTATATTTTTGGCCTAATTTCTCTAATTCGCCAACTACACAGTCAGTTACATATGGTATACCTGTAAAATAAAAACTCATTTTAAAGACTGAATAATAATGAAAGGTAGATAATTATGTTTTCAATAGTATTGTTGAATAATAAGCAGGACTTGAAAACATTATTTTGTAATGTTTTCTTTTGAAATGAATATTCTTTTTATATAATAAAATATGTTTAAGCTATGGAAAGAATAAATAAAGGATACAATCAACTTTAATTAAATAATACTTACATTTAGCATACAAACAATCCATCATATTTTGTACCACATCCATTTTATACTTAATGGAAAAGTTAACAAAGTTAGTATCAACTAAAATATGATATGGTGGTCCTAGTTGTGTATTAAATTGAAAGAATAGTGCTGAACTTGTTTGAGGCCTAAAAAATAACAATTGTAAGTAGTACATTAAAATATTAACTTATTAATTATAAATTGTTGTTCCAAAGTATTACACATGACGAACAGCAACAGTTTTATCATCGTTTTTCTTCTTTTTAATAATCGTTCGCTTTTCCTCTTTTCTGAAAAGCATAATTATAATTGTATATTTAGAATTTATAAATAAAACAGGAGATATCCATTTACATTCTTGAATCGGTAGGTTTTATCATCTTTTTCATACTAGCAAAGCGCTTATTGAGAATTTTTTTACTTTTCTTGGTCTTGGTCTATAAAAAATGTCAAAAATAACATTGTAAAAAAAATTATATACTAGATATATATATATATATATATATATATATATATATATGTATACAGATGTATAAATACAAACCATATTCACAATTTATAATTACACAATTATTAGCAATAATATTATAGTAATTAAAGTACAAGTAATTTTTACGTCGAATACTAAGTTGCTCTTACGAGACCTAAGTGTACACGAGTGCCAGACGCGAGTAGCGACTAGTACCAACAATATGCTATCAATAATAAGTTATAACACGTGCGATTTATCATTTCAACAAAATTACAGTACTACCAACGTTACAACGCTGATATTCCGAGTTTTTCATGAATGAATCCAAAAAAAGACATCAATGATCTTATGATAACGACTAGGGTAACGTTACTATAATACAGTATTTACTACACAAGCATTACAGCTGCTCACTAACTCATACGCTCTATTATAATGAAAATGAACACCGTTTTTTTATGTTTTTGAATATGGAATACTTGTATACCATTTTAAATTACACATTAGTTTCTTAAAATTAAAAACAATAAAACAAATAATGTCTGCAGTAATAAACGAGTCACAACGTACCAAATAAAACACAATTTATGACTGTTAACGAGTAACTGAGTAACATAATATGAAAACTCAAAACGATTAATCATAAATCCTAACTAACATGGGTTTAAAGTAAATTTAAAATTTCTTCTAATACGTGGAACATAAAGATTTAAATGTTTTATACAAAACAACATTAGATAAAACTTTCTCAAAAAACAATATTGGAATAATTATTTCAAATGTTTCATTTGGGTTTTACTTCATTTTTTGTGATGCATTATTATCTTAATTAGCCATAAGCGTCCATGCACGTGTATTTTTATAGAAACCTTTCGGCCTCCCCCATCAATTGTCTATTTCTACCATCCTACGCGTATCATTTGGTCGCAGTGATGGCACTTAAGCGACGAGATTATCAATGGGCCATGCGCCACCATCGCCGCCAGCTCGTTTAAGGACGGCAGGGCAATGGTACGTTCAAATGTATTGGGTTATAATGCGATGGCGGCGGCATTTCGACACTGCTATAGTCGTCGGACCCGTAACCGGGAAATTCGTGAAGACATCGTCAAGGTAGCACTCGTTCGATGGATTGTTCCATGCAAGCGTAGGTGGTCAGCTGGCCTTACGCGCGCGCACAGTACGCGGCCTGCGGTGTGGGGTAATCCCCGGGCGTAGTAAAATTTACACGACAACGGGATTTACTATAATTTCCTATGGGCCGCCGGAGGCATATTATACGCACCGGGCGTGCGCGAGTCCTTTGTGCGCACCATAGGCGGGCGGGTGGCTTGCCGTCTCACCGCGCACGATCCGCTGGTTTACTACACATCTCCGCGGCTGGCGGCAGTACGAGCACAGCGTTCGAATAGTTTGGGCCCACCTGACGTGCACCCGATACGTAACCGTAGCGAGGAATCGACGGCACGACAAGTGGTTTTTCGACTTGTTATTGTTACCGCATTCGTGTACTCTGTTCCATCGCCACGACTTGCTCGGCAACGAAACGATTGTTGTCAGCGATACATTGTTGGAAAAAGTCGCCACGGACGGAGCTATGCGGCGGTGAAGCGTTCACGACCGGAAGTGACCCTCCGAGGGTTGGTGGTGACTCGCGGTCGACCGGAGGCGAATGATGCTCAAATTTGTCACGCACAAACTAAAGACGCACAGCCTTGACGACCATCGGAGACCCTATTTAAAGGTACTGGTGAGCGACCGGGTAGTAGATACTTTTTAAAAAAGCGACAGTTTCTACCATGTAATGGAATTATCGTTATTTACGATAACACGACGACGAAAACGACCACCCCTTGCGGCACGCCACCTTATACCCCTCGTTGTTTGCCTTGCCTGTGTTCCGCGCTCCCCCCCCCCTGTGAGAACAAAGGAACGCGCGTCGCTACATTGTATGCGTGACATTTTCTCCTCCGTTAGCATGTGTACCTAATATGTGTGTGAGCGCGCGTTCGTCAGCTGATTATTCTAAGCGCGTTGTATCCGTACAGCTCGATCACAGACATCGCGCGTCTATTTTTAATCAAATACTACTACTACTACTACTACTATTATTGTACTACTACTGATGGTCGCGGACCGGTGTTGATAACGACCACCTCGACCATTACAGCTTTGGCGTTTTATCATTGTATTTGTGTACGGAGCACGGCTAGTTGTGATCGTGTCTCGATTTGCAGGCGGAATTCGATAATCAAATCACGTTTATTTTCCGAATACAATTTTTCCCTTTAACCGACCATCCATATTTTTGTCACCAAATATATTTCTCGCCGTCGTCGTTCGTCATTCCGTTCTCACCGGCGATCGAATTATCTATCATCATTATATCACTGCGTTCGAGTTAATCGTTGGCTATGTTATCTATCACTGTGGTTCAGCAGTTTTGCCGTCATGTGTAATATTGTTCTCACCTAATCTTTGACGGGACATCAGGTGAATATTGCTCGCTTTTACATTCCACCAAATAAATTTAAATGATAATATTTTTTTTTTTTAATTTTGTATATTGCTGTATAGGTTGCAAATATTGTACCATATACACTATACACATTAACTCATGTTTTTATGTATTTACAATTACCGTAAAAATTGACTGATAATAAATAGGTACAGTAAAACTAGTCGCTGTAAAACTGAATGTTATGCGATTAAAAACAAATGTGTCCATAATTAATCGATATCCGTTTTACAGAGCATCCGTATTATATAAATAGTTATCGGTGTCCGGTAAATTAAAGAGCTTACATTTTTTAATAAATAAATTATTATAATTATCATATTGGTTTTAAATAATTTATATAACATTTTATGGGGTTTGAGATAAATTTAAAGAATATAGGTTATTAAGACATAATAGATGCGGAATTCGGACTATAGGTACTGTGATTAAACACTGTTGTAGACTACGATTACACTATTTTTTTTTTTAATGTTGATATACACTATGCAAACCTTAATTTTTTTTTTAAATACTTATTAGAAACCAAAACTTGTATTATGTAAAGTGCCGTTAATTTTTTTTATTTAGAACAAATAAAATTATTTATTCTTGGAAACTATATTTACAGTATGTTTTGTCTTTTTTTATAACTAAATTATTTAGTTTATATTATTATTCTTAAAACCTAATTATAATTAAGCTATAGTGATGCATTTGTTTCAACAATGAATTTCATATTTTTTATGTTCAAATACACAAAAAAAAAAAGATACATTCCCTCTAATTATTTGTAGGTAACTATTAAACTTTTAAGGCTTAATTATTATTTAAAGATAATTGTTTGGATGGCTATTGTTATAAAAAATTCTGTATTTATTACAGTTGGTATTAGTTTTAGATATAATGTAATAACTAGACAGGTAGTACTTCTTAATTTTTTTCTTGCGGTTTATTTAGGTATTCTTTATTATAGATATCTATTACCTACCTAATGATAAATTCTTGCTTTAAATAAATAATCTGTTAAACATAAAATGTGTTGAACACTTTTTTTGTCTCTTGTTCTTTTTTAAAATAAATGCAAACAAATTTTTATTCCAATATTTTTGGGACAATGAATGTTTTAACGAGTAAATAAAAAAAAAACATTATAAATAGGTACCATAACCTTAAGTTAAAAATAATTTTACTAAGTTGTGTATTGGAGCTATGATGCATTAATGATTTACTTTTTTGATAACAATAATATGATTTTTAAACTTACATGAAATTAAAATTTGTGTTCAAATTAGGCAAGTACTGTATGTACATAGTATGTATTTTAATATTCAATTTTATTTTAAACTGTAGATTGTTTAGCCTAATACCGCTAAGCATTTTCATACTCTAAATTCAAGATTTAAGATCGTTGGTCTCTAAAACATTTAGTTTTCTTTTTACTGAAGTATACTGTACAGGATCTATGTATATACATGTGTGTAGTATTAATATTTTATAGTCGATTATACTTGGTCATTTAAATATTGATTGTCATTTCGACGTGTACAATAAAATCTGAAATCAATTTATATCTACCACTTTGACCTTTAATATATAAATATGTGTAGGTAACAATGCAATTAGAACAATATATATACTTGTAGGTGATTTAATGTAGTTTTATATTTTGTTAATGTTATGAAGTTTCTAATAAAATGTAAATAATATCAATAAAAAATAAGGATCTATTTATTTACCTGAAATAATTAAATTATTTACAACTATTTGTATTTTAATTTATTTTTAAAAAATTTCAGTCTAAATCTATTGATTGCGATTCTGGCACAGAGTCGGACGACGAACAAAGTCCGGATAGAAAATACAAAGTTTCAAAAGATAGTGTACCTGATTCTACCCCATGTAAGTTTTTATAGTTTATAATCACTACATTTGTTTTTAGTATGAGTTATGCAATAAATATCAATTTGATAAATACTTTACTTAAAAGACCATTTGGTGTAAATTATATTGTTCATAGTTTTCAGGAAAGTGAAAAATGTTTATCTCGTATTTTTATAATTTATTAATTTTTATGTTAGGGATACAAGAAAAATATTTTCTTTTTTTTGTATTTTTCTAATCCTAATAATTACACATTGTATTTCTATTTCTGTAGTTATTTTAATTTATTTTTGTTTACCCAAAATTACCTTTTAACTAAAATCTTAAGCTGTTAGGTTGGTAATTACACAATATTACTTAGAAAACATAGGTGTTCATAATTAAGGTTTTAAAAATATGTTATTAAGAGGATTGGATGTCCATTATTCCTGTCTCTGTCATCTCACGTGCAGCATAGTTATTAAGACACTTATTTTGTCCATTATACCGATCTACTGGTGCGATAAGGAATCTGAAAACAGATTTGAGTTCATTAAAAAGATTACTTAAAATCTGTTTCTTTTTATTTTTTTCAAAAAAAAAAAAAAATTTAACTCTAAATTGAATTTACTTTACTAAGTTATATTTCTGAACGCTATATTATGAGTTTGTATGTGACCAACTTCACAAGGTTTTTACTTATTTTTTTCTCTGTTTTTAGTAACTTACTTAAAAATCAAAGTCTAATGCACCCTCTTTCCAACAAAGAAAATTGTCGTCTTAATCAGAAATCTTATGGTCATGAGAGATTTTCCTGTAAATATTTTTATGACAAAAATATTTATTTTTTTCTTAAATAATGTCTATATTTTGCTTATATTAAATAGTTGCAAGCTGGTCCCTTAATTTACAATTAAAACTGGAGTTTAAATATATGTTATTTAATAAAATTTTCACCTATTAATAACTCATCATATTATTAAAATTTTATTCACACATTTGTCAGTTTTCACTGAGTCTGTATGCTGTAGACAACATCTTGATTTATTTGATTCAATGTGCTTGATAATAAACTGTATAAAATATGAAATAAGTAAATTAAAAAATTAGTAGTTGCTTGTGAGTGGCCATTCATTTATGATTCGTCAAATATATTTAGAGAGTAATGAATTGTCAAATCTTTGTAATGATTATCTCATTTCTTAAGTTTTATATTTACTAAAATTTGTATATACAGTTAGCTAGAACTAATTATTTTTATTACTATGAATAGTAATGGAGAACGTCGAAACTGAAGACATGGTCGGTGATATGGAACCAACTAGGTCTTCAAGTAGTGGCCGCAGTAGTGTTGCTACACCTGGGCCATCTCCTTATTTTCTTGATTCTGCTCTACCCAGCGATTGTGATCAACACAGTTCTGAAGAAGAGTTGGAAGTGATAAATAGCAATCCTGAAGCATTAATACAAGTGGAAGTACCTACCCCTGATCCAGACGAGGCAAATTCTTGTGGTGTGCCTGACAACTCCGCTGTTTCCATAGCTCGTAAACGTTGTCGGTCTGCCAGCGAAGCCGGCTGTGGTAATACTATTGCCGTAAGCTGGTCGGGTTCATCTGATGATGAAGTGCAGGGACTCATGTCGACAAGACCGACTCCATTAAAATTTTGTGCCTCGCCTCCATCTCATGTACACAAACCAGGACAATGTACCGTTTCCGCTTCCCCACCTTTAAAATTAGTACATCTGTCACCTAGGCACTCTGTGTCACTTCCTAACACATCACCACGCAAACGCCACAGGCAAAGGCACCATCCTACTCGCAACGTACAGAGGCCTTGCTTAGATTTCGAAAAAATGCAACAGGTAAGAGTACTAGTATTTAAAAAAAAAATACTTAATACTATTATGGATTTTTGTCTGCTGTTACTTGTCTATAATATTTATTTTTAAAGCGTTGGAGTCTATTATAGCAGTAAACAATATCAGGTTATGCCTACTCATATTTACTCGGGCGGGTCTAGTGATTAATTAGGGTGACTAAACAAATCTGACGACTGATATCGTGTTCCATCGGGACAGCAGGCTTTAGCTTATACAAATATATAATACATATATATATATATATATACTCGAGCACTTAAAATTTCACGGTTTAACTCACCTACGTGTTATACGTTATCAAGTAAAAATATGAAATATGTAGCCTATGTAGGTTATCGTCAAGATGACGTTGGAGATAAGATACATATCGTACCTGGTAAAATTATTAATTGACGCCTACCACCGCCGCGCCGTTGCATTAAAATATTTTCGTAAATACTCGCAATTAATAATTATATATTAAGTATGTATTTATAATAACAGATATTGTTGCGCTAACGCTTAAAAATACTCGCGCTAGATTGTGTTCACGAGCAGCAGCAGCACAGTATTTTATATTGTTGTTTGTCCATTTATAATTATTACGCCTCCTCTAGCCGACACTTGACTCTCGTCCCGGATCTACGGCAAACAGCTATTCTAATCTTATCTATGACAGTTGTAAAGTGGGCTGTGGGGAGATATTTTCTTCGTTTAAACCAAGGCTGTGAACCCAAATTATTTATTTGGGTACGGGTTTTGATAAAAAAATTGTATTCAAGTTAAGCGGTTTCGGTTTTTGGAGTTTATATGAGTTAATTCGGGTTCAAAGCCGCTCTGTGCCCTGATTAAAATCATAACGTATCTCAACAATAATCGCTTTCGTTTAGCTATGTATGACGCTGTTTTCGTAAATGATTACTGCCTACGCTCAAATTTTGTTTATTATTTACTGAAAAGTACGATTTGCGCCTATCCTATTTCAGTAACTTTTAATTTTTATTTTTGGCCAAGTACACGTTGCCCTTGAGACTAATCTAATTGTGTTTGTTTTGTGTGCGTACGGGAGGGGGGTTGGAAGTTCATTTCTTTACAGCTGATTTGTGTTTTATTATGTTTAGTCTGCGATCCTTCGGTAGTATATATAATAAATAAATAAGTAATAACGCTGTATGAACACGTTCCACATGGCTGCCACTGATTCTTTTTACCACGCGAATGGAATGCACATCGAGCAACTACAATAATCATACTACAGAACAGAGTACAGTGAAATGTGAATATGAGAACCTTGTAAAGACACGGCTGGTTCTCTACACAGACAAATGAGTATAGAAATAACATATCTCCGCATACGAGAAATCGATTAACACATTTGATTAAACTATTATTGGCCTCTACCTTTTATGGCCGTAAAATCTAATATTCAAACATCAATCTTGGCAACATTTATTATACTTCTTTTTTCAATTTGTTTTAACTAATTATTTTTAATATTGCAATAGATATAATAAATAATTAGTTTTTATTACACGGCTATCGCAAACATAATTATAATATACAGTATTGTTTTCTGTATTCGGCTAATTATTGCAAGCCTCTATCATATAATAAAAGTGCTCATAATATTTGATACAGCTATTACGAAAAACACTATTTTTAAGTTTCAATATTTAACAAAAATAACTTTTAGTAGAAATGAAAAAAACTTCAAATAAGTTACCTGATATTAAGAAGACTTTTAAAACATGATAGAATGTAGGCAACTAACGATTGTGAACATGGGTCATAAACGGAAATTGAAAAGAAAGAACTGTAAGCATATTTGATGTGGTACTGGAGGCGTATGGCGAAGATAAATTAGAGGAAAAAAAATAGAGGTACTAAAGTTGCTACAGAAAAACGTGTTACCATTAATGCGATTATACAATGGACGTTTAAAAATGGCCCCACATGCACTGAGAAATCCAGAAAAGTTACATAATCATATAATAGTTAAAGACATTGTGGAAGGAAATAGAAGAATAGCGGACGATCTCGTGTTCTTGTAAAGGGAAAATTAAAAAAGATGCCGAAAAAATGTTTAAGAAAATGTATTGGATTATGGGGGATGATAGTTGTGGTGGTAGTGGCCACGGCGACCGGCTGGTGATAAAGAGAAACCTAGCCTCTCGTTAATACCTGTTAAACGCACATCATACAATTGGAAAAAGTAAACATTTCTTAAAATTAAAAAAGTGTGATTACCATCGAGTGATTCTAAAAACCTAATTAAACTGGCGGTGTTTTATTTAGAATAAGACATTCCTCGACAAATGAGTCATCCTTGTTTTTATTAAACGCAAAAGGCAGGCAATAATGTTCTGTCTCGTGGATTTAACGTAAATGTTGTACGTCGTAGTGAAAAATGAGATATAATGGGATGAAAAAATGTGTTTTAGGTATGTGACCCACTACTAGAAGTCATTACCGCCGGGGTTGTTTGTATTGTCTTTTTAGGAATAATCGATAGTTGCCGCCATTGTAAGCACGACGCTTTTAGTCGTGTACGTTGTACGTTTTAACCATTGTTCTTTTTACAATTTTACCTCCTACGTTTTATCTAGTGTGAATCGTTAAATGCGCCCATACGTTTTGAATACTTGTACTAACACGATATGTATAATAACAAAACAGGTATATTCCTAAATGCAGTGTTTTGTCTGCCCATCTACTCTATTCACGGTTTGTTCTCACCGCGCCCTTCCCGGGACACATTTTATGGGTAGTACACTGTTGACTGTTTGTCTATGTGTAGAGTGAATCAGGCTGTGTGCTGAACGTATTTATATTATATGATTATAGTGATACTATGTTGGAAGTAAACAAGTCTCTATTTGAAGGTCACCTTTCCCGCTATTTTTACATACGATATTGTATATTATGTATAATTTTATGATGTTTGTTATTACTAAAAAAAAACCTCTGCTGCCGCCAATGCCGTGATACTCATATTATGCGTGTGGTCTGGGTCGTGGAATTTTCAGAGTTCGCCTCTGTAATACCGGACCGTACGACTCGGCGTCTTACGTCTTGTGCTCCTCCTTCCCACCCATTGCCGATATCTTGTATTTTGTTGCTTCTCCTCTCCCCGCGTGCCGTCTGCCCAGTGCCCACTTACACCCGCCGTCACCTTCATCGCATACATACACACACACTCGAACACATTCCTTTACTATTTTACTACCGCCCGCGGCCCGAGTCCCCGGGTACGATGACGGCGGCAACGACTACTACAACTACCCATTGCATTATTTGTAACACCACCGCCGTCATGGTTACCAACCGTTCATTCAATAATATTCCAAACTACGGCGCTTGTGTAATGTTTTTTTTCCACGCCACCAACACCGTCTACTACGCAGCAGAAAGTAAAAGCATTGTTTGGACCTCCTTCGTGTGTAGCGTTATTTGTTGCCGGTTGGCCATTAACTTAATCGAATCTTTGCGAAGAAAATATTATGAAGTTGTACGAAAGCATCTCCGGTCTCTCAAATTCGCACATAACAAAAAAAATAGAACCCATTCGTTAATTCGTACGAATTATAGTTGCAAAGCAGTCATCAGTCATACATTTCAAGTGGGCGAATTCGCGTTGAATATCACCAAGATTATGCCTGGTTGCAATTTTATTTCTATGTATATATATTTTATATGTATATTATTTTATTTGACATTTTTTTGCGCGCTTTCAAGGACAAACACTTAGGTCTACATAACTTATCACCGTTAGATTACATTGCATAGTGAACATACATCTATTATCTATTAGTTCATTTGATAAATATATAATATATATATTCTTGTTCGATAATGAATAAGACGACAATAGGCGAAAAAATATATTATCGTTATTGCAAAAGTTTTTTTAAATTAGACGCATTGATTAAACAATCATATTAGGATAAATCTATGGTACATGAAGTAATATTTTGTAAATCATCGGGACATGATTTCTCTTGTGAAAGATATAATGAGTGTTTTTTCTAGTATTAAGTATATTTGTGCAGCTTAAGCTAAAAGTAAGCCATCGTAAGTCATTGTAAGGTATAATGTTTACGTATTTATTTTTTATTTTTAATGGCGGATAGTATGTTTTTGCAATAACAAAATCATGAGACTGAAATAGTGAGATTGTTGTTAGTTTTCATTTGTATATTATATAGTTTTAATTAACGTTTTAGCTTTGATGAAAAACTGAGAAGGTATTCATTTTTGTTTATTATTGATGTAAGTATGTTGATTGGGACGGTCGTGAAAAGATAATAAACGTGGACGGTGGAAATATCCATGACAACCATTACCTCGCTTTCAGTTTAGTACTTTTTTAATTCAAAATGTTTTAATTAATAAATCATGTCATTAATTATACGTACTATGTTTTATGATTAATGCACCTTGGTTATTAAGACTACTGACGAGTGGAAAGATACACAAATATTGGAAAATGTGTGAAATATTTTGAATTTTATTTAAGTTGACAACCTAATAAAAATGTCGCATTCATCTAACATCTTGTAAAATTATTTCATGATGATATTATCAACGTATTATAGTAATACGTGTAAATTTAAAAACTGTAAGGGAGAGGGTATCGTGGTGAACAAGTTGAAAAGATATACCCGCTTCTATACAGACATAACTTAACTTAATTTACCAAACGGCATAACGCAAGTGTAATGATACTTAATTTTCGTGGAATAGCGTTAGACAATAACAGTTTGTATACGCATACTATAATAGTATACGAACTAAGTTCTATATTTTGTAGAAATATAGAACTCAAGTTTACTACGACCGTGTGCAATCATTATTGCATAGATTGATAGAATATGCACACATGTGGTGTGACCTCTTGACTAACAAACAAAATAATATCGGCATAAATGTACATCCGGCCAATGGCATAGATGTATATATTTGTATATAGGGTGAAGGAAGATATTTTCGTGGCATAAGCAATTTCGTGATATAATTTGTTAATCGTATCGCGTAATTTCCTATTAGAAAATTGTCTTGAAAATCACACTGATTGTTAAAACAACTGTGTTTTAAGAAGCAGTGTGATTTTCAAAACAATTTTCTAATAGGGAATTACGCGATACGATCAACAAATTATATCACGAAATTGCTTATGCCACGAAAATACCTTCCTTCACCCTACTTCGAAACTTAACACGATATTCGTTTATGAATTCTAAATATCTTTTTAGCGCCTCGTTTTGCACTGATGACTAAATAGATTACTAAAAAAAACAGTCGATTACAAACAAATTAAACATTATACAGTTATTATATAATTGGACTAATAAAAGATTCTCAGTATTTTAGTCATACGGCGTTTAGTATGAATGTAGGTATTTATATATCTTTTTGTTTTTATAATAAAAACTATTCTGCTATACTATAAATGTTGTTTGCAGCTAGATGTACAGTTATATGTATAATCATATTTGATGTAGGTTTAAGGTTCATAAATGTATTCTAAAAAACAAATAATTAGTAAACCGTTTTGGCTAACCAAAAGGTGAACGATCGTTAAGTTATTGCCAAGAGCTTGTCTTTTATGGTTGTCTCGTTTAAAAGTATTGATAAATAATATTCAAAATAAACAAATAATTTTGTTATTTTGTTTTAACTTTCTTAGACGTCATAGAGCATAATATTTTCAACCAGTCTAACCTGTTTCTATAATAATTAGTAAGGTTTCATTTTGTACAGATATATTATAGATTTAATATTTTAATTTAAAAACTTGCGGTATCATGTAACAATACGATCTTCAGCTTAGATTTATACTCTGGAATAAACTTGAGCAACACTTCAGGTTATAAATAGTAAAGAATAAAATACCACTAACAACGCAAGCATAGTATGTTGTGCGCTTTGATGATAGCATTGCTACCAAAGTACGATTATATAGTATAGGTATACGTATACGTATATACAGTGCTAAAGTATATAATTTTTTGTGATTGAGGATTTTTAAATATTTTACTATTTTATTCTGGGACATGTAATTTTTTATTTAGTGTACATACTCCCATGGATTACGCTTCAAATTCATTGCATGCTTTATATTAATATTTTATTATTAATTATCATTAATATAGGTAGACTAATTCCAATTGAAAACTATAAAATTATTTTTCATTTAAATTTTAAAATACAGAGTCGGTAAATTATAAATTATACGTCGTCAATTAAATGGTCATTATTACCATAATTATACCATGTAAACATAATAGATTATTTACATCACTAAGACTCGAAATTTATAGTTATGACCTTGCCACGACAGATGGACTCTCATACTACTAATTTTTAACAAAAACAACGATTTTTTGTAAAGTAATATAATATTACCAAAGTTCTGTTCGTAACTGTCATTTGTTCCTTAGAGCTTACAGCTAGAAGTATTTTATGTTTAAGCTTAAACATAAAATACGATATAAAAAATGTATGTGTCTATTTATTTGTATTTTTTCAAAAAACCTTTTAATTTTACTTTTTTAAATAAAAAAAAAACTTAAAAGTAAGACTCCAATAATTTGTACGGTAGGCTACAGCATTACGCGCCAAGTGTTAAAGGCCAGATGTTCATTGTTTGATGATTAGTCATAAAAAATAATTATATATCTAAGTAATCTTTGATTTTTCAATTTATTTCTAACAGAAAACTTATATTGTGTTACAGCTCAAAGCATTATCTGCGACGACGTGGAGGCACACTAGTAAAGACCACAGTGGAGAACTTTCAGTGTTTTGTTGGTGATTCCATTAAAAATGTTTCATTTGTGTATTTTTCTTCTTATTAATTTTTATTATTTGTATCTAGAAAGGCTGTATCAAAAACTCTTAGATCCGTTAGTTTGAAAAAACTTACTGTTCTTGGCCAATTTTTGTTTTGAATATATTTTTTTATCTTGTTTGTTTTTTTGGTCTTGTGCCACATGTTTACAATATTATTATACTGCACTCGTAATGTGGTAGAGCGGGTCTTACAGGCCTTGTACAACACGATGAATGTAAATAATAACTGAGCCAGTTTATGATGATATTTTATTAATGTTTTTATTATTATTATTATTATTTATATCATTATTATTATTTATATTATTATTATCATGAACTATGATTATGTTTATTAATGTTTTAGCTTCGCGCTTTGCTAGTCTGTAACATTCACATAAAAAAGGAAATTAATTCTTACGTGTTTGTATTTATATTCCTCAAACAATTTTTTGTCTCATTAAATTAAATAAAACTATTTTTTAATGTATTTAGTCATTTAGTACCTAAAACTCATGTGTTATTAAATTTATATGTATGGTTATATTTAATTTAGGCAATGCCTTATTTAGATTTTTAAGTAACAATTATTCGAGTGTCATGTCATACATATTTTTAAGTTCTAATTCGTATTGTTAGAAATATTTAAAAACAAATTATATCAATTTTATTGTTTTTTTTTTAATACAGCTTGGGTCTCATAATATTATAACGTAAGGTTATTATTTATTTACTAATATGTTATTTAGCAGAAGTTGTATAGTAGTTTCCTTGTACTATCTATGTATCTTATATTTGTTTTTATTAACATTATAGTTGTGTTTAACACGAATTGGACGGATATCGACATCAAAATGAGGGAAAGAGAGATAATATGTTATAATAAACATAATTTTATTTTCAGTAAAATGGTATCAAAATATGTATTATATTGATGGTTAATATAAAACTGAATAATTTAAAGATTATTATATTTGTGTATGAATTTCGCGTATTTTTATGAAAATATAGAAACAAGTGTTCTTGATGTTTTAATTTATTAAGCGTGTGAAATCAAACATCAAAATGAGTGTACAACTTGATAATTATAACTATTTACATTTGGTGGAAGTGTGGTAAATAATAAAATAGTAGAAATTGAATCAATTTTATCAATACAAACAATATTTATGCATAGTTATAATAATATAACGATTTATACAAATGTTATTTGTACAGTATTCCTATTACATATGCGTATAAATTGTAGTATGAGGCTTCGTATATTATGTTATTAGGCTAATGACTAATGAGCTATATGATAATACATTTATTTATTTCTTACTACGGATATAACATCCATTTACGTTTTAGAATGTTTATTTAAATTTTTACACACTAAATGTTCTATAGATCACATCTATAAGTAGGTATAGATTAGGTAATAGTTTCGACTTTTGACTCCAATCGGACCTCGATCCAGAAAAAATACAGCCCATTGTGGTTTCCGTTTTTGTAGTAGACCACCGACCAAAATATATTCATCAGCCTCAGGTCAAGGTTGGATAACTTTATATTGAAAAATTAATTTAAATAAACAACCGAAATTGCATATCAAACAGAAGTAGAAATTGACATTGTACACATATCAGTTTCAAAAAGGTCGGGTTAGATATTATTTCTAGATTTTTAAGATTTGAGAAGAGTATTGTTTTGCATCAGTAGACGACTTATTTTGTTTGTAATGACTAATGGGCTTGCACTCGGTACAATGTATAATCAATTTATTGATTCTCCTACCTATACATTAACGAAATTTTCCAAGCATAAAATTGCTAAGAAACGTTCATAGCATTACATGTATTATAGTTTTGGTTAAACAGAGCGTTAATCATTATCATATGATAGTTGATACGTTTACTCTGACGGTTGAAATTGAGTCGCTAATAAAATGATAAAAAACATTTTCTGACTAGATAATTTTTTTTAGAAGTGTTTAGTCATATCATATAAACTGTTAAAACTATGATCTTTAGCATAAAGGACATGCGAAGTACTCGATGATTTTTAAAAAAATAGATGCACAATGTCTCAAAGATGAAACAAACATAATATTTATTCCCAATTTTAGAACGACCTCGCATACTTATTTTTTTAAATTTATGTGTTTTTAGTTTGATTGTTGTTAAAATACAATTATTATTTTTAGATCTCCTGGCAAAAATTCACAATATGCTGCTAGGTGCAGTATTGAGCTTTGGTCTTTGGCCAAACGTATACTATATTAATTTAATCTTAGCTACATCGTGGATTTTAAATTTTGGTGTTTAATCTAAAGCACATAATTTAAGAGATTTAAAAATAAATCCTAAGCGTGTTTATTTATGTAATAGCAGCTGTGCTCAATATTAAAATATACCTACTTATACTATTTTATTTAGTTTAAAATCAAAATGCCATATAATTCTGGGCACATTTAAGCTTTATTGTGTAAAGTAAGTTTTGTTTTGCACTTGGCTATTTCAAAAAGAACAACGTTATATCTAAGTCCAATCTAAAATATAGCCGTCGCGATATATTGATAAACATTAGCATGTTTCTATGGTAAAATAATTTCGCTCCAGTTTAATAATTCATATTTATTTCCTATTTTACATTTTCGTTATCTGATTTAAAATAACATAGGTAACATAGTATAACCTTAGTTTACCAAGGCAACGGGCTACCTACTTGAAATTCCTTTTTTGTGTTATTTCTCGAATAACCAATACAACGTTTTGCTATCGTACAATTTTTTTTCAACAATGCAATAATTTCACATTTGGACGAGAGAAATGCGATTGAACGCATTTGTTCATGATCGTTGACCCTTTTTTATAGATACAATAATAATAAACGAAAACATAAATTACAATAAATTTTCTTAGGGCGTCGTCGAGAGTTGGAACAAGTCAAAGATTTCTGAAATAATATACAGAGATCGAGGAATCAGCAATACATTAATACCTACGACCAGTAGGCAGTATAGACATGTACCTAACGCAGTCCACAGAACAGATTACATAAAATTCAGTTATCCTGTACCCATGCGTTAACTGTGTGCCTACATATTACACCGCAAATGAAAATTAAAACAGATCAAACACATTGAATAATATAGTCTTTTCACGTAGTAATATTGACCAAAATATAGATTTTACATGATAATAACATTAATAGATGGAACCGTCTATTTTCGCGACTAAGGTATAAACACAGTTTACATAGGAAAATCTACCTTTTTTATTAACTACAAAATTGTTATCGTTCTTTCGTAGTAATTAATGAATTCACTTCTGTTAGTTATTTTTAATGAAATGTATTAATACTTTTAGGACGACCGATGTACATACTCTTTAGGCAAGAGTCGTACCATCCAACCGTCTAAAGTTATTTTCGTTTTAGGCGTGACCCAACATTTCGTTAACTAATTCTCCTTTCAAGTTTTGAATTTGAATCACATCACGTAATTAATTTTATCCTAAATATACATTAAAATAAGGTGTCTTCTTGCAGAGGATCCGTATCATTCAAATCCAATTGTTTCATTTCAAGTACAAGTTACAACCAAGATAATCACATTTTTTATAGAAACTCTGACATCTCCCAGCCCTCATTGCCCTGGAATTGAACTTATGGGTTATTGGATAAATTAAAAACAAAACGTTCCTATCACGACTTTTTTTTTGTATATTGTTCTTTAAAGTGATAAAGAACAGAATATTTAAAAACATTTGTTTAAAAAAGTTCAAATTTGTTCGTAAAAATACAATACCTACTGAGTGACCACTTTTCGTGAAATAACCCGTTACATAAAGAAAATCTGCCTAGTATTTAAAAAGTTATACTTGGTTCAGACAAAAAATTAAAAATATTGGTTTTCAGCTCGGCATCGAAGCTAAATTAACCTGAAAAATAGCACAACTTGATCGATTTTTCAATGGTTTTTATATAATTTCATGTGAAAATAGTTTTATTTGTAACAATAAATGGTATTGTAGTTTGCACGGTCGTATTTTTTTATATCCCTTTAATAACATTTAAATTGTATATTTATTGTTTAAACTAAGTATTTTTTTTTTTATAAATTACATTCGCCCCTGCAAATTGTTTTATTCGGATATGACTTCCTCTACTTCTGATTGTTCATCGTCGACATCCAATTCTGCATTTTCATTGCCGTCAAGCGCAGTCAAAGCGTCAATAAGACTGAGATGATAAATGGCTTCTGGTCTTTTAGGGTACACTTTTTTTTCTTCATCGGTCATTGTTTGTAAAACTCTCAGCAAGTTTTCACGACCGTCGTCCATTACGATTGTGGCGGGATTCACGTGTTCACAGTAAACGTCTATCGCATCAGTTAACGAGTTGATTGCAGGGTTGTTTTGAACGTGATCCACTACATGCTTTTGCGCTGCAGATACTACCTGTCGTAAAATACAATTATTTACGTTTTAACGTTCATGCTTATGCGGCAAATCCGTCTGAAGCTAATAATCAATGTTAACTTACTACTTCAGCCTACTGTAATACTAAAAATACCTATAACCCAGAATTTTTTTGGGGGGAGGGGGTGGAAAATTCCATTTAGAGTCCAAAGGAGAGGAGGTTTTGGGTATTTAGAAAAAGTGTCAAACACTCCGACATTTTGTTATAAGTAATAATTATGGCGCTATTGGCTGTAGTGTCAATTTTTTGACATTGTATCTTAAAATGTAGTACGTCTACTAATTAGAAGTTAACAATATGAGAAATTCAGGATAAAAAAACATTAAAATTATGTTCTTTTATGTTTCTACTATGATGTTATACATAAATATATAAATATACTCTGGCCACTTTAAGATACCAGCGCAGAGACTGAAACGCGCCACACCTGGCTTGAGCATTTTTTTCTCACCCAAATATATATACCGATTTCCATTACATTTCCTCTGTTTAACTTGTGTTAACTATACGTTATAAACATACTACTCAACTTTTTCATGATTGTTTAGCGTTTTGATGATATTTTCGTTGGGCATAACGTGTTCCGGTGGTACGGTTGACTCTGTAACTATATGTATATCTGTACCCAGCCCTAACTAAAAAAAAAAATTACTTTAAAAATTGCATTATTATAATTTATCAATTTGTTATTTATATATATAACGAATAATGAGAGTACTTAACTCGTTTTTTATACTGAAAGCCCATTTCTTCCAAGAACGTTTTGGCTTCCTCGTCTGGTACCCCAGGTACCTCGACAGCCCACTCATTTACATAGTGATGTACATTTCGAGTGACAGTAGGGTGAATACAATCCGTGTCGTGATAATCACTACAAACGTCTACGCCGTACACCATTTCAGAGGTGAGAATAAATGCAGTCAATGCCAAAAGTTCGGTTGCGGTCATCTTCAGACTTCAAGGTATTAGATCACAGTCTACAGATATATTAATTATTATTTTTATACTAGTACAGTAGAACAAATTATAATTTATACATATAATATATTTTAGCTAAACAAATTTCAAATTAAATCATTATTTTTAATGATCAAGTTATATTTATTATTTAAGTTTAAAATATTATTTTAAGGGGTGATATTGCATTTTAAGCGGTGACTTTTAAAAGTCAAATAGCAACTTATAGTTTAGTTTACCCATCAAAAATTGTTTTTTTTACTCGTCGGACGCATCCATTGTAGAAAGCGTACGTTTGTACTGTCTTGCGATTCATTTGTAATACTTGGAGTAAAAATTGCATTAGATCTACAATTTGAGCGAGATATTGATTACATTTTGCAACTATACCAACGCCCCTCTCAGCTATGTCATTAATCACTTTTATTTAAGAAATAATTGTATTAATTAAGAAAAATTATAATTACAAAATATTGTCTTATCTTTCACGTAATCGATATTATTTGACCATAATCCATTATCAATATCAAAAAATTCACATTTCAAAGTAACTTTTTCAAGGCAAATTCGCTGTGGTCTGTGGACAACGTTTTAACCTTCTTTTCAAAATCCAAAGATGATGGTTATTTTCAAATTTTTGAAAGGAAACGCAATAAAGCAAATTTGTTCATTTTCATTTTGTGTAGTAATTACTAGGTGTAGGTATACTATTAAAAATATTGTTTATTTGTTTGTAAGTTTATAAAAAATGTAGTTACGGTATATGGGATTGAAATAATTTAAAAAAACAATACTTATTAAAATTTGCTTATTATTTTTTTTTCTGTATTCCATGGATTCAACTATGTTTCGAACTATAAGTACAGTGTCGTATAGTGATTGGAAGGTAGATATAGAGGTTTATCTCATCACACTTAAAATTATTTTTTATCATTAAATATACTAAGGATTTTATAAGAAACTCTTTTTAGCTTACATTATTATTTTAATGAAAAAGCTAGTACAGTGGGTTGGTAGCTTAGTGTGGACGAAGCATATTGGGAATGGGGAGGTCACAGGTATGTATGAGTTATTACAACTGAAAATGTCAAAATCACTTTCAAATAAACATTTCGATGCGAATCTAGTATCTACTATGGTAGAAATACAAATATCAAAAGCATTGAACTTAAGAACAATGGCTTAATTTGCTTAACATTTTTTTAGTTTTAGGGTGTATACGATTAGGGTTGTTCGTTTATATATAATAATTAATTGCCATTGTTACTCATATATCGTACCTAATTAACAATCTAATGAAAATATTTTTAAATGCGGAATACCTGTTGACTCTTGATTCACTCACACATATCATAACCTAGACATAATTGATAACGGTCAAAGTGTAAATAAAAAAAAATTTGACAACAAATTTTTGAAAAAATTTTATATGTTATAACCCCATTCTAGATTTACCTTCGGTCGAATTTCTAAACCTGAAGCCCTAAAACTTCACTTAAAAAAGCGAAATAAAGAAAAAGCGTCCACCTATTTTACGGGAAAGGGTTTATAATATTTTTTTTTGGTTTGTCAACGTTTATCGGTAGTACTATGTCTAAAAAATATTCCATAGTTATTGGGAACTAATTAGACTATTTTTAAAAAAGTTTTAGAGCACCGTCATTTCAAGTTGAAAAATATGTACATTTTTTTGGTGTTATTCTCCATTTTGAAAGTAGAAGGAGTGAATTTTTAAAAAATGTTTGATTCTTTAAAAGACCTTTCAAGTACGCTTTATAATTTATAAAAATGCTACTCGAAGAAATTGGTTCAGTGGTTTAAAATATATCGTGGGTGCAGACACAGACAAATTAATAAGAACACATTATTGTAAAAGCAATCTTCTCAGCTTCGCTCAAAAAAACTGTTACATAGCATTTCGATAACCCAGTATAGTAGTAATATCAAAATTCAAAGATTTAAATAAATATGAAGTTATGTAAGTTATGATATTATAAACGTTACATACTTTATATATCATAGTTATTACTTAATAATTTTATAATTCCGTTTACAGTCAAATTAAATAATTAATTTTTTTAACTAACTATTATAAATGATTTTAGTACTTACTCTACTTTTTCTCTATACTAAATAAATAATGTGGAATGTTTAAATGAGGTATAACTATAATATTTATTTTATAGTTCAACAATTTTTCACACAATCATTTAACTATAGAAATAAAAAAAATCGATGGACGATGATACTAGTAAATTAATATATTATGTACGAGCACAGCAACTTACTGTAATAAGTTCCAATTTAAAAATTGCACAATTTAATATACGTCAATGGTGAACATTAACTAGTGTATTTTTCGTGCCTTGTATTTTTTTATCCCTAAAATAAATTTATACATGCATCGTTTATTGTCAGAGAAAAACAATAAAACGGTAATTATACACTTGATCGATTTTCCACTTCTTTACAAAGCAAAATGGGAAATTACATGAATAATTAATCCGAGAATGACATCATCTAAATGTTATGATATTATGCATGGCGCACACATCTGTTTTTTGCACGCGATTATAGTAGTATACAAATGCAGGCCTAATATAGGCAGAGGTAATTAGATGGTTCTCAATGTAAAATTATTCGAATTTTTATTGGTTGGTTACAACGAATTCAAAATGTTTGTTTATTTGTTATTTTTTATGTTGTTCAAATTAATAAAACTATATTTTTTGCACTACCTATTTTCTTCCTTTTTTTAAATTTGTCTTTTATATAATACAATTTATTTAAACATTATGTTTCGGAAATTTTTAACTTCTTATATAAAAGTTAAAATAATAATAATATTCTGTTCAAATTTCAATTGTTCAACAACTATTTTACACATGGAAAAAGTTGTTGTTTAAACTTAATAATTTATAAAAATAAACATTTTTTTTTATATTTTGTTTTAACTTAGGTGGTTTGATTAAACAAATATATCCAAAACCACCCTATGAAGTATGTTCCCGATTGTAATTAACCGCCTATAGTGTTATCAACATGAAACCTGCACAGTTAAAATTCTAATGAAGTGTACACTAGTCATATTTTGAAAACATTTTATTTTTTAATTTGGACATTTTTTTAAATTTTTGGGCTAAAAAAAAAAAATATTTTGTTTATTACTGTCATTATTAATTTAGATGCGCTTAATCTAAAATATTGTATTTTTACACAGCTATATTATAGAATAAATTTAATTTAGTTGCATAAATTGTGTATATTTCCAATAAGTGTAAATTGGAAAATTTGAACCCTTACTACTGGTGTTAAAAATTAAAATAATTTCTCCATCATCAAACTTTTACCAAATGTTTCACTAACATAAGTAAGTATTACATAAATTAAGAAAATGTTCGTTCAGTTACATATGTGTTGTGGGTCATTAAAATTGGCAGTTTTTAGGAAACCGTCCATGTTTGGAACCTATAATGAATAGCAAAAAAAACCAAAGTGTCTCAAAGATAATTTGGGTCATAAGAACATAATTTAAATTTTATAAAAGAAAAATTTTTTTTTAAATTTTTGTAAAAATTGTTTTATTAAATTTCTTTTAGTAGTTATTTATAACATTGTATTTAATCAATGATTTAACTTACTATATAAATGCTAGAATTGATTATCAATTATAAAATGTATATATTAAATGTTAATAGAATATTATACACAATTGCCATTGGTCACACAATTCACAAAAACAAATGTTTAATTAATATAATATAGATTTTGTTAACACTTAATTAAGAGAGAAACTTTTGTTGAAATTATTGATTAAAGTGTTAGTATTAAAATTGTAGAAATTATAACATATAAAGTTTAATTAGGAATTGAAATGTATCAACTATCTTTGAATCACTAATGGCAACATATAATAACGCCAATCACAGTTGAATGTGATGTACTTAATTTTCCTAATTAACCTTTGATCAGACAACCAGGCTAAAAATTTACCCTAATCATAAAATAGAGTTGTGACCGACGAAAAGTTTACTTAATTTGTGTGACTGAAAACCATGCAATTGACAGAAGGGTGTAGGAATATAGTTATATAAAACTTAATATTTTATTTTATTTAATATTAATTTAACTACATGAATAGGTTTACAAATTTTTAAATTTATCTGTAACACCATCAGCCATTTCATTTTTTTGCAGCATTTTCATATAGATATCTAATTCATCATCATTATCACTATCATCGATGGGCATAGGTGATGTTTCAGGACTTTCTGAATCAAAATATTTTTCCTCTTCGTCAATTCCTTGAATAGCTAAATTATCATATGCAGGATTATCATCCACTTTGCTAAATATACAAATAAAAAAAAACAACAACAATGAATTGGCCAAACAATATCATTATAAAGATAACATAAACGTTATAATATAGTCGTAATAGGCTTATCTGGATTTGAAATAAATTAAATTCCAGATCTTCGTAAAATTAAAAACTCCAGATTTTCAGATTTTAGTCCCATTCCTAACACACACATATATATATATATACACACACACATATAGGTTTTAGGTCTTACCTGTAATCAAAGTCTTCTTCTTGACCACTAAGGAATTTATGGAACATATGTGAACGAAATTCGTTTAATAATAGAAACCGTTCGTTTTTACTTAGTTCTTTGGTGTTGTATGGTTTTTCATTTAGAGGATGACTTTCTTTCCAACGAATTTTTGCAATTTTAACTGTTTTTTGTTTGGCTTGGCTATACTCACCCCAAAGTGATTGTGTTTTAGTAACTTCAGTAACCATAGATTCTTCATCTGAGCTAATGTCCTCTTCAAGTTTTTTGGCTTCATTACTCTCTTGTATTTGCTTTAAATTATCTCTACTGTCACGATCAATTTGCTCTAATAGGATACCAGTTAACCTATAATAAATAACTATAAATCTTAGAGAGCCGTAATTTTTTTTTTAAATAAAGGAATAAAAAAAAACATTTTTAAGTATTAAGAAAAGTTCTGGAAATAAGCGTTAGAGAAATTTTAATCAGGTCTCTACTCAAATGACTCAAAATAAATTTAAAAAAAAAACATCCTACAAATTCAAATATTAATTTTAAAGTTATTATGTATATTAATTTTAATGTGACAGCTACATGTAATTAAAATTATGATTTCTTTGCTACCTTCACAGTTGAGTCAAAAGTACACTGCTAGTGGCTACAAGTACAAGTTTAACCAATTTGGGAAACCATTAAAATGTCTATGTAATATTTATTTTTTAATAGTTTAAATAGTTTTAATAGTTTATGTAATATTTTTGCTATAACACAGTCTGTCCCAAAAGTCCCAGGAATGAATTTACTAACATGGTACCAGTGGCTTTGTTTTCAGTGAACTTTGTAAGCTAATACTAGCATGTCTTAACAGTGTACATACCAAGTTCAAGGTTATACAAGCATGAGCTGCAGTTTGCGTAGGTACAGTACGATAATAGTACAGTTCGGTTACTCATGAAAATTAATAGTATCATTGAACAAAGTGTGGACATTAAAATTTGCTTTAAATCTGGTTTCTCAGCAAAAATAGCATTGGAAATGTTACAAATTGCATATAGTGAGTCGTATCTACACAAAACAGCAGACCCGGGAACTTTCGGTACGGACTGTGTATATATATATATATACATATATAAGTGTATATCCATTTACGTGTTTTGTTCAGTATCTAAATGATCAAAATTTAGTTTTTCTTCAGGGCTTAGATACTGTCCAACCAGCTGTTCCCAAAGAAGCGGTTCTCGGTTGCGCATTTCACTGTCATTAAAATAATCACCTTTAACCATTTCAAGAAGGGCTTGATATCGTCGATTTTTACAGATTACCTATAAAAGAAATTATAGTTGTACATTTATGTATTATGGATGAACATAAAATTAATTAAAAATGCATACTTTTCTTGATCGTAATGATCGACTTAATCTATGCAAATGAAAATTAACATCATGATCGGTTTCATTTAGAGTTTTAAAGTATTTAAAATGTGTTTCAAGTAAGTAATCGCCAAATTTATAAAGAAATTTTGAATGACTCCTATTTAGAATTTCTTCAGCAATTTTTCTCCTTTCATCAGCGGATATATCAGGCTCATCTATTTGTTGACTTTTGAAAACACTGTCTGATGCTTCTTTGGTAATATGATCAAGAATACTTTGTTTTAAAACTTCTGTAGATGGATCAGCTACAGACGTGTAGGTATTTTCTTCTTGATCTGCCATTTCTATTACAACACAAGTTTATACTACTATGACAATATATAAATTTAGGGTATAAGTATAATATATAGATATGAGAATACAATTGAAATAACTTTTTAAAAAAACAAGTTGATTTATAGATAATAATTTTTTTTAAATTATCTGCAAGAGAAAGAAACTGCCACTGACCAAGAGTTAAATACATAATAATTTGTAACTCTGCTAAGTTATACCACTCAAGAAAATGTATATTTTAAATGCAATTGTGAATTTATTTTATTTATACTTGGAATTTATATTTTATTTTACATTATGATACGTTGTAATGTCTGAAAAATATAATTAATAACATTTGACATCTGGAAACCGCTCATAATATAAAAAGTTATAATTTACTGGTAATATGTAACAATTAAAATATTTTAAAACTAAAACGTTTTGAAATATTAAGTTTAGAATAATGTATTAAAACCTTTTAATCGCTTAATACAAACATAGTTACTAATGGGCTTAGTATTACTATTTTCTGTATCCTTTATATTACTTAAACTTATAGTTATTTAATTTTAAATTCTACGTACTGCTTTTACTTCTTCAATATTTTAATCAAGAAAATATTCTTCTAATAAAGTCATATTATTATATATATTAATTGGTATATTTGTACGCCATCAGGCCATTAGATAATAATTTACTTGACATGAAAAACAAAACAAAATTAAAAGTATGAATGATATAAATTTAATTGAAGAGTAAAAGATAAAATTAAAAAGTTAATTAATAATTATTATTTACTAATATTCAAAAAAAAGTAAGACGACGGGGGGCAGCTGAGTGTTGACACTTCTTCTAAAAATTGATAAGAGATAATAGTTCTTCCGAATGATAACACAAATTTTTATTTTATCAGCATGACCAGGCTCCAAAACACTAAAATATAATACTACAGTCTATCAGTATGCCAATCCACAAAAATTACAAGTAACTAAAATCTAACTAATATTTATCAGAGTTCTCTGTTATCTATAAAACCGGGTCCCGGCGAACGGCATAATTCAAATAATAAAAGAATCAGCTTAAAATATTGAAAATATTTATATTTTCTTAAATAGTTATCAGAATCAGAGTATTAATTAAGTCTATAAATTTTTATGATAGATGTAAGAAAGATTGAAGTGGGTTATTTATTTATAAGCACGTATTGCTCTCCTGCACATCACCTCCAGACCTTAGTTTTACACTTTAACAATTTAAAAAGCAGTTTTTAAAAATTTTAAGCAACTGTTTATTGATCACTTAAATTTTTTTAACATTTTCAATTAGTTCCAAAAGTTGATAGAGCACTGGAAAACTAAAAATGGAAGTATTTTGTTAATTTCAAAATATTGTAAAATAACGTGGGCAAATTTTTTTCAAAAATAGCAACTATAAAATTTCAATTATTTTAACAGTTGTTGAGTGTTTTACTCTGAATATATATGATTACAACAAAAATACGATATTATTTCAATGATATAATTTTATTGTCAAATAATGTAATTACAGTTTTTACACTAACTAATTATTAGTTAATAATTAATAAATTTATACTTAACACATGTGCGCGTTTAACCATCGACTGGTGACCCAATGTGCAACGTAGCTGGCCCCCTATCAAATAAACAAAAGTTAAACTAGGTATATATATTTAACAATCACAGTGTAATTTTACAGTTTTGTACATTTAAAAACTTAATGAATTATTAATTATTTCATAGAAAGTATTACTGTAAAGTGAATTGTTGAAAAGTATAATATTATAAATTATAATTTATAATATAAGCTATCCAAGTATTGATTAAAACACTAAAAGTTTCAGTATTTAGTTATAATAATTTTATATTTAAACAAAGTGATAAATAAAGAATTATCTTTTATACAATTATTAGAAACTGTCCGTTCTTTTTACGGAATAAAAATTATCAAAATATATCACAAATTATGATTTTGTGGGAAGCTAATAAATAATTTGTTAAGTTTACTAATAATATGTGCTTAGTTCAGATTTTTTAAATAAAATATTGTATACCTAATTCATTTAAAAACTTGTGATTTAAATAAACAAATTGTGCAAGATTTTTAATGAAGTTTACTGTTTTAGCAGTTTCAATATGTATTTTAGACTGCTATAGGAATTTAATATTCGTCAAGGAAAATATATTACATTTTTAATAAAAAACCGCGGTTACAAAATATAAACAATGATTTTTTGTACGTTGTACCTAAATAATTTGTACATGTTGTCTTATTTGCAACCTTTTATTTGTTTTTTGACTTTTTATACCTACTAAAATGAAAAACATTGTAAATAAGTACGCATAATATTTTATCACGTGAAAAGAAAGTGCTTGTTGCAAAAAAAAGTTCTATAATATTATACAAAAATCGGGTTTTGGTAATTTTTAAAGGACTTCTAACACATTTTACACTTAATCAAATATTTAAAATTCACAAAAAATGAATCGTAATTCAATAGTAATAACTAATAACTATAATAAAAACGACGGGCTGGGGAAAGTAGACCCGTCAGCAGCGCAGGTCCACCGCAGACGTCCACCGCTGGGCGCACGCGTATGTAGATTGCTGGGATCTTAAAAATATGTCTATAATTCCCAAACTAAGTATGTCTGGCAAATTTTTTTGAAGATTCGTAATCAGAATTAAAAATTCTATCGATTAAAAAAAAACCAAAAAAAAGGGTGCCCGATAAACTAGGTTTATACCCTGAGCTGATTAAAAAGTTTAATTAACAGTGGCTATTTTTAAATTGTTATTTTGGAGGATATTATATTATGACTTAAAAGAATACTAAGAATATTTGAGCATATTGGAACGGGGGAGGTTACAGGTTTAGAGGAATTATGAATAAGAATAAGAAAGGGTAAACTTCTTAAATTTTCCTTTTATCTTTTATTCAATGTCCAACCTTCATTTCCGTAAACTATGTCTAGCCTTATTTTAGTTTTAAAAAGGTAATAGAAATTCTGTAATTTTTAGTGGTAATTAAATTAATTGCACTAGAGGGAAATTCTTAAATTCTCTTCTTTCCAACGATTTACCCAATAATTATTAATTTTATTTATTACCTACTACTGGTTAGTTTACACAGAACATATATAATTTATATACTGTATTAAACCTAATATAGTCGGTTTTATAAACTGTTAATGGTGTTGTATTGTTCAAAAATATTTAACAGATTTCAACAAAATATACATTGGTAGATTTTATTTTGATACACATTTATAATAATAAATAATAGCATTACCTAATTGGTATGTCATAACATACACATTATATTATAATTGATATACGACTTAGCAGTGTGTCCAAACTATTATTCGTATTCAGTATTAGCATTAAATTCATTGAATGTTATTTTATAAATTAAAAATGGACTAAATGATTGGTTAATGATTTGTGTAATATCTCAAAATAAACATTATACAGTGATAATTGTTTTGTTTTTGCAATTGATAATTCACCATTTGTAGTAATTTGACCTAAACATTTAAAAGTGCTAACTGCTACCCGGTCCCCGGAGCGAGCTGCATTCTGATATCATTTCCTTCCAGGCACCACCCTTACTACCCCACTATGTATTGCCTAGTGCCTACACTTATCACTTTAAATGGTTGCCATGGTATCCGTTCAGTTGATATATTGATAATATTTCGATGTTTATGTTTGTTAAACAGGAGAACAAAGGAATACGCGAATTCTATTAGAACATTTTGGCTTTTGTAGTTCAAATTTGTGTTATTCAGCTTCTGTTAATTCTGTAGAGCACATTTAAACATTGATTAATTGTCTGGATATTTCTTTTTGCTACTCAATTTCCCAAAAGTTGACTCGGTAAGAACCAAGATGACATTATTATTATTGTTTATTTGATGCTTGAAGTAAAACATGATCAACTTAGTAAAAAAGGCATTACTAGTGAATATGTTATTGATGTTTTATCAGTAAGGACGCTTATAATGTAATTGTTTTGAAGTTTATGGGGTAAATTAATAATTTCTTCTGTGACTAAATGTATGTTAAAAAACAACTTTTAAATTATTAACCATAGATTAATACTAATTTATTTAAATAATTTAAACCACCAGAAAAACAAGGACATAAATGTTAATTTTATAAATAATATAGCAGCGAAGGTTTCAAAACATTCATAATTTAAACATGTTGCATTTATATAAAAATGTAATCTACAATTTTCTTTTAACTATAAAATATAGTTAAATATATAAGCATTATAAGTTAATAAAGATTAAATATTTACTACACATTACACAATTATAACACAAACTTTCCAATTTGTTTTTTCAGTTTAAAAATGGTTTTGATTCATGTTAAGCATGGTGATGAAAGTCAGTTTTTATATGATGCATCTTTAGAAACTCTTGTTGATGATTGTACTTTAAATATCACAACAATTTATAATGGACGTTTAAAGATATCTAGAATATGTAGTGGTATGTAATTATTTGTTATTTAATTTAACGGTTAAATTATATAAATTATGAAACTTTATTGGTGATTATTTTCATCAAGAACTGGAAGAACTTAAAAAACATGGCACACTATTACCACCAGAAATAATGGGTTTGACCGATGAACAAGTTACTGAACTGAAGTTAGTCGATAACTGGGGTGAAAAATGTATACCAAGTGGTGGCTTTACATACAATAAAGATCCAATAGGACGAAGAAATGGTAAACAGCCTAATGAGCAAATGCAAAATTTGTTGACAAAAACAATCGAAGAAGCTAAGGCTTGTGTTTCTAAAGTATAAAAACTTATTATTATAAAGTTAACTGAAAATCATAATTTTGTACATCATTCATAATGATATCCTTTTGTGTCATAGAAGTTGGTTCAGTCACAAATAACTTTAACTCAGAAAAAGGTTCAAGAAGCGTTGGACATGCTTAGAGGGGTTGTCATGATAGTTTATCCGATGAATCTTCCTCCTCATGATAATATTAGACTTGAATTAGAAAACAATGAAGATCTGACTGGAACGCATGCGTCTCTAGAGGTTAGTAAAGCTATAAAAAGCTTAAATTATTAAAACTTGTTAATGCTTTGATCACTAAAAATAAGAATTTCAATAACACTACAATTGCTAGTAAATATTAATATGTAGAAAAATATATTTTATACATTTTACATAAATATTACATTAATATTTAATTTTCCGATTTTATTTAATGGTTTAATATTTCTTAATTTATTGTTTATTTATTTTAAATAGCTTAAATAATGGTATAGCTACAGTCTAAAGCATCCAGGTATAAGTTATTTTCTAGTGCCTTATGTATATTGTATACATATTATAGGTATAATATTTGTACTATATAGCACAAAAGCGTTTGAATGTAGTAGTGCTACAAGGGTAGCTGCCATACAATAGCAACACTACTGTTTAAACTTAGATGATAATATAAAGTATTGTTATATGCAAGCATATATATGTATTATAATGGAAAATTGTCTAAAATAATGTACACGTGATAAAACCCTGTATCCTAATAAGAATGTACGCAATACCATAGCTATATGTAAAACCTGAACGATTTCTAAAAGATGTATAAAACTATAATAAAATTGAAATACTTTGTATTGGCCAAAAGATCAACAGGATAATAAAAAATGTAAAAACCAATTAAAATATTTGCATAAATTTAATGTACACATATGTAAAAACAACAATTTCCAATATATTTGTAAAATAGTCACGTTGCCAACGACTCATGCGGATGGCGTCATCTCCAGCAAGCAAAGAACATCGTCGAGGCCACACCTAGACAGGGAATTGCAAAACAAGTTGTTAGGTCATCCACGTGCGAACTCATCTTCCACCTCCAGCTAAACGAATCGGGGTGGCCAACAGCGTAAATACCAGCCGATTTGCCAATGGAACTTCAGAGGTGTTCAGCCAGTCTTACCACGTACATCTGGAAATAAACATTGCATTTATCTGTGTATCAATTATTGTTACCATTGTCAAAGATTATAACTTACTTTATAACTATTTTTGAATGTATCTATTCTTTATTTTAAACACAACACCAATTTTCCACTTCAACATCTTCGTGTTCAATTACCAAAGGTCGGCAGATACAACATTATTATATAATTATATAATATTGTCCGCTCTCACTAGTTCATTTTAAATATGAAGTTTAGTCTAACTGTACTAAAATTATAAGCTTAACTGTCAAAATTGGTCATAAAGGATATAATTAAAAAAAACATTATTTTTTTTTTAGGTAATTGAACCTAGTGCAGCTCAGCTTTGGTTTTCTGGTCGGGAGTTATTACGAGATTCTGACAAAAAGATGAGAGATTTTTTGGGCCGTAATGAAAAAACAAAAGTTGTATTAAAGTTGACAAAGACTGGTTCAGGGCCACCAGCTCGGGAACCACCGTTAAGTGAACAAGACAGAAAATTGTTAATGGCTCATGCATATAAAAAACAAGAAGAGCTAAAGGTAAGGTAGTTATGTAAATGTTGGCACTGTTTATACACATAGATCTATACTTTTTTTATAATGATTGTTTTATAATCATAAAATGTTCTTTATATTAATATTTTATGAGTAGGGTAAATACTTAACATGTGTTTATAAAGTAAGATGATTAATTTTTTAATACTTTTAATTGCTTTATGGTAAACTGTGTCCTATCTATTCTTTTGATTTTGATGTATTTATTCCTTTGACATTAAATTAAGTAAGATTACCTACGTATTTTGTATGTACCTATGTATCTGTATATATCTATACAGATGATTGTAAATTTTTTCCTTATTTTGATATATATATTCTTAGTTGCTAACTTAAAATTATTTTATGAGCAGCCATCAAACTTTTAAATAATTCAGTAAATTTAAAAACAAGAAGCATTATATTTTGTGTGATGTTAGTATGTTATGTTTTATACAAATATAAAATGAATCGCTCTTCATCTCTTCTTGATCATTTATTTTATGTTACCATGTTAAATTTTTGTTATAGTTGTAAGAATTATATATTATTATATGTATAAAAATACAATTTGCGAACAAAGTGAACTGACAAGATTTCTATTACATTCTATTCCATCTAAAATTTAAATTTGTTTTATGTTATATATACCATACAGTATATTTATTAAGTATGCACACATGCACATAATATATGTACATTATGTATCTTTTATATAACATATGATATGTAAACACAGGTTACAGAGTAATCAACTGAAGTGATCCACTCTTTTTTTTTTTTTGAAAATATTTAAATTACATTTGTTTCTTTCTAACTATACTATAAAAATTCCAAAAATATACCGTTTTTAAAAGTATTTTCTAGATGTGAGAGCTCAATAGACTTTTGAAACTTAAATGTAAGTACTAGATTGTCTAAAAAAAATTTTTTTACAAGAACTTGCTATAGGCATAATAATTATTTTTGTTGATAAAAATAAAAATATATAGCCCCATTATATATACAATATTTTATACTATTTGATATACATTTATATATATATCTCTTTCAGCTTATGGCTGATTGGCATTCTCTTAATGATCTAATTTTTGTTTGCGGCCGTGATGTAGGTGCAAGTTCTTTTACATATATTTACAGCTGTAAAATTATATTTGTTATTTGGTGTACTACACTTGTATCATTTAAAATTGAATAGTATAAGTATGATGAAAATAGTACTTGTTTGATTATAGATCTGTAACGGCTGTAAATAAGTGTTTAAGTCGAATTTTGGTCAAAATTGACTAAGTACGCCAGGATGTAGTCCAAGGCGTCTAGTACACCTAATGTCTAACTCGTTAAACCAACAAGAAAACCTTGAGAGAGATGTGAGTTATTGGCTAAGTAGGGATTTATGGAAGCTGGTAAAAGTTTAAAATCGCTCCCCTGTAAAATCACTGAAATTGAATTACACACTTATCCATAGTTGTTACAGAGTTATCTTATTAGTATGACACTTATAAGTTGTAGAATGAAAAAAGTTACATAAAACATAAAAAAAAATTCTAACCTAGAATATTTATATATTTACTCTCTTTTTCCACCACTCCGGATTCTAGAAGAATATATTTTTATCTATTAGGATAACGGCACCAGTGATTGGTATTACACCAAGTGTTGGAAATGTAGTGTATTTTTTTTTATCATTTAGCATTTTATTATTAAGATGTTTAATACTTTTGAGATAAATTTCTTATACAAAATTCATTGGAAAAAAATATAAAATATGTAAAAAATTGTATCTGATATAAAAAACACTGTATTGCCAAAGACCGTTACTCTACGAGTTAATTTATGGAATGCATAGCTTGGAATCCCCTGGACCATCTTTTAATATAATTATTATAGTAACATTTAAAACTTAATTTTTATAAATATATTAAGGTATATGAATTAGGGTGGTCTCTTATAGGGTTTGTGAGAATTTTTGTTCACATCAATTTTAAATAAATAAGTAATTTGATTAGAGATTTTTATATGAATCCATTAAACACTTCATGTTTGAGAAAGAAATTCGGCACAAATGTAGTTATGAGCCAAACGATTTTTTCCTTCAAATATTATTTACGATGTTTAAAACAATGGTTAAGTCAGATTTAGTTGATAAACTTTCTTTTGAAGTCAACTTTGTGTTTTGTTTTGTAAATAACATATACTTCATTTAGGTACTTAATTTTTAAAAAAACTCGTAAAAATAAAGTTTTATTTTATACTTGGTTTTAAAATTATGAACTAAATTTAAAATTAAAATTTTTTTATGGTAAACTTGTCTAGAATGTCACAAGTTTTTATTTTCCCAACTTCCATTTTAGCTACCATAACTTAATATAACGAAAGCACCTAGACATGCAATATGTCTGTGTAATACCTATTTTTAAACATATGAGTAAAATTACATCTAAATTGAGAAAACGGTAGCGTATAAACTTCTGCAATACAACCACCGAAATGTAATTATTTTTTTCTTCGCTCAAACAGGGAATTAGATTATCATAAAAAAGTTTTTTTTTTTACTTTATTATTTAAATACTAAAAACTGTAATTTTATGTTATAATGTCGTAAAATGATATTATATTAGAATTATCCATGATTGCAATTCAGCGAGGTCCTAATTTAGATGAAACAATAAATGAACATGAATAAAATCCTCATAGATTAGCTTTCTGACTACTGTGTGGTGGTGTAATTAGAAACGTCACGACGCCTGTCTCGCACACTATTACCATAGTTGCGCCTATTCTGTGTTTCTTTCTGTCAGACCGCCGGAAAATTACATTAATGTCAGGTTGCAAACTTGTCATAATGGTGTTATACTTATACACAATGTCGTGTGTAGATCAACGGGAAAATATTGTGTTCAATTTATGTCGTTTGCGGGCTATTGAAGGATTGGAAAAAGGGTCGCGTGACGCCAAACGGTATTACTACAGTAATATAATTCATTACCGTCGGCATTCGGGGTCGAAATTATTATTATTGTTGTCTCGGGGTCGTACGCGGTTAATTCGAGTTTATCGGTTTTTTCTAGATTCCCTGTTTGACCGGTCTCGCACTAGCATATTATTTATTTTTTTATATTAATTGTTTCAAGCGATTCTCCGCTGTTCGCTCGTTTCTTGTTCGTGCAAAATAATACTGGTGCGCGTGCAAACTGCAATGCAAATAATTGTAACTGTATTATAAATAAATAGTGAGAACTTCGTTCGTCTTTGGTGTAGCTATCCAGTTTTTTCTGACTGTATTGATTTTGTCTTTTAATAAGACTTAATGTATTCGTGTGTGCGCTAACTATAGATTTTGTATGTATTTTGAACATTCAGCACCGCCCAGTCAGGGCGCTATTTTAATGCGTTCGCTGGGTTTACAATAAAACGTCAATCTGTCAAGTTTTAAGCTACGAATAGCCGTTAATGGCGTTAAAGAAAGCAAAAAATATATGTCGATATAATTCGGCGGCGGCGACGGTAGCAGTGGTGGTGGTGGCTGTGTTTATTATGGAAAGCACGAGTTTTTGTAAGCTTATAATATCGAACCGACGATTTCGCCCCGCCTCGTAAGTCGTTCTTGTTGGCCAAGTGCTTGTCGACTAAGTATGCTTAAAAAACAATAAAGAAAAGCAATATTCATTAAAATAAATTTTAGTTTTAATTCAGCATGTGATTGACGTTTAAAAAAAAACGTTTTAGGTATGCGTAGTATTTAATGTAATTGCATTATGATAATAAAAGTATTCAAATAACGATAATAACAATTTTGTTCTTAAAAAAAAGAAAATACATATTCTTACTAGTTGGACTTAAAAGAAATAATAAAACATTTAGGCTAAGCTTAAATGTTAAGTTAACTGGTGAGAACGGCCATAAGTATATTAATAAAAAAAATTAACAGTGTCAATCGAGTTTAATATGCAAATTCGATTGAGTTAGATCGACGCACTTTAAGATGATTGATAAAAAATAACATAGTTTCGGTGAAAATAGCACGGAGTATATATAAACGCATTTTTTTAGCAGAAGCTTGATTTTAAAATTTGTCAGTAAAATTAAAAAAAAAAAATGTGTTAACAATTCAATTAATAAAATATAAATTCTGTTTTTAAGGCGGCGACAGCGGTGTCCGTTATTATATGATATATATGACGTCGTGGAGTGACGTCGCTAAACGTCTAGACGCTGGCGGTCGGGTGACAAAGGTGGACGGCCGACAGCCATGTCGGCTATGTCAGCCGTTTGGGCCACGAGTGTTTCGATGACGCTTAATTCTTGCATATCTCCGTCTCGTTTTTTCGATTTGCGTTCTTTTGACGACGGTTTGGTAACAAACGGTTCGTTAAGGTTGCCGTCGTCTCCGTCCGCACACCACTGACACGTCATCCTAGCGTCGTCACCCACTTTGACCGTCTGATGGACGATCAGCAACGTCAGGAAGGAGACTGCGAACAGCACACCGGGCACGGTGACGCCGACCATCAGTTCCCACCACGTTTTGTTTAAATCGAATCGAGCCAACGCAGAAGACGAATCGTTCTAACGTAGTAAAAAAAACCAAAATTAGTCAGCGAACAGGGTAAAATCGATCATGTCTCGTGTAGCTTCATTGCATATTATTGTGGACATATCGACTCACTTTGGTATAAAAACACGGAAATCGGCTCTGGGCCGTGTGGTTTTCGCCGGCGCGACCGTGAGTGTTGCTGAAGTCTTTGCACTCATTTCGTAACGTGTTCACGCACCCTTGTTGATTAATGTACAACTTACTAGAGTTGTACACCGTCAACGAAGACTGTACGGGCACATACGTGTTTGTCTCATCCAGAGCTCTATCGCTGTTTTCGTAAATCGTCCAAAACGTAGTGAAGTTAATAAACGGCTGCGGCATTAACGACTCGTCTAGCACTGTTCCGTTTATACAGTCGGCCGCCCTATAATATAACAGCATTTATTAAGTTATTATTTCCATAACTTCAAAAAACATTATTATCTTCCTACTGCAATCAATGAAAATTAGAGGTACTGACCTCAAGGAGTTACTGCTGTCTCGGAAGATTCCGTTGCAGCTAGCCATGAATATGCCAATAGTGGAATTCTCGTCAGTCCATATCTCCATGGGTTCGGACAGCGATTCACCGTGGATCGCATTGCCTTTGGCCTTGTTGTAGGCGACTACTCGCTGACAGTCGCCAGTGTGCACGGTGTCGCCCAGTCTTAGGAATACGTTCACGCCAGTCGTGGTGATTTTGTTGCAATACCGGTCGCAAGCGAACGGCCACGTGATTGCGCTACAACTAAGTACGGCAAACGCATGCACTACGTTAATAACGGCCAGAAAAACTGACGAATTACTTAACACAATATGATATTGTATATTAACCATTAAGTACATTGTAATGTTCGTTTTGTTTACCTGCCGTTGTCGCAGTGGAAGTACCCGTTGAGGTTAAGGTTGTCTCGGTCGCTGTCGATCGTGGACCCGTTGACCGTATAATAGCACTGGTACAGTTCCGACATATTAGAACAGTGTCCCAGCCTGCAGGACATGATGCCGGTCAAGCCCAGACATTCCTTGTTATTGTTGCAATTGTACCGTTTCAGTGTATCTGGATTGGCCTGTATCAGTAGCAGGGCGGTTAAGTTAACACGCTTGTACGAAGTAAAAAAAAAAAATATGGTATTAAGCATGCTGTACGTGACTCAGTCTTGTCAAAGAGTGTGCCTCGCATACAAACCGTTGTTTTTTCATATATACTAGTCAAATACATACTCTTCAGCTCAAAAATTACAACTACGGAGTAAAGTTTCCTTTTACTTCGTGCCTAAGTGCATTCATTGTCGAGTTCAAAATTACAATTGGCTGCGCGTTATCGATCGCGTAGGGTTTTGCCGCAGTGTTGTGTTTTATTACTTGCATGGCCAGTTTCTATAATATATTATTTAAATTTCTTCTCCCTTGCCATTCGCGTGACGTACATGCATGTGTTAAATATCAACAATTACTTATGCCATGCATTATTTAATATACTAGAAAAAAAAATACCTATAATACCAGCGCACAGATTTATTTGCAGAAAACTACGTTTAGCCACCCTTCCTAACGCTGGGGAAATATGTGGAGGGAGGGTTAAGTTAATCTAACTTGCCTGTGGACAAGAAACGCTGGTCAGTCGCGTGCAGTTTTCCACGCCAATGTCAGTGCCGTTCTGGCGCACGGTGACCATAAACTGCGGACAACTGCCAGACGCTTTGGTCAGACACCATTCGCCGCACGACGCCCATTCGCAGTTATTAGATACGGTCGAGTTGATCGTCTGGCACATGATCGGTACCGTCTCTATGGCTGCGTTGAACGCTCTATAACCCGGCATGTAGATAGCCACCGACAAATACACCAGTGAAACGGAGCTCAACACGAACGTTAGTTGGCACACGCAGATCAGCCCGCATATATGTCGGTCCTGTTCGGGTATAGGTTTCGGTGGCGGTTCGTTCTTTTTCTTCTTGTCGCCTCCTCGGTCTTTGGCCGCCATCCGTCTTTGTTAGCCTGTACAAACCTGAAACGCAATCGCACCTAATATGTATTTATTTCACATTGAAGAACTATAATTTTTAGTTGATGTAAAATAACCCTGACAGTTCTCAATTTCGGATTAAAATATGACTTCGAGAAACTTAATTATTTCAAACAAAATTAGGCACGTTGAGATCTCGTTGTTTTGATAAGTTTAAATAAAAATTTGTATGTGCATTTGTCAAAACAGTGTTAAAACGGCAAAAGTAATAAATACCTATCGAGTAGCACCCGTTAAATGGTTTGCATATCACTTTTGATCATTATGTGTAGTGTGTACTATTCCGATTTGTACTGTAAATTGAGTCTGAAGCAAATACAAACTATAAGTATAATATAATATGTATACAAAATACATTTAAAATAAACATCATGAGTCATGATGACTATAAGGGGCTGATAAAGGAAATCGCTACTAATCTAGTAATCTAAAATACTGCAATGTATAGAAGAATATTATAAAGTTTCTTATATCATAACCACTCGTCACAATTTAAAACTCTGAATACTCTGACTCATTAGGTAGTAAATAAAACTCAAGTTTTATTGATGTTTTTCTAAATCTAATTATTTAGTTACTAGTTAAAGTATAGAGCGGTAAATAAAAAGGGATACTTGCTATTAAACTTAATCAAGCATACAAAAATATGTACGAAAAAGCTTATGGTTAATTATTAATTAATTATTGTAAAAGTAAGTATATATAAATACTTAAATAAATATCCTAAAAATTAGCAATAGTTGTTGAGTTGTACACTCTTTTTGTCGAGTATAATATGTATAATGAATATATTATGTAATATATACATTGAACACTATATATATTATGAGATATGGAAAGCGAAAAGGGGACCTCTTGTCGGTAAGTTGATTTCGAGAAAAATTCTAAAATATTCGCCAAGCAATTCTAAAATCTCAAACTATTTCTATTTTATAAAAACTTTTTTAGCTACAAAGATGTACCGAGTCTCAAATGTAGAAGTTAGAACGTGGGATTGTTATACGTCCTAAACCCTAATAGCACAAAAAATATTGAAGTTTCCAAAGGCCTCTGATTGTCGTATTTCCGACCTTTTTTAAAAGGGTCCGAACACGGACATTCGGAAACCTATAGATCTTTCCAGACCGTCATGAGAATTCGACGAGTACTTCCATTTTCTTGGTTCTGATAAGGCAGTTCCGTCTCTTATTTTATCTGTCTCACTTATCTTTAATCTTAATTATTTTTACTTTTTCTTACTCTCTATTATTTATTTATTTATATATTTTTTTTCTCCACTATCTCATTAACTAAATAGTTAATGTTCTTTGTTTTGTCTTCTTTGCTTTGAACAGTATTCAAAACGGGTACGTAAAGAAACAAATATTTAGTTTAAATATTTTGCTAGAAGTTCTATTCGTGTATTTGTCAAGTTAGTATAAGACAAAGCTACTTTTTTATTTTAGTCTTTTAACGAATAGTAAGAGGGTCATTCTCACATTTCTTCCCCTAGGTTAAAATTACTACTAAAATTGTTAATACGAATAAATAGGTCATATTATTATATTTTTTTTTATAACTTTTATTACTGTAACTTATTTTTTTTTTCGGCATAGTGCTTTCAACTAAAGATTATTTAAATAACACGAAATACTTATAAAAATAATATGAATAGATATTTTCGTTTATTAAACTTGACTGTCGTGACTAGTAATTTAAAATTGTATTTTAAATAATGGTTTGGTAATTATTTCCTCTATATTTCATGTTTATACTAAGCTCTATATCAAATTAAATGTGAAATGTCATTAGGATGGTTATTTTTTTGTTCTATGAGCAGCGTTTTGTAGATTTGCATGTCATCACGCTTTCCGTGTCTTCGTGCAATTTTTTGTATTGACTATTGTGTGTTTATTATGACGTGTATGTATCATATAAATATTACAAAGAGAACATAACATTTGTTTAATGACTGCTCATTACATATTTACACGCATGGATTCAAATACATAGGCTTTAGTCTATATTGTTGTTAGCAATGAAATTATTGACAGCCATCGAAATGATGAAAAATGAAACCAACGACAATAGCATTTATAAAATTTAAACTTAACTAGTAATTATGTGTATTAGTATACACATAATAATTGCTGCTCTGTTAACCGCTGTATCATTTGTAAATTGAAATTTAATAATACTAATACTAAAATACACTGAACCATATTGCATTTTAATTCGTTTAACGTATTCAAACATGTACTCACGGTTTGATATTTTGATTCTTCGTCAGCAGTGCTTCGGCGAGGAGCATATCAATTGTTATCCGATTATTATTATATTAAGATGTTTCGCATTTATTTTTCGTTTGTTTCTATACTTTGTTCGTGGCTCGGTGGTGCTTGCCGGTGAACTGTTGTTGTGCAGCTATAATTATTTTATGACGAATTTAATGCTGAAACGCGCGTGTCTCTTAGGGGTTTGCCGCCGAATTAAGCACACACCGTTAGTAATGCCGACGGGCGTCTAATCGGAAACTGTTGCACCACCGCCAAAGCATACCTACTCGAACGATATGCGCGATTTCCATACAGTGACAGCCCCCTGTGCACTGCCCGCTGCTGTAGATAGTGTGTCGGAAAAGGGGTTTCCCTCGCGCAGCACAACCAACGACGAACCCTGGCGGGATAGTTTTCATTCCTGAAGCACGCTGCCCTCTCCGGGCTTAGGGTAGTGATCGTTTGCCGCCCTTCTGCTGTCTATTCGTGTTCTCGTTGTTACACTGGGTCAAATCGATTGTATTTAAGATGATTTCCGTCCATTACCGCTCAGCCCGGGTTCTTTTGTACTGTGTCCAAACGAATTAACCCCGAGCTACTGACGCCCGTTGCCAACAATTTAAAAACCATAGCGATTAATTATTTAATTACCTAGAACCGACATTAGGTTGTCCGATTGCTGCGACCAACGATAGTAAAAAAGAAACAGTTTTTGCCCGAATCTCATGAATTGTCCATTAACGGATACAACATGAATAGGGCGTGGCTAGATTAAAACTATAAGAATTAATTAGTGATGCGAATCCGAAAATCCAGATTTTCACAAAAAAAACGTTATTTAAGCCACTTGAAAACCTTATAAGTATTACAATATAAAACTGTGGACCTAAGTAAAATATTTTAATTAAAATATAAAAAAAAACACAACAACAAAAAGATTAATTGCTTTTGGATTACGGATTTGTTGTAATCCAAAAGCAATTTATAGTCAAAGTTGAGCGTTTTTTTAAAAAATTTCATCAGAACATTTTACTTAGTTACACAGCTAAAATAATAAATAATATTAGTAAGACTTTTAAATGACTTAAATAGTGTTTTTTTTTAAATCTGGATATTCATATTGCCATTACTGATAGGAATACGGAACAAAAAAAAATAAGAGAGTTTGTTTTTTATGACGATGACGAGTAACCTTGTACTTTTTATAATTTTAAATACGTGTATTACTTATTAATATAATACATATAATTACATAAACTATCAAATACTTAGATATAATTTATACGAGGGGGTTTCGAATGGAAAAGACATGCTTTGAGCGACCTGAATAGTATCCGATTAAGTTAAATTAATTAAAGATTTTTTGGGTAAACAAAACAATTTTTTTGCATTTATATATAACCCAATTCTGTTATAATTATTTACTTATGATAGATCATGAATGGCAATTTTGACAACATATTCGTATCGAAACAATAGTGATATTTTTAAAAACGTTAATACTAATGATACACTGATAGAGAACAACACAAATAAACGTTTACACTGTTTTACATTACTGATTACACTAAGTATACTTATACATTTTATACTTTTGTTCTCCTTATTATTGTCCTACATTGTCTTCTATTAGGAATCTCCTTCGGTTCCAGTTAATTTCACTAGGCTACACTTTCTTTGACTTCTTTCTTTTCCGTAATTCTCGTTCCCTTCTTAACTATTTCTTGTATTATTAAAGCTGGTTTGAAATTTTTTATTTTTTTGTTCATCACTATTGCTATATTTTTTTATTTTGAATAATTCCTTAAGAAAGAAAAAACTATTTTATATAAAAAATCTATCTAACAAAAATCTAACGCTGTATTTTACTAATTGGGGGCTTCACTGATCTATAATAATGTGAGGCCTGGGTACATGATAGTTTATGTTCAATATCACATAAAACCGGTAAATTCTGTTCTAAATATACGCAACATTTAGTTTATAATCAAGTCAGTATATTAGACTCCAGCACTACTAGTTCTGTTTGACAAAATTAGAAAAAACAGGAAGTAAAAACAACCGATTCTTTATTGTATAAAAAAAACGTTTATTAATTTGTTGTGTGAATAATCAATACACTGTGATGATTCGAAACGGGCGACATACAATATTATGTAAAGTATCTAATAAAATTGTATAAAAAAAAATATAACAAAAATTAAGCAATTTTATAATATTGGTTTGCGCATATTATGAGAATTCGATAAAGCTCTTAGTTTTGATTCCTATAGTAATATATATCGTATTAAAACAATGCTTGGCTATCGGAAAACACATAATATTAATCGTAATACACGCGTCGTTTATGATACTACCAATCGAGTCTCCTGCGATTTTTTAGAAACGTTCAAAACGAATTGGATCAGATTGTTCGACATGTACAACGTGTTAAATGTTTGATAATGTAGAAATTATTTGATTATCGCTTGAAACGGTTTTGAATTGGACCAAAAGCTTATCCAGCACTGAATTTCGCGCGAAAATACTCGATGTTGCAATATAAACAGCATTCAATAATCGTCGTCTTCCTCGTCTGTACTGAATGGTCGTGTTGACAATTTGCGCCTGGAAAAAAAGTAAATGATAAAAAATGCTTTAAGATGGTAACGTTTGGTCTACTCTGTTTCGACTCACCTGATGACCAGTTGCGGGTTTTCTGTTTTCACTTTCCGCTTTCTTTGCATCATGAACTCTTTTTTCAACGCCGGACAGTACCAACAGCAGAGCACCGCACACGATACGATAAACAGCGTCCATGGTATAGCAACTGCGGCCACTAGCGTTTTCACTGTGTGATACCAATCGTATTCGGCCACTACCTTGTCCGGATACGCTCGGCTGTAGTAGCAAGGGAACACTTTAATGTCGTTCCGCATGGGTAGGTCGTTGTGTAGGACAATCGTGGTGTTGCCGTGCCGGTAGAGTACTATGGTCGACGATTGATTGATGCTGACAAACATGGAGTAATATGAATCAGAACCGATGTAACCGTATTTCCGGGCAAATTTGGTGCAGTTAATAAACGGAGGGTAACCGCACCCCTCGGTGTTCACTAGGAACTGCACAGCCGTGCCGGCCCATTGTAACGACTCGGGTGCCATCGATTCCTGTGGAAAATCAATTTGAAATCGGTCAACGAATACAATAATTCATTAGTTACTATTTTATTTAAATAGGTTCAAATGTTTTTCGATAGAAAGTGTAGGAAGTGATATAAAGTTATAAAAGAAAAACTGTGTTTGCCATCATGACTATAGGCTGTAACAACACATTCAAGCAAGCTATTGTAATGGGTTAATGTGTAAATCTAATCAATCGTTGTTTTCGGATTGAACTTGCAAACAATTTGAGTCTCCTAATTATGTTTAAATGAGTTCATGCCTGGGTGTATTGCTGGTATGGCGTAATGGAATAGTTGACGGTAATTTGATGACAACGGGTCGAGGCCGACGTGCAACCTTCTTTGCATGAAGACCACGTACATCGGCTGAGTCCTGTAGAGAACACATGTTCTTGAAGTGCGCACGTTCCTGGCTCTGGTGAATACCGGGCGATCAGCCTGGACACGGCCGGATCAACGACGAATGGTACCAGGAACAAGAACATCATGAATGACAGCGCCGCCGTGGTACCCAAGCAAAGGCTCACCTTGGGCTTTATCCGCTGGCAAAATCCATCGCTATACGGTTCGCCCAACAACCTGGAACCTTCGTCCTGACTGACTGACCGGGAACGAACCCCCTTATCTTTATCGCCATCGGGTACCATGTCTGCCATATTATATTATCTGGAATTGGAAGTAATAGTTTTCGTTTAATTGATTGCAATTGGATATTTGTAATTTAATGTGTAGTAAAATAATTTAAAGCTTTTAAATGGAAGTATGTATTATTTATCATTTGTACACAGAAAAAAATTGACAGCCAACATTTTTATTGTAAAAACGATACCTTCTCAGTATCGGAGCTATTAGTAGTTTTTGTTAAAAATTTAGTTGAGGCCAATTATAAAGTGTTTGGTTGTCTAGTACAACAAACTACACTATTAAATTTTGTAGTTTCAATCAAATTTGTTTTCCCGTTTACAAATGTTTATTAAAAAAATTTAAGTTTATGAATCGATGAAAATGTATTGATTTTACACTTTTAATTATATATACCAAACACTCATAAAGATATTATGTTAGAATTTCCAATCATCTCTTACTATATTATTATATAAGTCTAAATTAAATTGTGTGCGCCACTAACAGATGACACAAATATGGATAATTCTAAAATTCTTGTTTTAAAAAAAAAATGTAATTTGAATTCAAATTATTAAGGTTTTACTGTTTTAGTAAGCATTATTTATTAAAACATATACTTTAGTTAACAACGCAAACATTATGCGGAAATCATCTAGACTTTGGCCAGGTGTTTAGTTTAAATTTGAACAATTGTCCTATGAATAACAAACAAATTGGTAATAATAAATTATCATAGTACTTATGAAAATGTGTCATAGGGAACTTTTTGGTAGGATAATTAGCTTTGCTCCCTGCGTTAAGATTTTTATTTTATATAAACAGATTGTTTATATTGCTACTTAATTTTTAAAATGTGTTATTTATTTATTTTAATTTTATAACTAAAATCAATTTTTTACATTTTATATGTCAATGAACTGTTCGAATAATTCATAATTAAACTAAATTAATTTGTATTGCAAGTATTTAATTTGCCTAATGTTTGGTTGGACATTTAGTTTTGATTTTCCAAAACGATACATTTTCTATAATTAATCTAATATTTGTCAATGTTCGACAATTGGTTAAAAAGATATTAAATACAACTGAATTCAATTAAGTAATGTTAATTTATTGATCACACTTTAAGCAATTTTACTCTTTACAAACAGTATAAACATTAAGTAATTTTTTAAACTGTAACATATATTCTAAGTTCTAATGCGGACATTATAAAAATTCAAAAGTTAATCGATTGGGCAAAATTAGTACAAATGTTGTTAATTAGATTATTTTGGCCATATTCCCTAGTAAGCTAAATAGCCATATATTGACATTGTGTATCAGAATTTATACAAAAATAGTTTTTAGTACATTATTTAATCTACAGCTTTCATTAAAAAACACATCATCATAATATCTATGATTGTATACCTACTGCCAAAAAAACATATTATAAACAGATTTTTATTTTTGTTTATTGTTAATTTTATTAAAACACGTTTAGCCTTTAAAGGGCTTATATTTTTGTTAAGTGCGTTTATAAATTGTTTTTTCCTAACAATATACATATCAGAGAATATGTCAATGTGTTTTTTGATACACCCTTCATATAAAGAGTACAATAAAAAAAGTTTATAACAAAAAATGACGGTATGCTTGTAATGTGTTAACATTAATTTAAATACTTATTACATAGCAGGACCATATAAACAACTTTTCAACTGCATCTTATAAATATTTAGTTCCTACACGTCAACTCTGGTGTATAACAAAAAACCGAAAATATAGAAACGCGCAGTATAACACTTAGACGGTTTTTTACTTAAGCTAATGTGCTAAACACTTAATTATTATGTTTTAACAACAATCACGCGTTCCCCTCGTCAATCCGGGCTTTGGTTGTAGGTCGGCCGGATCGATTTTTACCACAAAGCTTTAGTAGTCCGGCAACGAATACATCTGTTGCTGCCGGGTAGGGCTGTCTTGTAGTAGGGGAATGCCTGTAAAACAAGAAAAAAATTTGACAATTAGATTAGGTCAAGGTAAAGTACTTGTTTTCCAGATAAATACTAACGTAGCGAATCTCAGAGTGACGTGTTGTCCAAATCTACGGTGGGTGACCTGTGCCCTGCGATGCTGTCCAACTCGCAGTCGTGCAGCGGGAATAGCGTTTTCATGCTTTTCCGTTTAAATCTCATTTTGGCGTCGTCGCCTACCTCGACGGTTTTCTGGCACAGCAACAGTGTTAGACAAGATATAATGAGCATGACGACTGGCACGACGGACGCCACCAGAAATTCTTTGTACGTGCGCTCCAAGTTGAACCGGACGACGGCCAATTTGAGATTATTGGTGCCGTAGTAGCATCGGAATCGAGCCCGGGCATTGTGATCGGACCCGTCTTTGCCATACCGTCGGACAAACGCATCGCACTCGCCTCGCAGCGTGTTGACGCATCCCTGCAGATTAATGTGCAAGTGACTGTCCTTGGCGATAAGCAGCTTGTGTTCCCTGGGCGCCACCGAATCGTCGGGCACTAGCGGTCGATCGTTGTACGCGTTTAGGTTGGCCAGCATTGAAAAGTTGGCGAAGTCAGATAGGGCGTCCTTGCGCAGCAGTGATCCGTTCACGCAGTCAGTAGCCAATATTTCTTCGGGCCCGTTCGGCACGATGTTCATGCATGACGTCAACAGAACCTGGTCCTGTTCTTCGGACCACACCTGTTTGCGCAGACTGTGCGATGAGCCAGCGGGCGGAACCGGATCGCCGTCCGCGTAACCCGGTATATGTGCGGCAGTATCGCATCGGGACAGGAACGTCCGGTCACCGTTCAAAACGATCACGTTTTTGTTTCTGGTCGGTATGTCCACGCACCGTCTGTCACAGTTATACGGTTCTAGTATACGACTGCACTCGCCTCGCACGCAGTTGTTCAGCCCGGATATACCCATACAGTTGATCTTACCTCGGTGCAAGTTGCACTTGAGAGGCGGCGTCTCGGTGTTGCGGAACTCGCAACGGAACGCGTCCGTAATGTTTATACACACGCCGTCCGTGCAGTTGAACGTACCCGTTAGCGTTTTGCACTCGTCCCGGATGCACGTGTACTTCTTGGCGTTTTCTGGGTCGATGCCGAAGCAAGTCTTGTTGACGATGTGAGAACAGTTCTGGAACAGCACCGCCGAACCGTTGTTCCGGATGTTCACGTAGATCTGCGCACATCCGCCGGACGGCTTACTTAGGCACCATTCGCTGCACGAGCTCCAGTCGCACTTCTGCGACGACACGTTCCTGGTAGTTGTGCATATTACCGGGTTCTCCGATATGCCCGACTGGAACTCGCGCATAGTGGGCATGTATATGGCCACGGTCAGGTACACGATGGCCACGCTGCTCAGCACGGCCGTCATCTGGCAAACGCATATCGTGCCGCATATTCGGGTGTCTTGCGGCGGCACCACCAACTCGTCCACCGGAATCGGTTTCTTTTTACCCATAATGGCCGTATATTTTCACAGTGGTCGTATGCGTGAACACGAATGTTAAGAAAGCGGCGAGACCACGAGTGAGCGCAAATATTTTTGATTTTTTTTTTACACAGGCGCCTTGCACTAGTTACTTTCAGGCGGCGCGAATCAATAAAATCTAGACCGACGTCGCCGCCACCGCCGAACAGATAACCTCAAACAGGCGACGGCGCAAAGCTTCGAAGCTTTTATCGTACTCCATCGGTTTTTTTTTTTAGCTGATAAGGCACTCAACAAACGTTTATCATAGGTATTTGATATAATTTATAACACTTAAATTTTTCAGAAAAAATAATAATAACACAAAAAACTCAAAAAGGTCACCGGACCCGCTGTTTATCTAAAAAGTTACATAGGAATTTTTAAACAGTTACACATTTTTAACGCAAATTAAACAAAACCATTCAACAGTTAACGCGTAGCTTATATAATGGTAAAATTCCGTTTTTCGCACCAACAACGAGACGTCACTAGTAATAAATTATATATTATGTGTAAAGTGTAAAAGTTAGTACATCAAGGATACATTCGAAAATTACATTTTTCAACAAAAAAATAGTATTATTGCGTTAATCATTGCGATATTCTCGGTGTTGGTTCTACAAGATATTAAAAGCCCTGGAAAATATAACTTATCGTTAAAATATTTACCTACTCCATGTTTTAGTGGTGTCATCAGCGCGCACGTGTCATCTGTCCTACAGGAAAGGTCAACGCTGTCCTTGTTGGTACCAACAGTCTAATGGACTGACTGCTAGGGAGGTACCCTCGGCGAATCGATAACCAAAGCCATCTCAAACGCCATCTAGACCTCTGAATTTTATTTAGTCCAAACACTAGGTTAGCGAATTAGATGACGCCACAAGTCTAGAAAATATTGTTTTAATTTTAATACATACATGTCCAGAACTAATTAACCTTTGAAATGTCGTCTCAATGATTTTATCGTTAAAAGTTCAAAAATATATTAACCGTGTTAAACTGCTAAAATTATATCTATATTTTATAACGTTTGTATGTATAATACAAAAAATATTTAAGCAGATTAGTTAGGATTTGTGTCAAATTAGTTACATTGTTTGGTTTTATTAATCTTATAACATATTTCAAAACAGATTTGATGTTTTAATAAAAACAAGATAATAATTATACTTTTAAACGTGCAATTCATAAATAAGCCGGATAGCGCGAGAAAATCTTAACCCATAAATAATTGAATTTCGTTTTATTATTTAAGAATTTTAGAATAATATAGTATTTTAAAACCAAATTGATCCACTAAAACTTATTTTTTTTTGTAATTAGGATTTAAATAATGAAATTTAAAATATTATAATTGTCTTTTTTTGGAAATAATGATAAGTAAGGTATAATAATAAGCTTCTCTGGCGATATTCGTACTTCAAATAAGTCAATATTTATCACTTTCATACAATCAAAACAATAATTATCATTTTTAAAATATATTTTTGTTTTATTTTTATACATCATTATGTTAATACATCACAACCGATCAAATTTGAGTGCTACGTTTATTGCTACTTGTACCCGGAGGGGGTACCGTGCGTTCTTATAATGAATTAAGCAAATATTTAATTATTAAGATATAATAATAGTGTAGAACCGAATAAACTTGATAGAACAATTTTTAATTAAAAAAAATCTATTATTTAAAATGACGTATCTAAAAGTATTGTTAAACCAACAAGGAATCCATTGGTTAAATCAACAATGTTTTATTTTTTAAATCAATAAATATTTTATTAGAAGTATGACGAATATTTCATTTAATCAACCGCGTTTTCAATTAAATGGTAAGGTAAGGTTTTAGTTTCAGTGTAGTGGTAATCAAAAAATAGCAAAATGGGAAATTACATTCAGACATAAATAATAACTTTAGAAACTTTATATGCTGTACACACTATAATCTAATCATGAGGTTCATTGTTAATTGTTAATTTTCTCGCACGACTGAAATTAAATTTAGCTGTTCTACGTACATTTGTAATTAGGCACGGGCTTAAGTTAATTATTGTACAGACCCCACGCAACTTCGAGTTAAATGCGAAAAGCGCTAAGCATTGATTTTGGGTAGACGTAACTATCTTCCAAGAGTTTTAGAACTTGATGTGGGTTTAGTCGGCTAGGTTTAATAAATTTATAGTTTATTTTCTCTCTCTACTGTTTTTATTACTTACAAGAATTATTTTGCAAGCATTTCTTTTGGTTTATGTAATCTACATTTTTTATTACTTTCGGAATAAGATTTCTCTGGATACCGTCCTGTAACGTGGTATTTTGTAATTTTATTAGAGTTTACTTTGCATTCCACCATCCACGTCGTTCAGTTAGTTGTGTATTTTGTATAACATGATTGTTATTATATTTACATTGTTTTTTAAGCCACGAGCAGGGAAAATGAGTTTAAACTTTGATGTTTTTTGTCGTTTAACCTCTTAACTAACACATAAACTTTTGAAATCCTAAAGACAAAACTTTGATATCAACACGTTAAGTGTATTATGGACCATTTAAAACATACTTTTAATCAAACTACAAAATATCTTTTTTTGAGAATATGGATTCAATACAACTAAAACAAACCGAACAGTGTTACGACAGTTAACATAAAAAATACGTGTACAATTTTGTTTTTTTTTTAAATCTAATTTGTGTTACATAGTTAGAAAGCTCTAAAGTTTGAATCGCTAGGGAACTTAAATTACTTTAGTAAATGTATAATAGTTTTATGTATCAGTTGAGATAGTTTTTTTTATTAGTATAACCCTCGGTAGTAAAGTCCGTTGGGAACGACTTATTTTTTTACAATTTCCTTAAATAATTACAATTTAACATTATTGGACATAATTTAGTGTGGAGAGAGGTTTAGACTCATGACAAATTAGGTTTTAAATTGTACTGTTTAAGTTTGTTTCAATGATGAATTTGACCGTGGATTCTATGTACATTGGATTCAGACTCTGACATTATTTCCGATATGTTGTGTTTCTGTCTTAGTTCTCTATATATGCTCTGCACTCAGTCAGAATATGTTTCGTTGTGATTTTGTGACAAATATGATACAAATAGGAGGAGGGGAGGGGGTTCCTTGGTTCCTTTTAGCTGTTTAGTCTCCGCCAGGCCATTTTCTGCGATTTTTGAATGCCCAGGTATTCAGCATAATTGTATGTTGTATATTTTTTTACTTGCGAGCTATATCTGATTTTTTATTTGTATAATAATGCTGTTTGGACTGTGCGTGTTTTTTATGACGCCGAGAGAGTCTGTGAAAATTGTAGTTCTTTGGTATTTTTGATTCTGTAATTATTAGGTTTACTGCTTTTGAGTATCGTGAAAGATCTTGCGGTATAAACACAGCATGCGTCAGGATGTTTGTACATGGTGGTGTTTTTTTTGGCTGTTCCATACTAGAGCAGCTTCTATACACGTCTGTACTTTTGATGTGTCAGAATACATTTTACTCGATTTCTAACACATTGTACACCGGCCTAGCTATAAGAGTAGGTATTACATGAAAAAATCACAAAAATAACTGCTGACCTTCGGATAAAATGTGCATGTTGTTTCGCATTAGCATTTTCGGTGGACCAATATTTTGTTTCAGGAATGTATATAGTCGTGACGCATGTAGGAAAACTAAAAGTTAATCCGCTTCCCGCTTGCCCTTGCTGGGCATCACTGAGGTGTGGTGCATATGAATATTGATTTAAAGCGTGGGATCCGAAACTAATTTACATAGAATCAACGGCTGTCACAGAATACATATTGTAGTTTCGGGGATGAAACCGAAAAGTGGGCTAGATACCCCCTTATATTGTGCAGACGCCGTCGACGGCGGAGGTGTTTAAACAAAGGAAATCCAATGACAAATTCGTGTGACAGAGGTGAAACTACAAAATATGAACCTCTGCTGTTGGTTCGCCAGTAAATGTGTGTAACCTCGTAGCGCTTAATTATAATAATAATAGTTGTTGTACGAATAACAACAACGGTACAACGCATTAGCAGCAATGGCTTAATGGAAATATTATGTGCTTGCCGGACGATAGAGAAACCGAGTAGAAAGATCTGATATACAACCCCGTTTTCCGTGAAATGTCACGTCCTGAAATGCAATGAAGGGGGGGGGGAGAGGTCTGATTTTATATTATTATTACTATATCATCGGAACGCCATTAGCGTAAGTGCACTTGTATTGTTAGTGCACTAGCTAACGTTTGAAAACAGCACGAGCGTTTCCGGTTTCGGCACAGGTGATCCATTTACCGCGCATTAATTGTAAGTTCGTATAGTGTAATGGAAATGGCGGTGGAGAAAGAAGTCAAGTTTTGGTGCACCTGTCAAACGTATTCGTTAATAACGGCGTCTGGTTGTTTATTCGCTTTTCGGGGTTGAACCGAATTAATAATTTCATTTAACACCTTTGTCATCTGCTACTACGATCAATTCTCGAAGGTGCGGTGTACCTATCCTGCAGGGTACGGTGTACCTATAACCATTTTTTGCCTCTTCTGTGCGTTTGCATTTTGTTTGAAACTTAAATCGAAACATTTATTTTTTCGTTACCCTCGATTCTGAAGACTAATTTGTTGCGACGATCCTGAGGTCTTTTTTGTAAAATTTATCACTGTGTACAATATATTGTTCACTGATACTGTCGTAGACGGATATCCTCGAATGTCCGCCGTATATGTGGTAAGATAGATGCGGGAAGGGACAATGTATTTCAGAAGCGACCATAAATAGAGCTATAATTTATTCGGTTCTCTCTTACAACCGTTACAGATATCTAAATATAAATCTCGAGTCTCGACAGTCAAAGCCGCGATGACAGCATACGTTGCTTTTAAATCATTACCGTGTATTATCGTCGAGTTGACGCGTAGTTTTACCTTAGGCCTGTATTTATCTTGAATTTTTTAGGTAAACAAAAAAAAAATATGTGCAAAAAAACGAGTACATCTGTCCGCATCAGTTGACTTAACGAGTTTTTTTGCCTTTGGTACTCGAGCGCTAACGGTAAGCGTTATTCTATTTCCCCAGAACATCTACTTGTACCAAATTCCAACTAGTATTTCGGGCACGTCTGCGTTACTTCCAATGGATATAATTTCAGAATTACGTGGGTTGAGTGGTTACGAAATCTTGTTTTATGGGTACATCGTTTAAATAAGGTCCAAATTCCCTCCATGCTCTATTTTTATTCATTGTAGTTTTCTTTTTGTGTCAGCCAATACGCTTTTGTCTAACGAGAAAAATATTTTATATTATTGCCCCCATTTTTACACAACGGTACGTGTGTACCAATCCTCACACGGAGAGATATTTTTAATCAATAAATATATATTATTTTTGTTTAATATAATTAATTATTCATTACATGAGTTTATGAAATTCGTTTATGTATATTTAACGTGACGTGTAGTTTTAACACTATTATAAATATACTATTAAGTAAAGTTCTACATTGTAAATGACCAATTAAAAGTTTTACATTTAGTTTATCATTGTTGTATGATTGTGGTAGCTATTTTAGTTAAACTATACTCTCTTGTCTGAGTTCATGATGTTCCAGTAAATTTTGTTGAAATAATAACGGTATTTAATATATTTTATAGTTGTAATATTATATTTTATACTAACTATTATATTAACTCTAATTTTGCAAACATGCATATGAATGATGAGAGACACAGTGTCACAGCATAAATATAGTCAAACATAAATCATAGAAAAAAACTTAACGTTATGTATACGCAACTCATTAGTTACATAGCTTATATAGCTCTGGTTTTATTTCTTCCCATAAGTAATAAATCATCTGTATTGTAAACAAGATTTAAGATAATAGTGCTGGAAACAGTCCAGAGCAATGACGGTGGTTTTATAATAGACTATGAAGTATTGTAATAGCATTGTTGTAATCTAATCACTTTATGGATATTTAGCATTAAATCCATCGGTTCTGAAAATATAGAGTTTTGCGTTAGTTCTAAATTATTCTAAGCTAATCGGAAGTTAATTTTCTTTAACTTTTAGTTAGTTTTTGTTAAAATTAATTAAGCATTTAAAAAAAAAACTGAAACATTTTATTATTTTGAAAAAAGTTGACGGAATTTTAAAACAGTAGCATCATATCCAAAAAACATAAAATACTCTCTCTCGTGCTGGCAAATGTATTCTCTTTAAATTATAAGTATTTAGTAATCATAGATTTGCATTGAATATTTTTCTTGGCAGCAATTTTATAATTTTTTAGTTTACATGATTTCACGCAAATACTAAACTTTATTGTACATTTTAATTTTTTTTTAAAAATGTCTTCTGACGTGTACCTCTCAGTTACAGATTTTTGTATATATTTTTCAATTTAGGATTAGGATCGCGGTATGGATATACGTGCAAATACGACTCTTCGTGGTTATCGGCGATTCTAATATATGCAACTTTGTTCCAGAGATTATTATATTATTGTATATTGTGTATTGTATATTATTATACGCTGGCCAATAACCGTTCTCTGTGTGACATTTAGGCCGTTCAATCGGTGACAACACACATTTTTAGCAGTGTGAAGCTTAATAAATTATAACTTTACACGGCGTACAGGATAGGCAATTTAGGGGCATATATGTGTTTGTAATATGTTTAGCGTTTACTCGACACGTCGTGGTCATATTAAATAGAATTACATTTTGTTTGTATTATATCTAGTTTCATATTATATTATTATAAAACACAAGACATTTTTTTAAATTTAACATTAAGACAGTCTGTTGGTGGTATTCTTTAACATTTTTTTAGGTCTATATAATCGCGTTTAATTATCGAATATACGTTGACAAAACTTATTGGTATTTTGCAATTTATTTAGATTTTGAGTGAAGCGAGGATGTTAGTTTTGCAGATTGTCTCGGCGCAGGATGACAAATATTGTAGTAATTCGTTCTCTGCAGGCGTCTCGACGGGGAAACGTTTTGATATGATCAAATCGTTCTGATTGTTTCCCCTGTGGTGTATTCCGAGACATCTTTTTTAACGTGTACGCGTGGCGCTCAGATAAAATCTGAATGATAATCGTGGTAATAAGAGACGACCGGAGTTTTTGGACCAGATCCGTTTAAGATTCGACTCGGAGATGGGAAATCTTACGTAAAACAACTGCGGTAGTTAAACATGGGCACGAGGTTAGAATGGCCGGGTAACATTTTTGCCGGCCGCCGCCGGCGCGTCAACTGACTCAAATGTCGTTGAGTTATGTGGCAAAGCACGCGATCGGTCACCGAGCCAAGTACACGCACGGGGTATGGATAACATGCATGATATTATCTTGTTACCCTGGGAAACGGCGAAAATTCAATTCAAATTATTCCCAATACTCGTGAGCGCGTGTACGGGCTAAAATTATTCAGTATGTCGCAATTTTTTAAATTGCTAGTCCATATAACGACTCGGTAACGTAGAATAATTATCGAGCATACGTTTTATTTGTAACCTTCTCCGCGAGAAGGAGCGTTTGTAACAAACGCGAAAGACGTTCGTTCGGAGGTCGTAAACAAGCGAACCGTGCCCTTTCCGACGACGTTAGTATCTAGGTCTTTATCTGGGCGCTTATAAAGTATTCACGTCAAGCCGACTCGTGACGTCGACTTCTTGCCTTCTGCCTTCCTTCCCCATACCTAACGTGGCACACAGGTGGCGACGAAGTGTTCGTTACCCATAGATAGTAAGGCAGTCGCGGTGAATCCTATATCGATTGACCCGAACCGTACCCATTACGACCTCCGCTCCCTTACCTATGCTTACGTCTTCCACTCGGCTCCCGTCACCCCGCCCGACGTTAGAGATGCCTTATTTTCCCACCAAAAGGTATATATTTTCTTTTCGGCTATCGACTTACTGGAATCTATTATAATATATGCTCAAAACGAACACCGCGAAAGGACCGCACGTTGTTTGTCATCCAGGTATCGCGGTTACCTTTTGTCGCGTTCGAAACGACCACCCATTACGGTCAGACGAGCCTCACAAAAGCCTTACCTGTCTGCCGTCGTTTGTTATGCGGCCATAAAACATCCTATAAAAAAGCGGTCAGCAACGGCGGCAGTAGGCGTCTTGTACTTACATATATTTCGGGGTGTACATAGTATGTATGTGTGTATATAGCGTATAAAACGGCCTGCCAGCTCGTAGACTGGGTCCGCTAGACGGCGCCCGGCCCCCTTTCTCTGCCGCCTTTGCCGCCGTGCTGCGCGATCCCGATCAATCCCCGGCCGTTGCCGTATCAGCACAGCTCAGTAGCACGTTAACCGCCGCGGCTTTTGCAGTCGATTATAACCGCGTGACGCGTACGCCGTCGTGGTCGTGGTTCACGTCGTTGAAATCACACCGGTATGTTTTGTCTTGCTAATGTTTTTTTAAGAACAAAAATATATGTTATGTTATGTTTGTTTTCAACCCAGTTCGTTTTCTCGGCCAGCGTACAACTAATTTGTACTGTTTGTAATGTTTAATTTGTGTGTTTACTGCCTGAAATATACTACAGCTATAAGTAATCCGTACCCGGGCTCCGAGAATCGTTATCATATCGCAATAGTTATCCGAACCTTAATCGTTTAAAAATGTGTCGATCGAATAAATAAGACCACCCACTAGAGTATGTAATCCGTTTTAAGTACTGTAGGTATTTTCGACGTGCACATATTATATCAGTATAACCGTTGGGATTCGACTTTGACCTTTGTGTGGGTTACACAAACTACATAATCTAGACTAATCGAAATTTCGATCACTCAGTTTTTCTATTTAATATTTAAATTCTACCAAACCTTTAATTTTTGGCTGTTCGAAAAGTGGTAGAACTATTGATGAGTGATTGAATGAGTTTGTTTTGTATACTTATGAACAAAATTCAATTATATATGTACAATAATCGTTTTAAAATAATATTTTTTTAAAATGCTTTCCACATGGAAAGGATGTATTCAACTTTTCGCATTATAAATATATGGGTAGTATTTCTGGGAGATAACCATTGTAAGTAAAAACTCATAATCATGTTATGTAATGTATAATAAAGAATTGTACATGGCTCATACGAGCTTCGATAGAACGTATATAAAATAAAAGCGATTTCATAAAATATTCCGAAGACCGTAAAAGCACTTAGTGTGACGTAACTTTTATTTAGTATCCCGTTCAATTCAACAGTATCAAACTTTTTTTATGTATGAACTTCAGCTGTTATTAATTCAATTCTGTTTTGAAACTCAATTAGTCTGTACGAGACAATTGACATAAAATGTTATCCATTTAATTATTGATTTTGAACTAGAATTCAATTTGTAAAAACTTTTTTTCGATGGTCTTTATCATAATATGGTTTATTGGTTTTTATAATAGGCAAAAACCACGAACACACCCAAAATTTTTATTTTAGTACAACATAAAATCGTCTTATTTTTGCTATACACACTTTAATTTGTATTATACAATACAAGTATACATATATAATGTATTTAAATTACGAGCTGCTTACTTTAATATTATTCCACATGTCCGATCGAGAAAACGAATAGTATTGTCTTGATAAAATTATGTGCTGAACGTTTTACGTTTTTTAGGAAATGTGAATCGACCTGTTACGAAAATATAATTTATGAAAAAATGAGAAACATTAAAATACTGACCAGACTATCCATAGATGTTATAATTGATACAAAATACTCGGTGAAATGTATGCTCAATGTTGCTGTGAATTATTCAGGATAATCGTCAATTGGGACATAATATTCTAAAATTAAATTACTTAGACATATTGAAAGAGATAAGGAAAACAAATATGAACTATTGGTTACCAAAATATTCTGTCTCGCTGACATACAAAGCGTTCGCGAGTTGTTAGTGTGTCGTGCTCCGTTATCGTTCTGGAGCGCCGGAACTATTGGTTAAGATGAGCTGATGGATGAAGAGCCAGTGGTCACCGATGAGGAGAAAAAAGAAGCGGAGAGAAAAAGGTTGGAAGCGTTGCGCCAAAAAATACTATTTTACTTGACAGCGTTTTTCATATTGCTCGGCGTGTGCAGTCTATTCGTATTTTTGTTCCTGGTGCCGTTCATCATCGAGCCGGCTATTTCCACGTTACTCATGGACTTCGACGAAACGCCGGCTTCATGCGTGACCACCGACTCGATAATGCGAGAAGGCGCGTCCAACTGTTCGCTGCCCGGCGGCTGGGCCTCGTGCCGGGAAGGCTGCACTAAGGAGATTTACCAATGCGCCCAGATTTTCGTCAACTATACTGTGCGTGGAGACCGGGCCAGGGCCATGGTTTCGAGGCACCATCGTCGATCGCTGCTACTGCACCAGCAGGCCATCGACCCCGAGCCCGCCGTGTGGACGTATTCCAACGCCCGAATATTCCCTAACGTTAAGGGCTGCGGGTATCCGCCTCATCTCAATTGCTCCGCGTTTCACCAAAAGTACTTCGAGGTGGGTTCCGTATACCCGTGCTACTACAGTCGTGAAGAACCGTCGGTTGTAATCACCGAGCTTGACTTAGCCAAAAGCGTCAAGCATCTCATCTACTCTATAGTGTTCCCTATCCCTTGCTTCGTCACGTCTATCGTGTACGTAGCTCTCGCCTACTTTTGGGTGTACGCCGGCCAAAGCCAGAAACCGAAGACCAAACGACGGGTGGTTCGGAGGATGGTAGGGGGCTCCGGCGGGACGGGTTGCGTCGGTGGCACGGCATCGGCGTCCAGGCACAAAAGCGGTTCCGAAGCCACGCCGCTGACGACCGACGACGGTGCGCCGCCGGCCATAAGCGAAGACGGTACGGTCTCGCCGGCCAACGGGTATTACCGGGACGACGACGACGCGTCCATTTACGGCGAACAGCTTAGGTCCACGTTGGCCGTAGACAACTCGTCCGCCGACTACGTCCATGCGCTAAACCTGTCCGAACACACGCTCAGACAATCAGATTGCTCGAACGAACCGTCCAGGGAATGGTCCGAGGACGCCATCAGCATATGCGGCAGCCTCGAACGGTCCATCGCCAAATCTGCGTTCGTCAATTCTACAGGGTAACCCGACTGTTATTTACATAGCCTTGCTTAATATTTTGCATGCTCGAGATTGGTTTAGCAATTAAGTAGAACACCTATTTTGTGTCTGTAAAACGAGAATAGTTGTCCTGATAATATGCATGTCCATTTATCTCTTTACTGTTAGTTGCTGAATAAAAATGAAATCTTCAATTATTACTCGTACAACCGAACATAGTACAACGTTAAGATATATACTGGCAGTAAGAGACGATACGGGATGTATCATTTAACTAGCGGAGTTTAAATGGTCTAATTATAAAATGCGAAATTAACCGAGTAAAATATAACGCGTCAAGTTCCGTTTATATTTTTTCAGTCGCGGTAGCAGACGGTTAAGTGTACAGCATAATTTATGTATAGCAATATACAACACATTCAATAATAATAATAACATTCATATAATGTATTTTATATATATACATACACTACACTCCCTTACAATAATTGATTCAGCGCACTATTTTATCGCTCAGCGTTGACGTTGTTATTTGCAGGCCTGGCATTCATCAATCTGACAACCCAACGGGGTTTTTTAAAAACAAAATCGAATAAAAAAAAATATATATATTGACATTCGTTCTGTAATTTTTATCCTGGGATAAACGGGTGATTTGTATTTGTTCACCGTTGTTTTATAATTATTTTTTGTTGTGGGTTTTTCGAATGAATTACCTTTTTTTTTACTCGAAAGTGGTATTTTCAGTGTAAATCGGGTGTTTATAAAATTGTATAAGGCTCCGTGACAAACGTTCGTGTTAAAAGGAAATAAGATTGAAAAAGTAATTTGAAAAATGTATTTCATTTCTGAATGTCCGCCCGTACAGTACGTACAACTGGGTAAAATATTCAATTAAAATATTTCTGCTCTGAAAACTGGGCAAACGTAGTCTCTTTGTAGTTTAATGATAAATTCCTAAGATAATACAAGATTCTTTGTTGTCTCCCATGTTTCATTCTTGACAGCGAGCAATGCGATGCAAATAGTGATTCAAGAAAAGTATTCGTCATACGGTCAGTATATTAATGAAAAACCTTATCTTTTCGCGCCCGAATGTCTATGTAAGCTAAGCATAACCAGTCAGGAAATATAAAAATAGGGCGTTAATTGGTTTTTAAGCAGTTTGATCGTTTTAACTCTTAAATACCGAGAAAAAGTTATTAAAAAGTCAAAACTGAATAAGAAAATCTATACTATTCAAAAATCCTACCTTTAAATTAAGTCTCCGAAGTTCCGAAGTGTTATCTTGTTTTTTTTTTTACTCGAATTATAAACTTTATTACTCGACCCATCCGGCTCTCAGGCGTACCCATACATTACATTTCTGGATGATAAATCGATTGGCCGCTTGTCCCCGAGGTATTCGGTCGTTGTTATTCTACACTCAGTTGTGCATGATGTACCTCGTTAGGTATTTCAGTCACATCTTCGTCGGGTTCGCGCGTTCATTAGCGAAACATCATAAATCCAAAAGCAGCCCATTATCCTAGTCCATTGACTGTTTTTCTCTCGAAACTCCCTATGGTCGCCCAAAGAGATAAGACAATATTACGTTTCGGTAACTAAGGATGTGACGGGTCGGTGGCGGACCATTAAATTAATTCCCGCAAAGGTGAGCCGGTGAGCGCATGATCTTTTTTTAACCGACACCTCGCCTGATATGACCCGATGACCCACTGACCCAGACATTTTGTAACGGTATAGGTTCTATAATTCCCTGTGACTGCGGCCAAGTAAACCACATTGATTAACGTGAGCGGATTGACAAAAACAAAACAAAAAGTAAACGTTTACCGGATCACCGTTGTCGACTGTCTGTTGGCATAACATTGGTCAATCTACTTTTTATCGTTATAATCGCGATATCGTTTTTTATGACTTAATAATACTGAGACCAGATCGGTGTAAAAAAAAAAAATAATTATTTTTTCGGAATCTCCAAACCGACAAAGGTGGTGAAACACCCTGTTGTCGCGCTGTTAAAGCGTGCCATCGTTGTAATTGGTTTTTCCGTGATTTTCAACGTCTCCCCTCATTCCCCCGGGACTTGGCAAGACGAACGACCGCAATGAAAGAGTGAAGTGACTTATATAATACTTATTTTTTATTATTATTGCCAGCCGCCTCGCCGCGCCGGTGTACAGCTGCTCGAGAAGGATGTGTGTCTTCGTGCCCACAATTGTCGGTACTATTACTCACAATCAGCAGCTCGCACGGCATGCGGCTGACATAATATAACGCACGTTGGCGTGCAGTATAAACGTTTTCGCGCAAACCGTATTTATAATATTGTACTCTATTCACTACCGAATTTTAACAAAAGCAACGAGATTGGATAAGTCTATGTGTGTGTGTGTGTGTATGTGAGCAAATACGTTTGATAAATATGTTTGTAAGCACGCGGAAGACTAATGATGACTGTTTGAAATTATGCGTTGACAGCGTAAAGTCGCAAGTGTGCCCATAGTATAGAAAATCTCACTGGGTTTTAGTGGCTTTGTCCAAATGATTAATCGTTTTTGGATAATGATTTTAGTAAATTAAAGTTTAACTGCTCTTTTGAACAACAAAAAAAAAAAAAAAATACTCGCCTTCCGAATAATAATTTCAGTCAAAATTGGTCAGTCAGTTGAAGTGGAAAATGGTATAAATGAACAAATATATAACATACCTATATTTCTATGTACTTATAGTCAAACGAAAAATGTTGGTATCCATCTCGTTTTATAATTATATTTTCATAAAAATTTAACAATTCAAGTTAAAATAAATATTCTTTTGTTTAGTTTTTGACTTTACATAAAGTATGTGTACAGTATGCATTTAATATCGTCTCGTAATAAAACGAAAATGTGTATTTTTATTTTACTATATATATTTCGCATACAAGTCAACTGATCAAAGACGTTTCCATATTTTAAAAATCAAGTTTCGATAAAATTTTGGTGTACACATTTGGCTCCGCCTTTTTCCTTTGTTTGCGCTCTTGTTTAGTCTTTTGAAGAAGAGGGAAATATAATGGAGAGGGTCGCGTGGCAGTCCTAGATATTTGTTTATCTAGAAACCCTATTGAACCAGGATACTGAAGCGTCTTGTCGTTTGTACTCGTGCCAAAACGATAACGGATATGTATAATATCACCAGTGACTGGGGAAAATTCTGCATGGCTTCTTATTCGCAAAATGTCGATGTTTAGTAAAACAATTAAATGAAAAAAAAAACATTTGTTTTCAATTTAAACTTAATTGTAATAAAAAAATAATATTTTTACATCTAACGTTTGTATTAAATATGTAAAATTATAAGCATTTTTTTTGTGATACAAAGTCATCATTGGTAACATTGGTGCTATAATTTTAGATGAATCTATACATACAAATATTTTTATAATCTATAATTGCAGGGATAGTAATTTTAAGAAAGTATCAAAATTAAAATTGTTTGCCTAACAAATGCGTGATTGTGTTTTTTTTTGTTTCAGAAACTTAACCAAGACGATGACGACGTGTATCTTAACTCCCCCTGGGCCGACGGCGGAAGTTTGAAAAGAAGTCTACATCAAGTTGGTGACATTTCCTGGAGGCCTAAATAATCCATTCGTGGTTTTCTCTTTTGTTTTCACTTATTTTGTAAATTTTTTTGTTTTCATTACATTGTTCGACAATTCACTAAAGCTAATTGTGTTTTTCGCTGCAACTTTTTTGTTTTTTTTAATTTCAACAATCACGTCTACAATATTAGAAATATTGTTCACTTTTATAATCATAGTATATAAATTTCATATATAATATAGAATGCGTAACTAAAATGTCAGTATTTTAAATTTATAATAACAAGCCATTTTTTAATAATCAATATAGTTAGACGTTAATAGCACAGTAAAGCACGAGATAGTAATAAGAACCATTATTTTTAAATAGAAATGTTAGGCAAATTCCAAATTGGGCATTATATTTTCTAGTGTATAATCAGTCAACTTTAAAGCTAAGGAAAATTTTAATTCAATATTGAATATCTTATAAATTCGTTATTTTAGTAATTATTTGTTACACTTGGAATTAAAAATATACACGAACGAACGAAATACATTTATTTTATAGGATTTTTCTCACTATTCTGAAGTAGCTCCTATTAATTATAGTTTTTTTCCATATTTTCTTAGTAGATGTTTAAAAAAATATTCATTATTTTTTTAAAATTAATATGCCCAAAGTTGTTTTACTGTTCATATCTTACTTAAATTAGTATGTTAATTTATATTTAACGATGAAGAAAATATAATTTTTATTTCAATTATGAGAAAATAATGAATTATTATTATTATATATAATAATATTATAGCTATGCCTGTAAAATTAATGTATTTTGGTTCATGTCATTAAAAAGGGTAATATTTTGTTTTATTACAGTTGAATTATTTTAGAGACACCCTTAAATAAAAACGTTAAATCAAATCAATTCCGTTTAACTATACATAGTTCTTACTCTTGCGTTATTTCATGTCCACAAAAATCGACACTAAACAAGCGTTACTAAAGTCGGTTTGTTTGATTTATTGATTTGATTTTTGTTATTTTCCGGACATATATATATATTTGTTTACTCGTGAAATTGTTGTTTGTTTTGTTACGTGTGTTTGTAGACCCTTGTTGATTCACACATTTAATATATTGCACAATATTTACAAAGATTTTTTTTGAAAATAAAATCAAACAATATTGGCCTATAAAAAAACACTAAAATCCATGAGTCTTAACAAATGTTGATACCGAACATGTATAATATGTCTTACCATTCTTCATGACGAAATTCATCTACCGTTTATGCATTGGATAGCTTATTTTATTAGCACTGGAGGCCTGAACAACACAGTAGGAATTTACAGGCGTGCCCAAAGATAGACTAATTTTTTCCTAACATTTAAATTTATTTCCGATTAGTGGTGTTCGTATAATGATTATTACATATCAACTCTTCAGTGCCCATTTTGTAGTAAAAATGTAACACATTTATCACATAAATGTATTTTGTTAGAAAAAATACATTTAATTTATGTGGCACTCTATAGTTAATTAAATAAATTGCTATCTACCAGATGTTAAAATGTTAAATTTTTTCTAAATTCCTGATGTTTTAACTTATAAAGAAAAAAAAATTGGGCATTGAAGTGTTAAATTGTGTGTAATTGATATTTGTATTGACATTTCTCAATTTAAACTTTCGGTTAATTATAACTGTTCCGAATTAGCCTTAGCTTTAGAAACTTATTTCGATACTCGCGTTGTACAAACAAAAGTATTTTTGTTTATTCTTAGTAAATACAGCCTTTCAAATTATATTCCGTATAACTTTAAGTAGTACCTATTTTTAGGTAGGAATGACGAGCGTATGCTTTAGCATGTGAAAATATTTATCGCAATATTAATCCTTAACAAATTTGTTTTTTAATCTATACTTTATTCGATTTTTTATTATCTCATACAAACGTTTATAATGTATACTTAAATTAATATATCATTTTTCATAAGACTGATACGTGCTATTCGTTGTAGATGATGAGATTTTTAATATGTAGTCAAAAGATCTCAATTATTAATTATTATTTTTAAAATATTATTTAAAACAAATTCTAATCGGGTTTTCAATCCTCTGTATATATCTATATTGTACAATTGTTTTAAACTTGTTTAATTATTAAGTTTTAGGCATTCATAAATAATACAACCTAATCTTAAAAAGAGTTAGTTATTTTATTAAATTATAAATTTATACAAATATAGTTGTTCATGGTAATGATGTAGACTCGAAATCTAATTTAAAAATTACTTATTTGTAATTAGATTATCAGTTAAGATTCCTCATTCATAAACAGCTGTTAAATTAAATTTTTTTCGTCGCATTTCGATGTTTATGTTATAATATGTACCGACTACTATTGATATATTTGTTCTATAGACCAAGACAATTACTTTTTTAGGTAATTTTTTAAAGAACTTTTTATTTTTTGATACTAACTTTTAAGAAAATATACCATACTTACAAAAGAGTATATTTTTTATTGTTCTATTCTATATTATACATTTTTAGTGTTTCGTTTTTTCCGAGTCTATTTTTTTTGCACTTTAATGGTTCACTTTTATTAACAATTTTTCAATTTTTATTAAATTATTAGTATTGTTATATTTGTAATATTTTCTGTCATTTTTTGCTTGCGTTGTATGTTATTTGAGTGAACGTTTAGAGTGAGTGATCGAGCGTGCGATGGTCACTATTGTAACTTGTGTAAATGTGCTCTAAATAAATACTTTAATTTCTTATTATATATAAATTATCAGTTTTAAATAATACAAATAAATAAAATAATACAATTTGAAGAAATTGGCTTAATTAAAATGTCTTTTTTATAATAGTTGAAGGTTTAGTTCAGTCCGAATAACAAAACCCTTTAACGGTTCTCGTTTGTGCTATGAACCAGTTTGAATTTATTTTAAGAATAATAACACTTCCCGGAATGTTCTTATCGCACATAATCATCGTTCAAGAAGCGTGGAGACCTATCAAACCCTTTGGTAACAGTTTTGTTTTTATTTGATAGTGTAAAGTTTAGGGATTGGTTCTTAGCACGTTGTTAGGGTCGAATCTTCAATTACTTTACTGTCAAAATTTACATTTTTTTACATAATATGCGTGTATTATATTTGTATTCAAAGATTGGTATATCGTGTCAATTTATACAAATCTTGTTTATTACTTATTAAAATAATTTCTTCTGGTCCTGACAGAATCAAAAAAATATCAAATTGGATCTTTGGTACTTCTATCATTCGAAAACGCGTAAACTGGGCACTAAAATAGGTAAGGGCTGAAAAATATGAGGACAAAGAATCAAGGTTGTAAGGTTTTTACTATTAGATGTGCATCATATATATGATTATAGAAACTATTGCTAAGTTACCATTGCAAAAACAATTCTTCTCATTTCCGCACCGAAATTAAACGATTTAAAACAAATCATACATTGTATGGTTAGGCTTTGATACACGAGTATTAAACTTATGAAATAGATTTACCCGTGATATTTTGTTGTGCCTTCACGCACTATGTCTGCAGTTCTACCAAAATAGTACTGTAATAATTGTAAAACCTATTACATAATACAAGTTATGTTTCAAAATAAAAATGTATATTTACTATTATAAAAACAATTTAAAAATTATTGCACAGGAAATAGTTAACACGGCTGAAAATATCAGTAAGATGTAAACAAAATTATTTCATTTAATAACATTATGTAAATTAGAGTTAACAGGATTATCGCCAGGCTAAGACGACAATGTGGAATAAGTGAAGCGTTCAAAACTAATTTTGTTCTAAAGATGTAATACAAAATAGCCGAGAGAAACAAAAAATGTATATTATAGATAATGGTAAAGAACGTTTGCTTAATTCTATTCCACCGGCAAATAATAGCTCCGTTGAAACTAATTATTTTTTAAAAATCGACATACTCGTTTTCATAACTGTCCAGTATGTTGCGAATTTCTTTTTTAGAAATCCATTCAAGATCTGGTTTGAATGGTGCTTCCATTTTCTGGTTGATTATTTGTAACCAATTTACAGGTCTGAACCAAGGATGTTTCTTTATATCTATGACTCCGTTTTTTAAGTTCCCATAACGTTTTGATAGGTCTGGCTGGGCAACATATAAAACAAATATTATATAAAGTTAGACGAAGTAAGTGTTAAGCTGTTGTAACCACTTCCATAATCAGGATTATAATGAAAACAGTTTAAGTAATAATATAATTGTCGTTACATTCTCCTATTGTAGCAACATCGTAAAGACATGCCTGCACATCATAAAAAACACAGTAGAATGAACATAAAAAATCAAAGAATTGCACAATTATCCTGTTGCGAAGCATTTATTGAATATTAGTCGTAGCATAAAATCAGTGAAATTACTCAATAAGGTAATTAATTTTAAAGAACTTGATATTGGATCGCATACTAACTGTTGAGTGTATTTAAACATTGATTGGCTTCATGATATAATGAAACTTTATGGCCCATGATAGCGCGCGAGGCCGGTCGTTGCCGTACATGACGTTGCTAGGCTATTAGTATTTAGGCTATATAATACTATACAGACGGGGAAAATATACAGTACGTATCGCACCCACTGTAGGACTTTTGGGGACATGTGTCGAAATCCCACAAGTACGCCTAGTTCATTAATTTTAGAGCATTCGACTAGAATATATTTTAAAAACATCAACTCACGCAATCTAATAAAACGCACATGCATAAATTGCTCAATACTCGGGAAAATTGAATTGTTTTTTGAATATCACATAATAGAAAAATATTTTTAGTATACTTTCTCTTTGATATTAAACTGAGAGTTTATTGGTTTTGCAATGATGTAGTTTTGTCTTTATGCACAATCTACCACCACAATGTACACCATACATCGAGACACCCACTGATTCGAAAATTGCTAAATTATTTCAATGTGAAATTGTATCACATACTTTACATTATTTAGCTATTATGAAAACGTTATATATATATATTAGGGCGGCGAAAAAAAATATTTTTTCGCCCACCACTAAACATTAAACTTTATAGAAAAAAATAAGCTTATCAAAATTTGGGGCCATTCGGTAAAGTTTAAATCTAAAAAACTATTCGATATTTTTCGAATCAGACCGTTTTATTGGAGCTCCAAGAAGGTACACTACCGTTTGATAGAGTAATATATAAAATCTAAGCTCGTATAATAGGGTTTTATAGTAATTTTAATAATTAAGTATACCTTTTTTTTATTATTTCGAAAGTTAAACTCATAAAAAGATATAAAATAAAATGTATACAAAAAATCGAATTAGCTAAATATTAAAAATCACTAGGTTGGAGAAAAGTATCATTAAGGCTAGCACAGCATATAAAAAACCTAAACTAACTCCACACCCCATTAAAATAACATTGTTTTCCTTATAATTTTTCACCCACTTGAATTACTTTAGGAAGCGGTTGCATCAGTTCAGTTATAGGTTCGTCGTCATTGTTTCGACAATCCGCTTTATTTAATTGTCTATTATTTTCTTTTAAAAAAATAGAACAGACCTACTTTATTCATTTATTGTCACTTATTTTGTTTTTCTTTTCAGTCGTAAATAGAAAGATGTTTTAAGAAAAAATCTGAAATTCCGATAAATTGTTAAACTACGTCCTAACGAATTTTAAGATATATTTACATATGTTATGATATGTTAAAAATTATTTGAACATTAAAGAATTTTTCTAGAAGGTGCAGGATTACCGTAAAACTAAACAATAAATGGAAAAACATCTACATTCAAATGCCCCATTAAGGTAAAGTATGATATATATTTTGAACACGCCATTCTCGCGATAAACATTTTATCATAAATAAAATAAAATAAAGTTTTAAACACGGCGGAATAATATCTAAATTGACTGAAAATGTATAATGGGTTTTATTTTATGTGGTAATCAGCAAACTTTTGTTGTCGGAAATATTTCTTACATCTCCGATAACGAAAAACAACAACATATAATTGTTGACTTTTTTTTTTTTACAGCGTCTTGGTATTACATTTGCATTACAATAAACTTAAAAGTATTATGTCTGCTAAAACTTTACCTAATATATTATTCCTTTTGTTAGAGAAAATCACGCTAATATAGCATTTTAATGAAAAAATATTTAATATAGTAAACTTGATTATTAGTGTCGAATGTTAATTTTAGCTCGTCTAAACTATCCAATACATATAGCTTTAATAACACGATTAGGAATTTCAGGGTTTATGGTTAGGTGCAAGAGGTACGGCCTCATCTTTTAGGCTCAATTTTTTTGAAAACTAAAATTTTACAAGGAAGATTTAAAAAAAATATAATACGGTATGTCTAAAGAATATTTCCTGCAAATTCGGAGCTAATGCTACTGTTTTAAATACAAGGTATAGCGCGTGGTAATATTAATTTTAAAATGGGGGAACTTTTTTAAATTGTTTACCTAATTATGTGTTTTTTAGGTACGATTTCTCATCTATAGACTTACTACATGAAGAAATTAGTTCAGTGGTTTGGAAGATATCGCGGGTGCAGACAAATAAATAATAAAAACACATCATTGTAAAAAAAAAATACCTTCAGTAATGTAGAAATAATTTCTATTCAGTAGTTTCTGAAATGTATTACTTGTTGATTATATATGTAGGTGTTTTCACCTATTTTAGTTGACCGAAATACAATAACTTTACCCCATTTACCGACTTTGAAGGGAAAACGTTTAGCGATATCGCTGTAATGGATTTGTCTGCGTTTATTTCCATAAACTGTTGTGTGTACTTTTATGTATAATAATTTATCGACGACTTTAACACGTTAACGACCAGGGGTCAATTTTGAAACATTACCCTTGGACCAGGGTATTTACTACCTGCATTTATTATACATTCGGGTAAGCCACATAGGGTCACACGGTCTGTGGAGAAAACAGCCTGTTTACAGCCCGTTAAAATAAATGTAATTTTGTTTTTCCATTTCCCTAATTTAGACTAATAAATCAGGAGAATAAAAATATCGTACGCAATGCGGGTTGAATAACTTACTTGCAACATATTTCGCAGCAAACTCTGCAACGATGGGCTAAAACCAACGTCCAAATTGTAATTTGTGTTTAAAGCGTTCTGGAAAATAGTTCCAACGTCGGGTCCCTCGAATGGAGTCCGTCCTGTAGTTAACTCGTACATCATAGCCCCTAAACTCCAAAAGTCCACAGCCTGACTGTAGCCCTTGTATGTGAATATCTCGGGCGCCATGTAATCCGGTGTACCGCAAAATGTATAAGTCCGACCCCGTCCGATCGACTTGATCATGCTGAAATCAGCTAACCGCAAATATCCGTTTGCATCTATCAACACGTTTTCAGGCTTTAGATCTCTGTGCACGAATCCCGTAGCGTGCAGAAACTCTAACGCCAACAGTATCTAATTAAAAAAAAAAACTTTTTGAAGTACGAATTTTTATAAATAAAATAAAATATGAAAAAAAACAGTTAGAACTTTATAAAACATTTAGTGTGGAATGTGACAACAAAACATATTAATAGTAATAACATAATAATATTATATTTGTTTGGATACTTTTATTTGTATTTTTCATTAGCTAAAGATTTTTACATTTTCATTCTCAACGAATTATGATTAAAATAGATTTCCTTTACTTGGGCAGAGTAAAATCGAGCCATATATTCTCCCAGCGATCCTCGTTCGTACACTAGGTCAAATAAATTTCCTCCTGGCGTGAGTGGCATGATCAGGTAAGTGTTATCAGGGTCCGTTGCCAATAAATGCATTCCCACAATAAATGGAAATATACCGTCCAAGGCGGCCATTACTCTTTTTTCTGTTTCTACGTATTGATGGTACATTTTTGGAAGATTGTTTTTGATCACCTTCGCTGCCTTTAATGCACCTGAGTTTTTATGGCGGAGCAGAATAGTATGACTGAAATTACCGTAGCCTATGTTTTGCAAAACTTGAAATTCCGAAATTGTAACATAATTGATTGTACCAGTTTCGTACCTATTACACGTGTGAAAAGAAGGAAACATCAGTTGTAAATATACCAATGCATTCAATATTCATAAAAAATAATTTATTTTACAAACAAATTGTTTTAAAAAAAAGATGTTTACTAACAGTACTAACGCGAATTATTATGTACAATATATTAGCATTGGACGTAATTAGGCAATAGGCATACAACGAACGATTATAATACGAACTCACTTGTCTAAAAAAATCTGTTTTTGCATATTAATATACTTGGTAATGTTTTTTATTTCCAACGTATAAGTTGCCATTTTATTTATTTTTTACTGATTACAATGAAAAAAAAACCGAAGAATAGTATTTTACAAACAAATGTAATAAGCTAGTTAATAAACTAGAAATAATCATACGTACTACCATACCAACTGTTCAACAAGACACAAAAATTAATTATAATATGATATTTTTTTTATATTGTTTACAGTTTATTTTTCTCCGAATGTTCATAACATCACGTTTCGAACATTTAAATTTATTTGATTACCTAATACTTCTTCTGTAAGTCTGCAATAAGATATCATATAACTTATTGGTAATTTTTATCTTATACATAAAGTATTATTCTGCAAATACGGTAATCTTTTTTACCATAAAGAACTCAGAAAAAATTCGACAATATAATGAGATATAGTTACCTATATTATATTAATATTTTTAGTATTTTTAAAGTAACTTTTAAGTTCATTTCTCTTAGTGGATTACTTTTTTTACCTAGACTTCTAAAAATATATAGGGAAAAAAAACACAAGTAAGTTGTACCGCTAAGACCAATAAATTAGTTAGTGCAATAAATTCTCTGAATTACAACCTAGAAGGACACTTGGCCAAGATACTAAAAGAGAAAGTTAGTAAAAGAACACCATACATAAAAAACTCGACGTACTTTGTGGAAAAAATAAAATACACAAAATGGGAAACCGGAGATATCCTGGTTAGTTTTAATGTGGTGTTATTGTACACAGTGGTTCCAGTAAAAGCCACATTAGAAATCATAAAAGGGAAAAATGTTTGTGGAATATTTTTTCGAAAATTACTAATAAACTAAAAATATATCATAGCTCTTTAGCTCCTAGAAGGGGTGGAAATAACTTTTTCTCTATATAGCTTTTCCGAACTAAAGGACACTCTACCTTTAGTCTAATTTTTTTATTTGTTACTTTGTTCCACTGCAACTGTTTCCGCCGTTTCTACTCAGTTCAGTCGTGGAAGTGGAATAGTGACTATCGCTTTGAAGATGGAGTCGGCTATAAGTTTAAATAAATAATCAAAAGTTTTATTTTAATTTTTAACTTTTTACACCATTAACTTTGTTTTATTATTAGTTACTACTAATACTTGTTTATACAATTGAGACATTTAGTTTTTAAAATTAACTTTAAATTAATACACAATAATAATTAATAAGAATTAGCATAATTTAATCAATGTTCAATTTTTTGAAATTTCCGTCATATCCAAAAAGATTAGATTGTTCATTACTTTCAGTGTCCGTTGGTTTTTTATCCATATCAGCCTTAAGCGAGAAAAGACCGTTCAAAAATATATCTCTTTCCGCTATAACACTTGCTTTGTTATATTCTAGTAAAACATATTTGTTTTCAATTTAAATCAATAATTACGTTGACATTAAGGAAATATATGTAAAATGTATACAAACCTCCAAGTTCCTTAATAGATTTATCGTTGCCTCCAAAATCTGACGGAATACATTCATTTGAAATATGTTTTATTACATCGGTGGCGTCTTGATGCATAAAGATCTATAGGTAAAATAAAAGTTATTCAAATATCACAAACACGATTACTTTTAAAATACTGTTTATACTTATTCCATTACACATTTAATTAGAAATTTAAAATAGTTTCAATTATAAGTTCAAGAACTTCACCAAACAGTATACTTTATATAAAATTCCAACAATTAGTTACAAAAATTGTCTTAAATATTAATCATAAAAAATTGACTTATGATTTATGACATAGCCCTACCAAAGCAGATAGATTGCATTTAATATTGCAGAGAAATATCATATTATTCATTAAAATAATAGAAATAATCAATAACCTTACTTGAAACGGAACTATAAAATTAATAGTTTTACATCTTTGAAAATGTTAATATAAATGATTATAACATATAAATGATTATTACTTATTATTTATAAAAAAAAACCTTACTCGGGTTTGTATTTTTTTTGGAACCAATGTCTTAATTATATTAAAAATTGTAGCTGCATATGCTGGTACGTTTATAAAATGCACTTGAATAAGTTTGTACGGAAAAAATGACTAGAACAAAAAAAATCATAAAATAGTATTATACAGTATTATCATTATTTGAAAATCGGTTCAGGGTTAATATATTAGATTATACCTATGTTATAATTACAAATAACATTTATTTAACTATTTTAATGATCAGTGGGTAATATTAAAAAAATATATGTTTAATATGACCATTTTGAACAAAAAACAATGACTTTTTTCGTTATCAAGATTAAACTATTTGTTTTCATATATCGAATATGTAAGCTTACTAAAAAGCTCATTTGAAGCTCGGTAGAACATTACGATACATATTAAATTATATATTATAATTTACATAACTATTGAAGTATAATATGTGCTTATTGAGTAAATACTATACTTTATAATGTGTAATAATTGAAATAGGGATCACTCTGTAACATAGGCTTAGCTATGATTTCTGTCTGGGTTGTGTTGAAACATTATATTAACTCTTAAGCAAAGCTTATTACTTACCGAACATTTCAAAGAATTCCTGAGAAAACTAGGCGTAGCTTGAGTGAGAAGTTCATTTTTGTTTGTTACCGACATGTCGTATATTATGATCACACCATTTACGGACACCCTTTTGAAGTTCAAGTCCATTGACATATAAAAATATTTCACCCATTTATCCAAGTACCTACCGGTAACGTCTTCGTCCGTTATGTTTTTTGCTACCAAAACTTGATATCCTTCCTCGGTTAACTTTGAAGAAAAGCCAAACCACCTGTGTGGTAATATTAATTTGGTCACGTTTTTCCTACGAGAAAGCGTTTATATTATTATTGGAAAAAAAACACGTACGTTTTTCGCATCGCAGTTTGAACGTCGTCTCCCAGTGGATCACGAACACCGAAGAACTCATTCATTACAGCTCTACAACAAAAGTAACCGTCCAATGTTTCTTTTGTTCTTTCTATTCTGTATTTTCGGCCGATATAACAATTCTTTAACCATTCTCGATCTGTAATACAAACGAAAGTTTAAGTACAATTATTATTTGTGTGTGACAAATAATGTCTTCGACCTTTCAATAATATTCTATAATGACTTAATAGGTAATCAATGATTTACAAAATTTGTAGGAAACATATTAATATATTATTGATTTTTTTATCGCAAAATATAAGTGATTTATCATATTACCGGTCACATTAGGCAAGTGAGGCATAATATGTAACCACTCGACAAGTTTTTCAACTTCAGCATCATAAATGTCATTTTTCGATCGTTCATTACTTCTTTCGATTTGATTGTTTTCACTTGCCATTTTACTATTTATTTTTATAGAAGTGCAACTTGCTAACGTTGGTCGAGTAATAACCAACTGAACGACCCACGGCTACGTAAGACTATAAGCTTGCAAAGTAATCACACATTTCATACTACTGCATACAGCATGCGACAATTCATTAAAGTGCTAATAAATATGTTGATGTAATTTACATTCGGATACACTAATTTGTTACATCATTTATTGCCGGACATTTAATAGTCGACTAACAAGAGATTTAAAAACTGGCATATCATTTTCTGTCATTATTCATAATAACTGACATTAGATTTAAATAATTAAATCTATAAGCAATGACATTCACTAATTAATTTGTTTCTTTTATTATAATTTTCAATAAAACAATAAGTTTTATTGAACAGTTGTAAGTGCCTATATTATTACTCTTTATAATTTCAACAATTATTTTAATAAAGTTAGGTATATAGGTTTAAAAAGTTAGGGTCATAAATCCTGTTATGGTAGTATAAAGAAAAAGCTTCCCTCTTTCTGGGATAATCCCAGATCTATTGACTTGCTGCATGAAAGAATTGGTTCAGCGTTTTTTCGAAGATACCGTGGGTATATTTTATCATTGTAAAAACAATACCTTCAGAGCTCCACATCGAAGTTAAAATACACAACAGTGATTTAAATAGTAGTATCAGAATTATTATTATTATTTTATTGTTATTACTCAAACAATTTGTATAAACAATAAAAAATACTTATACTTTTCTGTTCCATCATTAATTTTAACATCTTAATAATAAAATATTATCCGCAAAGAAAAAGGGTTAAATGTTTTGTTGTTTTTATATTTTCATATTATGAAAAAAAACTTTAACGATACACAAAATGATGTATCTAAGTAAAAACAACGCTATTGAAATTAAACGAGGTGTAGTCGTTGCTGGATATGCAAAAGTGGGTCATAAGGCCTCGCTTTGTTATTCTTTTGTAAACGTAGGTGCCATTGAATAACCATGTTAATGCTAATATAAAAACAGCATTTTTAAAATGAGGTATAAGATAGATATTTTTGTATTGTTAACCATGATGCACGCATAAGTCCAATAAGCATGTAATATATAATTTATATACTTTATGGAAATCTTATATATAATTAATTATTTTTAAATACGTTGTCTATTTAAAGAGATATTGTATTATATGTTTGTTCTACGAAAGAATATTTATTTATTTTAATCTGTGTTTAATATTTAGGATGAGTTTTAAACGTATGAAATATTGTTATCTTTTTTTATTTATTATTAAAATAAACAACTTTTCTAAATTTATTTAAAAATGAATAATAATCACAGTTTTTTTCTATTTATTAATGATGGTTTACAATCAAAGCGACATCTAGAAATTATCGTCGACAACACTCAGGTTTGTGCAATATGCTATTACAAGTTCTCGCAATGTAACCGTTTTAGAGTAGTATAGATCGCAGGGTTCCATCAAACGTTAAAAAAGACAATGGCGTAGCTACTCGTCTAGATGGAGCTTGCAGTACTCAAATTAGTTTTCCACAGCTTAAAATATTTCAAAAATAAAATATGTACAGAATAATATTGTGTGATTTGACACGGAATACTTACTTTTGTATTATTTTGTACATTTTCAATTTTGTTAGATAAAAAAGTTAACTAAAAAATATAAATTTTTATGAGCCCTTCTACATTATCCTATCAATTCTAAATGAGTGTCAAACTTTTGTAAATTAATTGTTAATAATTGTAAATTGGTTTTCAGAATTTTTAAATAATTTTTCCTACACGTTTTACCAAAATACTGTTTCGGGGAGCCCAACTCACGGAGTCCCCGAGTTTAACGGATCGACTATATAATTGAATATATATAATTTAAAAAATTTTAAAAATTATAATTTGATGTGATTTTTAGCATTTTCCAAACTAAGGTAATGCCCAATTTTGACATGGATATGTTGACATGACATTAATTACATAAAAATATGTAATTAATTTTTGTGTTTATCTTTTTTTATTGATTTATATTTGTATTATATATGATTATTTGTTGTGTACTTATCATCAAGACAAAAATCTTACACTTACTTCCGTTAGTCTGCCGTTAGCGTTGAAGATGACAAAATTGTTACCGAAATACGTGTACGCAAAGATTGTATTATTTTATATGGTTAAGGGTTTTAAATATTAATTTCTTTACATTATACATTAATGTATTGTAGACCTACTTTGTGTTTACATTTTAGCTATTCATTTCTAAAATTATACTCATATTATACCAGTCGTTTATCGTGGCGGCGCATTAGGTAGGCAATATCGAATACATGCGCGTATGCAACAAATAGACTGACGATGTTATAATATTATATTATTTTCTGTACAATAATATATGCAAATATGCAATATGATACGTGTGTGCTTGTAATATGACGTGTGCATACAAGAGAGTATCCAACCTGACTAATGTCTGTAATATCTCCTTAGTAGAGACATAAGCTAAGATTGTAGTGTTACATTGTATCGCATGTGTCAAATTCGGCCGACCGTTACGAAGAGTGTCCGAATCGCCGTTGTACGGTGTTCAATACGTTTAAAACTAATAAAAAAAGCTAAAATTCTGTAAAATGTTGAGAAAACTTTTTTATATATTGTTGTGAAAAAGTTTGAAACTCATAATTAGACTTGATTGAATAATAATGTTAAATGTTAATTTATTAATGATTTAGGAATAAGAATTTTTGACAGTAATGGAAAAATCTTTCTTATTTAATATAAAAAAATACTTTTTTATTTGCGCATTACTCAACCGCTTTACTTGTTCCGTCCTAAAATGTTAAACCTTAAAATAATTTATTCAAAATTGGTTATGCACTTGTCGAATTTTGTAAAATATAAAAACAAAACGTTTCCCAAAACAATTTTTTTTTATTATTTTAAAAGAAAATCAGCGTCTTAATCTTAATTAAGCACCCTTAATAGTCATCAGATTTTGTAGTGACAAAACATTTTTTTCGTTTGTACAATTGACAGGCTTTCGGATTTAAAATAAATAGTTTTTAAAAAAATACCACGTCAAAATGAAAAATAGTAACACTTAAAGAAATATTTACCAAGTTTAGTTATTGGAAAAAAAATGTAAATTGACACTTTAAATTGTCCCACGTATGATTGAAAATTAAAACGACTTGTTGTCAGTGCGTTATGCGACAATTACTTGTGTCATATTATTTGTCGCGGTCCGAATTTCAGGAATGGATCCTACTAATGCAGAACGTAAACCGGATATCATCTTAACCGAACATTACAATAACTTACTACCTAGGGCCGAAGCATCTTACCGCGAGCGGAGATGCAATCTTCTGTGCAATGCAGCTTTACACGTCCATTCATCTAGTCTTCGAACGACCGGCAGTGTGGAAAGTATAGAGAATTTATATTCCATTCACAACTGGGCAAAAATAATGTTAGTGGTCTTGTCATATTATCAACAAACTAGAACAATGGTGCGGCCTGTGTGGGTACTTTATATTTTTACGTACAAAATTAAAAAAACATAATATATTACAGAAGTAAACAAGAACTCTACTCAGCTGAATTAAAGTCTATTCACGATGAAACATTTGACGATCATCAACATCAACTTCCATGACCCTCCTCCATAAACCCTCCACGATCCTCCTCCATAAACCCTCCATAATTTTCCTTCATCCTCCTCCTCCTCCATGATCCTCCATAATCCTTCCCTATATTCCTCCATTATCCTCCCTCCATATTCCTCCGTATTATCTAATGATATTTACGTGACATTTAAAAAAATATATATATAAATGACGTTTATTGAGGAGTATTTACAATTTTTACAATATGCAAATGTAACAAAATATTTATACAAAAATAATTATAATTTTTCTTTTATTTGTTTATAAAATATGTGTTTTGGGGGATCTGTTTAAATTAGAGTATCAACTGGTCATTATTAATCCAGAACTAATATGCAGTGAAAACTAATTAGATAAGGGCAGTAGTGTATAGAGTATCAATTTAAAATTGAGTATTAAAATAAGTTATACCTACGAATTTTAAATGCCCTTTTTTGATTAAAAAGATGGACTGGCCGGTACACCACGTTGTACTGATATGACACAGTACAAAATATATCAGGCTTAATGTTACAAACGAGATTCGCGCTATAATAGGCTAGGTTTTTTTTTATAACCTATACTTTTTTTGTGATTATATAGCAGGTCATATACTAAATGTCGAGTTTATAAGCCAATATTAATATTCAACATCCACATTTATAGTGTTTAAGTCACTTTTTTATATATAATATAGATATATGTGAGACCTATCCAGATTTGTTTTCAGCTCTTAAATCCTAAAACTGTGCCTAAAAAAAAAAATTCCCCGCCTTCTGATTTACTATTAAAATGCTGTTTATTATAATATTACCCTATTTCCAGTTCTGATTGTATTATCCTTATATTATTGAAATATATAAACAAGAATTATTGAACGTGCAGTTCAGTTTCCTTTTGAAACTAATTTAAATAATTTAATATGTGAATAGTATATACAATTTGTTAAGGTTATACATAACAAGGGCCACCATAAACAAGACCACTCTGTGCTCATAATAAGAATTATGCGATAGCGTATTATGTATGCAGCGAGCTTGACTTATTAATTTTAAGTCTCTTCTACTCGTATGCAAATTAGATGAAATATACTATAATTTATAGTATCCAATCTGAATTAACGCGAAGTGGCGATAACTCAAACATATTACATAACCGACTCGGAAGCAATCTATATTTGCTATTCTCTTTTCGTTTAGTTTCGAACGACACTTGAAGTCGAAAGCAAACGCCTACTGAACGTACCATTCATAATACCGATTTGGACTTATGAAATTCCGTGTAAATTGTGAGGTTCTGTCAGTAAATTTAAGATCGAGGTCCCACGACAATATCAAAATATTTTCCTTAGTTCATAATCGTCGCATACCCATTCGACAGGAACGAAACAATTCATATTACGTTGAATAAATTAAAACGTTTGCTGGCACACACAAATCTAGGCTTGGATTCCAACAGCAATAAAACATTAGGAGTTTGGACAATTTCAATGACATCAAGTGCCTAAAGTGTTTAATGCTTTATAAATTAGTTTTAAGTCTTAGACTAAGACAAAAACACCTCACTGGATATGTAACCAAATAAATGATAATTATCAAATGTGTTCTCCAGAGCTTTTCTGTAACACTTGAAGTCTATTTGTTCCGGAGAGAATAACTCGGTCATAAAAAATTGGTTTTGGATATATTAAGCAAAGATCTCACGATAAAAGCATTATTTGGGCCTTTAAGGCCTGTTAGCTACGCAATGATGATGATATACATTAGGGCGGTACAAAAAATAAGTTATTGTGAAATGTAAATCGTTTAACTTAATATTTTTTTATAGATATAATGTAAAAAGGTTTCTGTAAACATTTTTACGCGTTATTGAACGTTTTAGAGGGCGCTTATAGTAAATTTCTGGGGTTTTACACATTTTCATGGGTACTTAGTCCAAATCGTCAAAATGTACACGAGTATTTGGATTGCAACAAAAGCCAATTCATAGGAAAGAACTAAAACTTATTGAAATAATAATAATTAATAATATCACATTGACTACTTATAATTTGCATAACACTATAGTCTTAAAATATTGAATGTAAGAAAAATGATGATATTTAACAAAGTATAATCATTTAATTTTAAGTTAAAACAATTTTTCACTTATTCAACTTCAATATTACCATAATTATATATTATAAATTATAATGAAAGCGAAATAGGATCTCTAATCGGAATTTTGTGTACTGAAACCTCTTGTTCCAAATATAACTATGTCGATTTTCTAATCCATTGTAGAAAATAGCTGAGTCACCCACCCTATTTGTTCAGTGCTAGTCCATCTCACTTTCTACAGTGCTGCTATAATTGCTATGATACAGCTTGCAAACACCCCGACAAGATTTTGATACAGTTATAGTTTGGCTCGACAGAAGAGATGATTAGATACGGTTTATTAGTGCGATGTCGTCTGATCGAAGTACGTGCCTTACAAAGTAATGTTTTTCCCGAGAAAATAAGATAGATTTTCGATGGGTGTTGATTGATGTAGATGTCGCAATAACACTCTCTCAATGGACAGGAAAACGAGTAGGGATAAAAGTATAGTGCTCAATGTCGGCGTCGTTTGAGTATAATAAAATGATCATATATTGCCGTCTGTGATGTTTGCACGAATAGCAACCGATGTACACCGAAGTGGTTTTACATAAAATTCCCAAAAGGCCTCTAAGAGCTGTGAAAGCTCAGTTTAGTTAAGCCGTAGCCATCTGTCATACGTTGCAAAAAAATATGTATTACGAAAGATGTTTCTTTTCATCAGTTATGTTGCCCAGAGCTTTCAAATTTATGTCTGCATTGTCGACTGTCATTAATATTTAGCAAAGAAATCGATTTGGTGACAAGAATTTTGTTTTTAAATATTTTATTATTTTATCGTTGCTTAATGACCAAAAAAACAAAGCGTAGCAGTTTATAGCGTTAATTTTTAGAACCATCCTCTAACATTTCTAAAAAAGAGCTTAGGGGTCAGATAAATTCATATTATACATTCTATTTATAACTGACAAATTTATTTTAACCGTAATTTTATTTTTGAACTGTTATTCTAAATAATTATAACACATTATAACAGTAAATAGATGTACAACCGTTTTGAATCCTAAAAAGATTCTTCAATAATACAAGGTCATTATTGACAAAAAATGACATAGTAAAAAAAAATCCAGGAAATGCTAGTTTCTTATTGTTAGCTTTGAAGTGGAGTTACAATGATGTTTTTCATTTTTATATTTTAGTTTCGTTGCGGAGTGGAGGTGCTATTAGTTATACCAGAATATCACAGATTAGATAAAACCAGATAGTTTTTTTTATCTAATCTGTGATAATATTGTGTTTTTATATTTATGTCTAGTCCCACAATATCCTCAAAACCGATGGACCGATTTAATTTGTAGTAAGTCTATAGTTCAGAAATCGTACCTAAAAAAAAGTACCTACAATAAACCCTAACCGTATCCGCTCTTATAGTAAATATACAACATAATTTAATAATATTTCATATTTTTACCATCTATAATTTCTCATCGAAGCGTTTATTTAAAAGTATTTTTATCACTTGTCGGTTATTCCTTGAAAAAGACTTGTGACCTTTCTCTAAGGTCAATTTTCTCTGTCGCCGGTGTAATAGTTTATTAAACATTTTTATAAAACCATATACTATAATATAATAATAACTTTTAATAATTTAATTTGTGGTCAAATTATATATATTTTTTGAACAAAGTACAACGTGCATTTGTTGAATTGCACTCTCAACAATTTACAATCACATTAGATATTACTCACTAACAATGGTGGGCTCGCAGCAGTGCAATATCTTGCAGAGCAAACTTGTTTATACCGTTAAACTCAACATTCTAGGCGTCTTAGTTTCAACAATATTTGCCCGGGCAGTTTCTAAAATTACATAAAAGCGTACCACAGACCATCTGGCGGTTTCATAAAATCAATTTGCCGGCCTTGTGATGGATACTTCTGGAACGTTAACCTTGCGGTTTATACGTGTAGTGCGCGTTTGCTTTTAATGTAGGTATAAACGGCAAATAAAACGCGGCATGTCGTACAACAACGACAACGGGCGATCTGAGATAGGTCGGTCAAAGGCGCGTACAAATATAATTTTCGTGAAATCCTAAGCCTAACTCCACCGCTGCTGCTAAATCGGCGGACCGAGAAAAGGCGATAAAATCGACCGACACCCTCGTGTATTTTATATGGGTTAGAAGTGGCGAGACGTGATGGACGGGACGAATTGTCGTCTATATACAATAATAAAGCGCAATAAGAAACGGCTTTCCCGGTTTGCCGCCCGTCCAAAATACCAGGGTCCCGGTCTGAAATGGAGAGACGGGGAGGGGTGGGGGATCGCTGCTGACTACCACAACCCAAACATTCTACAGTAGTGGAGCGGTGGCCGTATGATTTCCCGTCACGCACGTGTCTGCCTTTGCGAAAACCCGGACGTGCCGTTCTACTTGCCACTGCCGCCGTCGCACATACACGAATATAGCCGCCACCGCTGTCGACGGGGCGTGCGTGATGGGTCTTTCAGGCGGTTCGGCCGCCGCCAGCAGGGTTTTACGCTGGGTATCGCGCGCTTCGTCGAGTATACCGACACGACTGCCAACCAGTGTGTCGGCGTTCGGCTGTCCGGGTACACGATCGCTGGCCGTCGTCCCTTCCCCGAAAAATACAATCTCACATTTACACGCCGACCGCCACTCTTGGGCAGTGATTATATATGTATATTTTTTTTTTTATCACAACGGTCCGAACGGTTTTTTTTTCAAATATTTTAAAGCCCTTATTGTTTAATTTACAATTGCATTTTTACTTTTCCATTTCTAAGTGTCCGGCACTACTGCGAGACTCTAGTGTTTGGATTCCGATGTCCTCGTTCGGTACGATCGGAGGCAACGGGTTATACGAGCGACGTGCCGGCAGCGGTGTGTGACGACCGCGAACCATTGAGACATCGAGCGCACGATGAGACGCGATGCGGTCCGCCAGCTCCGAACTGTTGCTGGACACCAAGCAGCAGCAGCTTCGCAAGAAGAAGCTGCTGGAATTAGCGGCGGCCAAGAAGCAGAAGCGCGGCGCGCAACGGACCTTCCGGGAGAAGGTGTGGTTATACTCTACGTTATCGTTCGCAATGATCGCCGTTGGCTCCGGATCGGCCCTGCTGTTCCTGGTGCCGCTGTACGTGGACCCGGCCGTGTCCACGCTGCTGGCCGATTTCGTCACCGACCCGGTTCAGTGCACTACGGTAAGGCGCGAAGAACTGTCCGGTCTGTACAACTGCACGTGGAGCTCGTGTCGGGAAGGCTGCACCAGCGACGTGTACCGGTGCAGTCACATATACGTGGCCTACCAAGAGGCTGTCGACGGTCGGTTCGTGTCCGAAGCCGTGCTGCTGGTCAACATCAAGGGTTGCGGTTATCCGCCGGCCGTTTCCTGCGCCAACTTTACCGGCAAGTACGGTCAACCGGGCACCCGGTTCCCGTGCCACTATTCCCGGCAAAACCTAACGCTGGTAGTGACCGACTACGACAAGCGGCAACAGTACACCGACATCGTCAACTTTTTTGTCGTCCCGTTCACCATATGTGTCGTCAACTCAATTATCTTGTGTTTTATGCACTGCGACTGTCAAACGGCGGCCGCTGCCTCCGCCGCCGGACACCCGGACAGGTGCAGGAGTTCCGCTGGACATACCGAATATTACAGGTAAAATCATACGATAAATTCAAACTAATTATTTAAGTAGCTCATAAGGTATTGGTTTTATAATGATGTGTTTTCTTTTTGTGCCTGAAGTCACGATGATTATTTTTCTGTGAATTCGAGTAGCATCTCTATCATTCCGTAATCGTATGCGAATGGTACTTTGGTGGGTCAAAAATAGAAAAAGCCAACTTATGTTACCTCCACCCCCAAAACTGGGAGAAACCGAAAACAATTAGACCAGATTTCCAACCTTCAACCTTAACAACTTTTCGACATTATCAACTTTAATAGTTAAAAGATGTTTAAAAGTTCTAGCTAAAGAAGAAAGGCGAAAAAATTACTATTTCGATTCTTTAATAAAATAATTAAATATTGGTTTATTATTTTTTTCTTTAGATATCTCCCAATGTAAGTTAAGTCCCAGTATAAGTCCCAATTAAATTACTTAATTTAATTGTTATTTCCCTAAAGTTATAATTTAAATCCGAAAATAAGCCAACAAATTATCATTGCATAGTTAAAATATGCTCTACGAGAAGATTCCCTAAATAAATAATAAACAAAATAACATTAGTTCAGAATAATTCATAACTATAAATTAATCATAAAATGTATCGTAATTTGTACATAAAATTGTTTACACGATGAATGCGTATCAGTACTCACATATTATACTCAATTCATTTTATATTATTAACAATGTTTCAAGTTTTTAAAATATGTACAACATATTTATAAAGTATTAGTCTACCAAAATAATATTAAAAAAAAAAATTAATATTAATATTATTCAATAACATAGTTTTTAACTTTTTTCTTAGAGCATATTTGAATTATTTAATGATAATTTGTTAATAATTTTTAGTTTTTAATTATAATTTTAAGTATAGAACCATATAGTATAGTTATATAATACTATAATAGATAATTTACTAGTGATCGTCTAAAAAAAATTAATTTTAAATCAGATTTTATTTAATCAAGAAATCAAAACGTTATTTATTCATTTTTCTTTTTCAGTGAGAACTTTTAACATTTTATAACAAAATTGCCATTTTTGGTTTGTATTAAGAGTCAGAGTGTTTTTGCTCATTTAATTAGACCAAAACGTGTAAGATATTGCCAGAATAAATAAACGTGTTTTTGTAAGGGACAAAGAAATGATTTTAACGTTTGATCATATTTCATGAAAATTATTGGTAACAATTATTTTCTTGTTACGAATAAGTGCACTAAATTAAATTTGTTGTTAGGATTCTTATAAATAGTAAAAAATAACAATACCTAATAAGTAATACAAACAACCGATCGCAACGTTGTCATTTATATACAAGTAAACGGTCGTTTAATGAAGCTTAATTATAACCAGCAATGTTTAAAACAAACTTTTGAAGAAAATAAACATGTCTAACAGTTATACTTTTGATAGTATTCCCATATGAATATTGCATTTCTTGAATCATATAATATTGAAAATGTTATAGAACTATAATATTATATAGTATGACTCAGACCGCAAACGTCATACCAGTTTCTCTCTTAAAGATTATAATTTATTTTATATTTTTAAGATTATTATGTATTTAATATTAGTATGATAACGGTTGAAGATTCGAGAAGAATGAAGAGTTTCTACATATTGTAAGATACTAACCGTAAACCGACAAGTTGAAGCACACCTAATAAGGTTTCGCCCAAAACCCAGCTTTGATAATATTATGCCTCTTATAATAATAGTATCTTTCTCGTTTGTCAAACCAAGAGATTTGACCTTTTTCATACAAAAAGCTTAGAATTACGAATTTTTTGAAAAGCGGATTACAAGATTCTCCAATGGAAATGTAATTTGTATTAGTATTTTTTTCTCTTTTTGTACCCATATATTATATGTATTATAATATTGAAAGATCATATTATTATAAGATCGGGACCCTTCGTAGCTTCGCGTCGAAGCTTAAGAGGGAGAAATGAAATAAGATATTATTAAAGACACTTCTTATTCTTTTTAAATAAGCTCTAATTCAATTTAAAAACCCGCAAATAAATAAATACGTATAAGCTTCTTTAGTTCACTATAATTTAATATAACGCACAGTTTCAGCTTTTAAAATGTTTAAAATGCCAAAACGTCTATTTATAAATTAGTTTTAAAATGTGATTAAAATGAGAATCTACATATTGTCTCTGAAATAATTAAAATAAAGTCAACACGACTTGTATATTTCAAACATTGAAGGCTAAAATATATTGACATACTGATTCTAAAAAAAAAAAAAAAAAAATACAGGTGGAACTTTTGGTATATCAATTATTTGCAATTCACATTCACTTGAATTTCCCATGGCAGTTGCCTCTACCTATCTCAAATCATACTTCCCCGCTAAAGTGCAGTTGACGTTCTGTTCATAATTTATTAGCTAGTGTCGTATATGATGCAGCTGACAGCTGTTGATTATTCTCATGGTTTCTGTGAGAGTAGAGCTTATCTTTCCTCGATGGATTTGAAGTTTTCGACCGAAACGAACTTAAAATAAAAAAAATAAAAAATAATAGTAAAGTCGAAGCGGAGAGAAAATTATATTTCGTCTACGAGCGCTATACCTACTAACAAAACTAAGACACTTTTTACTTAAAATATAATTAATCGAAACTGGTTTTCGACCAGCTGGGAAAAAATATAACATAAAAAATAATAATTCACATTCATCGGCCTAGTTTACACCGCCTATATAGGTCTGGTTACCTAATAATTATTAAGCGACTCCTATACGAGCAGTGCCATTACACAACAATACAGTTTGTGCATTATTATTGATGATCAAAAATAGATATTGAAGGATTGTGCAGTACAATACCAACATAGTTTGATTTTTTTTAACATAATGTACAATTTGTATTGATTCAATATTATTGTGCGTGTAGAGGCCGCTTTATGTGCGCTTATATTATGTATTATGTAAATAGGTACTTCAACTCATATAACAGGTCATCATTTTTGACCCCTGACCCATTTTAACTGGTGATTGTTGGTAGGTAACATAATGTCTACAGTCACTGTATAAATTTGTGAAAATAGACTAATTATACATTTTGTGCGACTTAAGTAGACTTGAAGAGAACTCAAGATTTATGAACCGAGTAACACACGATTTATAGACTGGTATACACTAAATTCGTATAAGTGAAATTTCACTATTATAGAGATTACCTATTCTATGAGTAACATAATGTAAAGTAGACTTCAAAATACTATTGATAATTGATATCCCTAACCGTTCTTTTAAGCCTTCTTCTTCCTCCTTAGCGGCCTACGGTGACACTTGCAATAGTTGTGTAGTGTCGTTGAAGATGTCTTATTAATTCTTTATACGAAGTGTAATATTTGTTGTTGTTAAATATATTATATTATTCTTAATTTATTTTCCAAAACCCATTGTTGTTTATACAATATATAGTTGCTCAGCATTTTTTTTCTGGTTTTTTTTGTGAGCGACTGGTGCCGAAGTAAGTATACACGTGCTGGTGTTTTGCCTTCCTTTGCCATACCAGACATCACAAATCTATCTCGTGTGTCACTGTATACGTTAAAATGTAGTATGATTTAAACTAGCAATGTTGCGAAAATTGAACTTTTTACCATGGAAATGTTTTAGTTTAACAGTGACTCTAGTTTATAAATCATTTACGAATCCAAGTAAAATGTTTTGGCATGACGCCAAGACTGAATGAGCTGGTAAATTAAATTAAACGTAGTAGGTACGTTTCGCTTAGTTTGAGATTGTTCAGTGCTCACGAATTCGGTAGCCCATAAATAATGGCTTAAAGTTCGAATAATTAGTAGCAGCGTTAAATATTATGCTTCCGCGTTAGATCTTTATTCTTATTTTATTTTTATACTTATATATATATATATATATATATATAGAAACAACGGACTACTAACCCGGGCACGAGACCGATTTATACGCGTTACTTATGTAAGTGATTAAAGTGACGAATGTACGTCGACTAAACTCTATTTAGTACCTCAATTATTTTTGCCCCAAGCCCTTAAGCCCATTTGAACATTTCGTTTTAATTAATTTCGGAAAACATAAAAAAAGAACAGTCGCCTGGTTCAAGTAATCGTACAACGCGTTTCCATTTACTATTTCCTTTGCACGAAAACCTTCTATACATATATATAATATGTAATTCCGTTCCTATACCGTTCAATACTAGGCACCTATATAATATTATACCAACAGCTAGTCTTACCGATTAAGGTATTTATTTTACATATAAAACTGTCAACCGTTTAAAATATCTCGATAAAACGATACTAAAGATATAAAGCAAGCATAACACGGTTTTGTTTCTTTTACCCGTTCACGACATCACTTATTTATGTAACGACTTTTTTATTTTACTTTGGTTACTATTTGATTTCTCGGTTAGTACGAGGTATCGATAGCTATTTTGAATATTTACGGTATTTTGTCCTTGTCTTGATGACATTGCAAAAATAGAAAAAATTCTTTTAAAGTAAACATTTGTTTGATTTTTTTACGTTTCACGACTTAAGTATAATTAGTTTAAAAGTAGTTATCGCTATATATACATCGCTTGTTTACCTTATCAACGCCGTAACTTCAAAAAGTACTTTTCTTTTAACACCTAAAATCATAAAGAAAGTTACCCAAATTTTATAATTGTTCAATATTCATAATTTTTAAGTTATTAAAAATTCTTATTTTTTATTTAATTGGAACTATGCAATACATTTTATATTTTCTTTTACGAGTTCTACATAGGATTTATTACATATATATATCTGTTTATTATAAAATGAATGCGATCTTTCATTTAGTTAAAATATAAATATGAATACAAGGTGATCCATTTAACACAAGACACTCATATTCTCCAAAATTAATTTTGTAGTTTTTATTTTGAAAACATTTTTGTTTATGTTATTTTCCAATATCATATTATCACTGAATATTTACACTGTATTACAA